TTCAAAAACAGGCTTCAAGTCCTTACTTGATTCTATAAGTGGCTCGTCCTCTCAGCAAATTCATTTATCGTTGGAAATCCTACTACTACCTTTGCAGTGAAAACACCTAGTGAAGTAAGGTCTATTCTAGGTATTACAGATGTTGACCTATCGGGTAAGCAGAATGCAAGTCCCTTGCTTGATTCCATTGCATCGATGTCACCTATGAGCAATATGTTTGTTATGGGAGATGATGTAAATGGATTTGTTCTCGAAAATGATACTACAGTCCGAAGTATCTTGAACATTGTTGACTACGCACCAGACATATCAGCACTACAAGCGAACGTCTCTACATTGCAAGGGAACGTCTCTACATTACAAGCGAATGTCTCTACATTACAATCGAGTATCTCAACAAAACAAGATGTTCTCACAAACAGTAGTCCATTATCGGTGGCAGCCATCATTTCCAACGATACCGCTGATTCAACATCACCCATCACTGGAGCACTTCAAGTGAAGGGTGGAGCAGGAATCGCTAAGAAACTATGGGTTTCTGGTGCACAAATGACCGTCCAAAATACTAACTATAGTGTTGGACAAACCAATACCCTCATGTTTTCACACGCAACGCAAAATATATGTTCTATACAATCCTATTTGCCTGGTAGTAACAATGTAGACCTGAATTTCTATGTCGGACAAAACAACGCATCTATTCAAAGTATGTCGCTTAATGGAGCAACCGGAAATGCTTATTTTGATAGAGATGTCATCATCGGAAACACCAGTGTAAATGCTTTAAGAAGCATTCAGGTCAAGAATGTAGACACAGGAACAAATGCTTGTTCGATTTTGTATCTAACTGCATCCGGTGGTTCGTCTGTTCTTTTTATGAATGGAAGTAATCGTTCAGTTGATGGAGCGCAGAATTGTTTGACTCTTCGTAATGACGTGGGTGCCTTGCGCCTTCAATCTCAGGGAGCAAAAGGTATTTACGTTTATCCTAACACAGGTAATGTCGTTGTTGAAAGCACCACTCCAGCGTTATTGAGTACAACTGGCGCTTTGGTGGTTGCAGGTGGACTTGCGGTCGGTGCCCATGTCGTATCAGGTGGAAACCTTTATGCAAATACAGCGGTCTACGCTAATGGACAAAAATGTGCGACTGAACAATGGGTCTCTACACAAGTACAAGCCTTCCCTAAGATTCAGGTGTTCAAGATGCTAACTAAAGATGTAATCACAACTGGTAGCGGAACAAAGACATTCTATGTTTCTACAGCCGGCCGGGCATTGATACGCTATACCATCAACTTGCATGGCACCAATAATGCAGGAGGAACGCTCAATGTGTATCTAGGAACTAATGCCGGTTCGATGCCGTCAGTCTTTTCCAGTGATTTTAACTATAATGCTGGAGTGAACAGAACAATTTATGCCTCATTCATCGTGTCGGGTTTAGTTCCTGATGTAGCATATTTTACCAATTTTTCAGCAGTAAATGCAGCACCGGACATAAGTGCAGACGTAACAATTATAGAGATTACGGAACTTGGTGCTTAGAACTCGAACGAGTGCCGTTATTAAAAAAAATGAAGCTATGAAGACATAAAAATGCAGCGCGCGGACATTGCTGGTCATTCAGTTTTCAATATAAGAGATGCTGTAAAGGGCGACATGGATAAATTTTGGAAATTTTGTGAAAGTATGTTAAGAGGGGACAAGAGCAGGGTAATTCTCTATTTACCCCAAACACCTGAAAATGAACATATCTTTCAAGAGATTCTCTCCATCATCCACTTGAAGAAACTCGACCAATTATGCTTCAAGCGTAGTGGTTATCTCGCTATTCTCAACAATTTTGTATTGTTGGGTCATTCGAGAAACGAACGGCTGTTTTTTTTAGAGATGAGAGTCAAATAGAATGCATTTCATATCCGTACGGTCTACCAAAGACGACTTTATAACCATGTTTGATGACCTACATCAAGGATCATTCAAAAACATGATCAAAGACTTCTCTGATATTCTACAAACGAAGCAATTCTCGCTGTCATTTCAAGACCCTACATTATCTGATACAAACCATAATGGCTTCATAAATTATTCGTCTATAGCATTTTTCAGAAATCGAAAGCATCTTATCACCATAAACCTGAAAACCCTAATGCCTGTCATCAAGGATCCTACGCTAGATAAAAGGGCGATCTGCAAATGCATATTGCAGCATCAGGAAACTCTATTGGACATGGATGACCACATTATGAATGTGGGGAAAGAATACGCTCAGTTGAAGAATATTGCTTCTAAAGGTACTTAAAATGCACGCTGAATAATCTTCCACTCATGATAATAAAAATGCGCATTTCGATGCGTTGCGATACTTGTACAGGCTTTAGAGAATATCAACTCTGCATATGTCTGAAATGCGCTGTGTATTCCTGCTATGAATGTTTGGATAAACTAAAAAACTATTCGCATGGTCGAAATCATGCTATCGTTCATCATGATTGTCAACAGTACATATCTACTGCTTTCGCCGCTCGCCGTGCTGGCATCCCTGCCGGGATTGGACGCTCCGCGCCCGGCATGCATGAAGAAAGAAAACGAAATCCCAGGGCTACATGTAAAAAAGTAGCATCAAAAGCGGCGGAAGATGCCGGGCGCGGAGCGGCCAATCCCGGCTGGTATGCCTCGAAGGTAATGTTGAGATGGGATGAGTTCTGACGCCTGAGTTGCCTACATGAAATATGCAACCAGTTTTTCAGCAGGAAACCAACGAGGCCATTTAAACAGATGCATATTTCTATTTAGTTCTATCTTTTTCATCAATTGAACCAAATTTATACAGCTTTTTCCCAAAAATCATGGAGTGTATTTTGTGTCCCCCCTCTTTTCTCATAAAAATGCTATGTAGGGAGAACATGTAGCAAGAGCTTCCGTTCTTCGCCGTTCTGTGACCACTTGCAGCACCCCATGGCAGAGAAATCTTGAAGGAGTTCCTAGCCCAGAAGGGAGCTTAATCTTAAAGTGGGGGAGTGTGACAGAATTCTTCTGTCAGTGCTATGGTTATACTGGTTAGATGTGGTTCCAAACTAGTGGTCACATGACTTTGCTGATGGTGTCAGCATTCATTTGACCAGAATTAGATAAATAAGCAGATTTAGCCATTTCTGGCTAAATTAGATGAGTATCCTGACACACTAGCATCTGCCCCTTTTAATCAAGTGGCATAGTGTATTTAGGATGACTTGTCTCACTTGTGATTGGCTATAAATGGTGCAATAGGCTGACAAATAGTTTAGGATGACATGTACAAGATCTGATTGGGTAGTTAGGATATAGCATTTGTCAGCCCCTTTGTCTATAAAAAGAGGACCTCTCTGAGGCCCCTCAAAGGAGGAAAATAACAAGTAGTAACCAACTCTTCCCTAGTTTTCTGTTGTCTTCTTGTCCCTGCTAGCCTGTTACAATGAGTCTGGATCACAGGTGAGCGGCCTTGCGTTGGTGAGTGTTTGACTGGCATCATTCTCAGTTTTGTGAAGTCTGTTTCTGAAATGAGAGAAAAGGTTTCCGAGTAGCTACCTGAGTGGATCTTGGTTTGCACAAGGGTTTCAGTATGACTGAATAAGGTTTTCAGCTGAATTTGAGAGGGGAAGGCACTTCGTCGTGCTTCTCCACCATGTAACAGATTTTTTTGTTGGTAGACTATGGTAAAGACAACTTGGGTCTCCTAGCAGGTTGTGTAGGTGTCCGTACTAGGAATCATAGTCTCCGAATCCTTTCTTTGGGTGTCGATAGCAAATTGGGGGTGAGAGGCAAGGAGAATTGGTTAGTTGTGAACTGAGCAGGATTTAGAGGCTTCAGTGCAGGTGATCAGGCCGTTGAAGCACTCTGTTAGGTTCCTGTTAACCTAAGATTGGAGTTGAGAAGCTAGTTGTGGGGATTTAGTGTCACTATGGCTTCTGCCCCTGACTTATTCTATTGAATACATCCTTTTTATACAAGATTTTTTGGATAAACTGTTAAACTAAACTAAACTAATGGGTGCCACTGCACCGCAACTGATTTATTGGTGGCGGTACTGATCTCTTCCTTTTCCGCACTAGCTCGGGCCTCCACAGGTTGTACGAGGCAGGCTGAAATCTAATGCACCAATTGCCATCCTCGAACCGGTTTTTTCGGTCGCGGTAACCCAATCGGTGGAGTTGGTCACGCGATTCGTGCTTCCCGCGTGGCTGACTCGCGATCTCTCAAAGACGTCCTCGTCGTTACAGGCATGATGATTGGAATAGAAAAATGGATGAAAACCTGGGAAATGGGCAGAGAAGGCGGGTTTATATAGAAATATGACAACTGCGCATTGGACCCGTTTTTCAATGGTGGAGCAACTGCAGAATCAATCATTTATTGCCGCACATATTGGACCCGTTTTTTTGTTTATCTTCGTGAGGTTCACAATAAATGTGGTTAATTCAACTGGCTGCAATGCTCCGTGGCACTGACATTTCTATTTTCCCACATTCGAGTGTGGCGCAGTGGGATTGGTCATCAGGTCCCGCTTGTGAAGTGGTCAACAACAAGCGAACAAACGAGAACTGGCGTGCTGAACATTTTTGAAGGCCTTTTGATTTTCTTTGAACCTAAACTGTAAACCTCATCGGGATACGATAGGATAACCACAGAAACCTCCCAACCGACGATACGTCACGAAAATGTCGGCCTTAAAATACCTGCGAGCCCGCTTTACCGTGTTTTCCCATGTTCACCGATACAAGGGTGTCAATGGTGGAGTGCGCAAGTTGAAATGCTGGTTTAGGAGAAGTTGGATGAGCGGGTATCTATGACGGGAGGAGCTTGGAAGGAACTTGTCTTGGAAGAGGATAGTCAACAAGGGATGAATGTATTGAGCATGGTGCATCAACAGGGCCGTTCAAGGGAATGTGTAAATATGGTATCAGCAATCAATTATGATATTAAATTCTATGGTACTTCCACAGATTGGTCTCATTCACTACAAGAAGGCTGATTCTGAGTGTTACTACGATATACCGTTCACATCAAAACCTCATTTCTAAATCGCCACACTGGGATATAAATGACCTTCTTTCGGGTTATCGTTTACACAAGACGGTATCCTCATCTTATACTGATGGGAGATGCCTGGTGCATATTACTTCTATGCAACTTTAACCTGTCCACCAATAGCAACTTCCTCACCGACTGGTCCAATCCGGGCCGTTGAACTACTGCTCCTTCTCAACCCAATCTTTTCCAAAAATGAATTCTTGCGTCTTGGCATAGGAGTCATTGGAGCTGCGCGCAGTTCTTCCCCTTTCTTGTCCTCTTCCGAGTTGGATGCGCGGCGACTCTTTTTCAATAGTGATCTCTGGTGTCTGACAGGTGCCGGGGTAGAGGGCGTCGTCAATGTAGGCGATCGTGGACGCTTGGCAGGGAGGGAGCCTACTGTATCTGTTTCGGTTTCTGGCAGTGTATTTTCTGTTGTAGTTCGATCAAGACTTGCTGGTGGTTTTATCTGGCCCGTCGAAGCGAGTTTGATGAAGCGGGGGTAACTCCCCAATCGAAGCATATCGTACACTTTGTCCATGACTGCATCCAAAACACCAGGGTAGACCGCACCCTTATCGTCAATCTCTGCCACAATACGCTTCCTAACTGCACCATTGATGTTCAGCTCCTGGTCAGCGCCAGGCGTCAAGAAAGTAGCAACAAGTATTTTCAGCTTCTGTTGCAGTACAGCATGGTCCGAGGGTGACAGTACTATATCTGCCAGACTGGCCCGTGAATGGCGACGAAGGCTTGGAATAGACCCCGTTGTGGATTCTGAAGACACGGAGCGACGGTGTATTTCGGAATCATTCTGTCGCTGATTGGCAGCAACGTAACTGGAGTATATTTGGCTAGCTTCTTTCCGATATTCAGACGCAAGAAGCCAGAATGAGAGATTTTCTGAAGTGTGTTCCGATTTGAGAAAACGCTTTTAAGAATTAAAGAAAACACCAAAGTCAATTCAACAAGATAACAAGGGGGGATCACATTAAACCAAAGCAAACCAACCTCAAAGTCTTGCAACGAGTAAGGTGTTTGCGCCTCGTTGTTCAAAATCGTTCTTAAATGCACCCGAACCGCAGACGATGTTCTCAATGTCATGGCTTCAAAAGCTCAATTTTCCACCTCAGTTGGAAGAAATTAAACGCACAGCGCTTTATAGTTCCAACCCTCCGATCGACCAACGCTTGAATTGTCAAATGGATTCCGACAGTTTCCATTGAAAATAACAAGCCCATCCACATCCCATGGTCCTATGCTGTAAATACAAAGGAGACACAAAGCTAGAATTAGTCCAGCTTGACCGCAACATGTTGAAAAACAAGACATTGTGTAAAATGAGGCGTCATTGAATATAATGCCCATGTTTGCAAATCATTTCTTGTTTAGCTTTACATCTCTATAGGATTTAATTTTGCATTAAGGTTCTATTTTTGGTGACGCTTAAAAGTGAAAGCGCTCAAAGTATCCATGGAAAGAAAGAGGGTTTGAACATGGGGTCCCATATCCAATGACTATTGAAAGCTGTATTTGGCAGTGGGTTGTGAATAAGCATCAATGGCTGACCGGCGTGGAAAGTCAGATGTGTGTTCAGGATCCGTCAATTGCTTGCTATTGCTTGCTTTAGCATAAACTTAACGCACGAGACGCGTCGAACACCCCTTGTTGAATTGGCATTCTCGCCTAACGATCTATGATAGAAACTAGAAGAATGACAATGAAAACACGTCTGGCAAAGTGCATTATATGCATTATTCAAATCATTCAACCATCATAGGGGAAATGTACAATTACGTTAAATTAAAAAGGCCAATGTACAGCTACAAGAAACTAAAAAAAGCATCCACAAGAAGGCACTAAATAAATACGACTTTTATCACATTCCACAAATGCCAGTTACCCTAATGGCATTGACGCTTTCGACAGGAACACATTGTTCATCTTCCATATCCATCATATCTGCTTCCAAAGGATCGTCAACTATCACCGCGCTCTCCGATTTGGGTTGGGTGTACACAGGGAGACACCAAGGAGAGGCAAGGGTAGACGCAAAAGTATCGGTTGGTCCTTGTGGGCGCCGAACAACAGTGTTGGCATCTTGGACAAGAGAATTAAGGAGAGATGTCGTCGGTGAAGATGAAGAATCCGCGGGAGCGTAGGCCTGGAATACTGCAACCGAAGGACGCTTGGGGCGGTGCTGCAGAATGAAAGGGAGGAGGACGAGGAGCGAGCGGTTAGACACGGTCGTATGGATTACGGAACTCCAGTGGAAATCCATGGCGTGCGCCCAACATGGGAGAAAAACGCTTGTCTTGTCCAATTGGCTTTCCGAGAAAAAAAAAAAGAAAAAGAAAGAAACACCATCAGCAGATCGCGCTCTCAATACCCTACCTCATCTGTATCCTCATCATCACTATCACACCCGCCTTTTCGCTTTTTATTAGACATCATACCAGCTTGAGTCCAAGGTTCAGCAGCAGGGGCAAAGAGACTGTTGTTGACGAACGGGGCAGGGTTGAATTGGGAAACATTGGACGTGCCCTGTGATGGGAAAAGATAGGGATGTGGATGGGTTTGCGACTCGGCTGCTGGGGCAGACCCCACAATCGCAGGATGAGGTAAAGGAGAAGGATAGATTAAGCTCTCCATATCAAATTGCTTTGAAGGGGAAAATGCCGAGGTGATCTCTAGAGATCACCATGAAAACTCGGAGATCAGCAACCGTGACCCCGATATACTCGTTGAAAATCACATCCATCGCTCTACCTTTGCTGCCAAAATATTCCAACACGTTTCGTACGATGGATAATCCACAAAGAAATCACAACCGACGTGGGAGAAACGCAGCAGCGAGGAAAGGAAGGGAAAAGGGTGGAGGGGGATCTTTATATAAGCTAGACGATGATAAATGGGAATGTTCAGATTATTTCATTTATGGCATGAAGGGAGGTGGGCGCGGCAGTGCACGCGATCTGATTGGACAATCATGGAAAGGGACAGGAGTGGCGGTTACTATTCGTGGAAACAAACAAAATGCAATTTATGCGAGAGGAGCGAGTATCGAACGGCTGAGTGTTCCAGAGCTTGCCATTTTTGGGGATATCGTTGAAAGTTCAGACGGCACACACCTCGCACAAAAGCAACGCTGGCAAAGTGACTGCGCATAATAATGTATGCCATGGCAACATCCCCTGCATCCTTCGTCGTCGCCATCCCGGCGTCGTCGCAGAGTTGGATCGCGTCGACTCATCTTCTCGCGTCGCACGGGGCAGTGGCAACCATGGAGTCGTCTTTCCTCTCTCAGCTGCGTTCTATTCCCATCAAGTCGGTGGTGTCCATATCTCTGTACTTTTTAACGTTTGGTGCATGTCTTACCATTGCCCTATCCCGAGCGCTGAGATCACTACCTTACACGATCGCCGCGTGGATATACACCCCTATAGCTCTCGCCTCCTTGTATATTACTTGGACCGAAATTTTCAAATTCATCGAAAATGACTACCAAACCTTTGGGGGCAATAGTACCTTGACCGACTACTTGACCGAGAGCGACTGGTTCGACGCGGCATATGTGGCGGTGACGCGCAACCCCGATGGTTGGTGGTGGAGCGTTCAGTTGTTGAATGTCGCCGCCGTTATTGTTGCCCTTATTTGGAGTGAGGGTGTACATCATTGGGCTCGGAAAACCGTCAAGGGGGGGCCGGGATTGATTAGAGCAGGTCTTGGTAGCGCTCTGGCCTACGTTTTGCTGGGATTTTTGGGCGCCATGAGTGTTTGCTTTGCTTCCTTTTTGGTGCAAAGAAGTGTGATAGAAAGTAAGTTATTCTCACTTCTCGATCTCGCAGTGTACTCATCTGTTGACTCACGTTTTCAGGAACCTACGTACTAAAGTCATCTCCTCGACTCACGCCTAGCGTCTTCCTTCTCTTTGGATTCTACGTTCTAGGAGTAGCCTATACGCCCTATATCGAACCATCTTCCGTGCTGTTTGGAGTCAATCTAAAGCTCCTTCATCTTGCTCTACTTCTGCCCGTCTTGGGCGCGGCTGGACCAGTTTTGATTCACAGGCCAAAGACAATCACATCCACCACAAACCTGTCAAGCCAAAAAGGCATCGAAAGTTTGTACACCTTCTTGGCGATTGCAAACCTAGTCTCCTACGGTTTCGCGACGTACCAGCGTTGGCAAGACTGGAGCGGTCTCAACGTTCCGGAAATCCTGCAGAGACAGGCCGATGCTGTGTACGATAACCCGTGTCAAGTGAGCATCACTGCGGACCTTGCATTCTCCGGCCTGATTGCCGTACTATTCCTCGCTAGCGAAGTCCGGAAAGGTGTTAAGGCGGGCCTGGTTGCACCTCTTCACGGTTTCTTGGTAGTCTTTGGGGGGATGATCGCTTCGCCGATTGTTGGAATCGCGGTGGTGCTACCTGCGTTTTTGGCATGGCGTGAAGGGTGGGTTAGGAAGGAAGTAGGTGCCAAGAGCAAAGCAGCATAAGAGCGGCATTATTTAGTGCCACATGTTTTCTGTTGTTGTTTGTTGTTCTTTATAGTTGGATACCGTTGTAGAGTGTATTGTATTTGAGATGCGGTAAAAATATTACTGTGAGGTAACCGAGATCAGTGAGGTAGCCTCAATGTATGACGCAGAGCAGTAGTTGCCGCGAGATCTTGTCCAAGTGCAACACAGGTCGAAAATATCCCCTTACTGGTCTTTGGAGTCCTGTTTCGTACTTTAGGTGTCATCAGGGCAAAGTATCGATTGTATCGGGGCATGTCCCCTTTGTAAAGAAACACCAACCATGGGCGAAGGACAGATTGGACAAGGCATGGAGCTTACGTCACGCGTATTCATGCTCACAAGAACGCGCATCGCGACCATCACCTTTGAAGTCGAGCCTGCCTCGCAATTGGCAAAAACACAATCCCGACACCATCCCCAGCAAACGCAAACAACTACACTGTAAACAGACACTTTAAAGAATATGACTGCTATATTCAACGAAGGGAACATGGACGTTGGTGGAAATCATCGGATTGAGCCTGATGTATGAGCATTTTTTCGCAACCCCCGTCGGCGCATTTCCAACTTTTCTACTTCGATCACCTATTATAGCATGAAGGCTTATCCTACCACAAATGGTACAATATACCATGCGCCGATCTTCTTGCAGCATCGAAACAGCAGTTGGTGGTGATTCCCGGGGATGTATCTGTTGAGCAAGCTTGCGAGGTAGGTGTGTTTTTCGAATATAAAGCAACAGGAGATGATTCAACGGTTCTTTTCAGACTTTGATTAAGAATGGGATTTCGTCTGCGCCTGTTTGGGATAAGGTAGGTAGGGATACGGCAAACCGTTTCGGTTAATGGCGCCCGGAAACGCTGGTAGACAGCTCAGCGTGATTCATTGGCAGGAACGGAGCACTTTTGTGGGAATGTTTGACTACCGGTAAGATCATACAGTCACATCAAATCTGCAACCGTTAGCATAACACCTTTCCCCCGACAGGGACGTGGTCACCTATGTGCTAATAGGACTAAGCAAAGACGCACCTCTCGACGATTCAACACCGATGGAGCTGAAAGAGTTGGTAAAACGGGCACGTGCACATCAACCCGTTCCAGCAAAGCTTGCAGCAGGTATTCTATCGCAATGGTCTTTTATAAATATTACCTGTGCCGCCTGATAACCTTGTTTATCAGATATCTCACACAAAAACCCGTTTTATTCCGTCATGGAGGAAACACCCCTTTTGCAAGTCGTAAGTTGAGAGTTCTACATCTTCAGCTTGTTTATACTATCCTCAAACTTTGTCGATCGGCATTAGGCAGATCTTTTCTCCAAGGGAATTCACCGTGTCGCAGTGAGGGACGGGGAATTGAGAGGCATTATTTCACAGAGCACTGTTATTCAATATTTGTACAATAATGTAGGTGCTTCTTGTTCTCCAGTTGCACAGTAATGACGGACTCAAGCTGTGTTGCACTCTATTCCACTAGTTGAAGCTGTTTCCGGATGTTCAGCAAATCTTTGCTAAACCGGTACGTTGGATGAGTACACAAACATAACTACACACATTCTGGTTAATTACGGTTCTCGTGTATGATAGTTACGCGAACTGGGTCTGGGTAGCAAATCCGTCGTTGCAGTCGACGCGCAAACAACCGTCCTGGAAGCCTTGAAAATCATGGGTAACCTTCGACTATCTCTCCTTCGCGCATATACCATTATCTTACAAATTCCTTCTAGCCAAAAATGATGTGTCTTCTTTAGCCGTATTGAACGACAGTGGTGGCATCGTGGCGAATTTGAGCATGTCAGACATCAAATGGGTCATGCGATCATTTCGGTTTAATTTGCTCTGGGAGACTTGTTTGCATTTTGTTGGGTTCATTGATTCCGAACAGGTAAGGTCTACATATCGCGGATCATATGAATTCATACTAATAACACTTCGTTCGGACCAGGGCCTGATGGACGGGAAGGTACACATCCCTTTCTCTACCGCACAAGTAGCAGTTGCTCACTAAACACTCTTGCCATAGGACAAGCTTCCTGTCTTTGACGTTCTTGAAACATCAACATTAGGCTATGCTGTTGGGAAGATGGTAGCAACACGCGCACACCGCGTCTGGGTTGTGGAGCGGGCGGGCGGACCACCTGTGTCGGTGGTGACGTTGACGGATGTATTTAGGGTGATTACGCCAGCAGATAAGATGGAGGAAGAATGAGCTTTTGTTTTTTCTGATTTGGGGAGAGAGTGGAGTTTGATGGTTTTCGGGGGCAATCGGCCTTCTATTCCGAGGGAAAACAGGTGATTGTGTCGATGAGCAGCATACCAGTCATGAAAACGTTTCCCAAGGATAACGTGGTTGTGTAAATTTGATATTCCATCCGTAAACTTGTAAACTTGGGTTGGCACGGTTATTCCGCTGGTGGATATCTTCATCTCTCTATATTCGATTGAACTATCAATCCCATTAATGGTCGAAATCATCTACTATATGCCAGTTTCTGCAGTTTGCGCCTCCAATTTTTCAACTTCTATTTCCTCCAAGTACTTCTGATCCGCCTGGTCGGCAATAATTGCCCGTTCACGCTCCGTCAACCCTGGTCGTCCATAGCCAAGCTTTTCCAGATTTCGCTGCATTGAAACAAAAATGCAATCAGCCTACATGATCACTCAAATACAATCCTCACACGTATCAGAAAAGTACCTGTTGAATTTGGAAGCACTTTTTAAACGCCTTATTCTTCTCAGAACAAAGAGAAGACCTCTCCATCCACGACCCATTCCTTAAACAGTCAGCATATGCCCAATTTAGATCCGCACAATTATTTCTTGCAGTGATCTGCAGCGCATGCGGGGCGAGTTTGTGGGCTACAGCTGAGGCCAGTGCTTCGCGTTCCTCTTGAATAATTTTTTGGAGACAGTCCCGTTCGGCAGGGGTAGTAGGAGGACCAGGAAGAGGGTGGTAAGGATTTTCCCATACTTCGGGGGCAATGTGAATTTTCTCTGCTACGGGATCAGATCTTGGTATTGTTGGCGTAGGTTCCTCAGGTTGCGGCCGGCTGGTGGTGGGTTTTGAGGAGAGGCCAAGGGAGCGGAGAGTCCAATTCCATGCGGACGACAAAGTGGACGGCTGGGATGTGCTAGTCGTATTCTCGCGGTCTACCCGCGCATCGTCCTGTAGTGTCATTATGCAGTAATGGAATGATCTTCCGAAACCATATTCGCAGTGGGATCTCCGTTCAGGTTGTTGCCATGTCACCAAACTCTAATGTAATGTTACACAAGCGCGCGTGACGGACAAGCCGCCACGGGATTTCGATCCCCTGTTGCTTATTCCTGCTATCCCCCATAAACTTTGGGCCATTTCTAGAGTATTCTCAATAAGGGTACGGGTGAGTGATGATGATATACTAGCTGTGGTGAGATAGTGATTGAACGCTGACTTGGTCTTGTTTCTCTTGCTCGCAGCCTTCATCGTGGTGTCCATTTTGGTATAACACGCGCCGTCCCACTGGAGTCCGACCCCAAAACTCGCATTTGACAGCGAGGAGACAAACCCGAATTTATCCCTTAAAATGTCCAAAGTAATGGAGAAGGTCCGGTTCATCTTCCGGACGTTCATCTTTGTCGTTATCATGGACTGTTCCGCCGCGTCTATCAATCTCGTACAATACCCGTCCCTCATTCTCTCCCTCGTCTCACGCCACCTCTACCGACGATACATCCAATTTACACAGGCCATGTTTGGCTCCTTGATCGTACTGCTGACATATCTTTTTACACCTGTGGAGATTGTTGTAACCGGCAATCATAGACATCTGGATAAAGATGCCACTGCGGTCATCATGGCCAATCATCAGATCTACAGCGATTGGTGGTGGCTGTGGATTTTGGCGTGGAAGAGGAATGCGCATGGAAGTTTAAAGATTATTCTAAAAGAGTCTTTGAAGTTTTTGCCCGTATTTGGTACGTTTTGGGTGTAAACCACGACCACGGATCTCTGTACTGATCCCGTTTTATTTCTAGGTTGGGGAATGCAATTCTTCGAGTTTATCTTCCTCGCTCGTAAATGGGCTCTGGACCGAGTTACTATGTCAAAAATCCTTCATCGCTCGCTTCGCGACAAACTTCCAGTCTGGTTGGTCATCTTTCCCGAAGGCACTATCATTACTGACGACACGAAAGAAAAGTGCCGTGCCTATGCCAAGAAGATGGATATCCCCGATGATCCACAACATGTCCTCATACCAAAATCGACTGGCCTATACTTTTGTCTCAAAAATCTCCAACCCGCCGCCACCCATCTATGGGATATCACAATGGGTTATCAGGGACTAGATGGAAAGCAAACCCCCTACGAAGTCTATAGTCTGAGTCGAGTCTTTTTTGAAGCCAAGGGTCCTGAGCGTGTTCACATGCACGTCCAAAAATTCCCTGTAAAAGATCTTCCGGGCTTCAACGAAGCGGCGACAATGAATACAAGAGATGACGAAAAAATGGATCGTTCTGAAGTCGAAAGCAAGAAGGACGAAGACCGCTCAGAGCAGTTTAGTCTCTGGCTTCGGAAGCGGTTCTTAGAAAAGGACGAGTTGATGGCTGAATTTTACAAGAACGGCCAATTTAGTGACGACGGTGATGAGCCTTTGATTATTCGGCCTGTGCCTACGCTCGCTGACTGGGCATCTTTGGCGGGTGTCCTGAGTCTTGGGACGGGAGTGGCTATTACCCTTTGGAATTGGTGGATATGAAATTACTCGACTAGAGATGAATGTGTAGGGTACACTGTAGCACGTCGAAATGATATCGTATGTTTGAATAGCCAATTTTATATATACGGGAAAGTTAGACCTCTTTAACGTGCCCTCGTGCGGATACGCTTTGCCAGCGTAGTCATTTTCAAGGCAGGAATATAAAGCTGTTTGCGGGACTCTTAAAGGTTTCTTTGATCCCACTGTTGATCGTCGCTTACGCGAATTGGAAGGATGAATAACATCACGTGATCCTGACAGATGAACGTCGACTTCTTGCCCAGGTGCGCTGGTGATCTGCAGGTTGAAAGCATGCCAGGGCCCCCGGTACCATACCAGCCATCACGTCATGATACCTATCTTACCGACACACCAACAGACCCCCTCCCCGTCAAAACTGTAAGATCCCTTTCCGCCAACCGACCGTCTGCAACAATCCGCCAGGCCTTCACCGGCAATTCACCGTCCGTCGAGCGTTATGAAAAGCTCAACCGAGTTGGAGAAGGAACCTACGGTATTGTTTATCGTGCGCGCGACAAAGCTTCGGGTACAATAGTCGCCTTAAAGCGAATACGGATGGAACAGGAGCAAGAGGGGTTACCTCTGAGTTCCTTAAGGGAGATATCTCTTTTAAAGAGCTTGAGGCACGAGAATGTTGTGAGCGTCTTGGATGTGGTTGTTGGAAATGGCTTGGGTAGGCTATTTTCTTAGCGTTTCGGCTGATGGAAAGTAACTAAGATCTGACATGAAATCCCCGATCTAGACAACATATTTATGGGTAGGTGGTGGATTTCGAATGGTTGATGTAGAGTATGAGTAATTCATGCTGGACATTGCGATCTGCACTTGAGTAATGGAATATTGTGAACAGGTATGCAAATGTAGTTTCCCGCGGTTGTCTTGGAACTCTATTTAATCCTTGCTTCAGGACATGGGTAACTTAATGGATAATGTCATCAACAAAGGGCCACATCCTGGGTACAGAGAAGCTGAAGGTAAACTCTGCCGGTCAATGCATACCGAGTGTTCTTGGGTGGCTTCTGATACTTAGTTGTATTACAGTGAAGTGTCTCATGTCGCAACTCTTGACAGGACTGGGTATGTGGTCGCATATCGAGTCAAGTGCTTGTACATGAGTACTTATACTTTACAGCATACCTGCATGATAATTATATTATTCACAGGTGCGTGCCTACATGCCTTTCAAATGTTATCTACTTTCTATGTTGACGATACCTGATGATTTTCATCTTGACATATATAACTGCAGAGACCTAAAATTATCCAACCTATTGCTGACGTCGAGTGGGATACTGAAAATTGGTGAGTGGGCAACAAAGATGCCAGAAACGTCTCATTTGGCACTTAATGTCACTGACTGAATCTCATATACTAGCGGACTTTGGACTTGCACGTAAATTCGGGACACCTGTCCGGCCGATGACACCTAAAGTAGTAACACTTTGGTACCGTGCACCGGAATTGCTGTTTGGTGAAAAGTCGTACACAACCGCAATCGACATGTGGTTGGTTGATTTGTTGGTAACTATCGATGTTCAAATGCTAACGTACTCCACAGGGCGGTAGGATGCATTTTCGGTGAGCTCATTCGAGCCAAACCTCTGCTACCAGGCAAAGTCGAACAACAACAGCTTGATCTCATCTGCCGCCTATTGGGGACCCCGAACGCCCGAATCTGGCCCGGCTTTGATAAGCTTCCTTACGCCAAATCGGTGAAACTCCCGTCCATTCCGTACGATGATATTGCCGGCCAATTTAGCGAACAAAAAGAGTCTGTACGTAAACTCTTGAAAAGCTTGTTAACGTATTACCCTTCAAGCCGCCTCACGGTTCACGAAGCGCTACGCCACGATTACTTTCGAGAGAGTCCGCCAGCGTGTGCGCCCGTGTTGTTGCCAACATACCCCGAGCTTCGAACAGAGGAGTATGCGCGAAATCCACGTAACAATGACCGGAAGCGACCCAGAGTGGAGGATCGTGATGTTAGCAGAGTCCGACGGAGTCGCGGACAGCTGGATCCATCCATTTTAACAAGAGCGAGAGAGGAGGAGGAAGAACTAGAATTGGGTGTTCCTGCTTATCAACAATTCCGGTTTTCGTGATATTGCATCCTATATTTGTAAATATACCGTGGTTAAGACTAGTGGGTGGCACAGCAAGTTCCAATCTCTCAGCCGTCAATCTTTCCATCCCCGATGATCTCTTTTGCGTGGTTTAACTCAGAGCGCTTTTGGTTCGTGGTATGACTGCCACTGCTGCAAACTGTCGGCACTCTACACACCTGCGAAGTCTCGCTTTTCCTCCTTCGTTTGTTGTGATAGATTGTTCACCATCACTGCCATTCATAACAACGCGATTCAGAACAATGACCAGCGAAGCAAGTAACCCTGATGACTATTCACGATTCTTTACTGTCCGCAGTGCGGCGAGGAAGCCGTCTGCAATCAGGGCCTTGCAGCCCCTTTTGTCCATTCCTGGCATGGTATGTAACTGTCTATTCGTTTTTACTGAATGTTTGAGAATTACATAGTTTGGACTCGTGCAGATCTCCCTAGGAGGCGGCAACCCAAACCCGACAACATTCCCGTTCAAGGAGCTTAGTTTCACATTGAAGGATGAGGCAGGAGGCGGGGAGATTCATGTTGAGAGTGGAGACTTGCAGAAAGCTTTGCAATATAGTCCCACGGTGAGCAATTCCCGCCATTCATGCACAAGAATATCACACATTAACGTATATTGGTGGTTGCAGAATGGGATACCAGAGTTTGTTGCCTGGTTAAAAGAACTGCAAACATCCGAACACTCACCATTGTACGATTCGTTTGATGTTTGCGTTGGGAACGGGAGTCAAGATGTACTTACAAAGGTTGGTTGTGGTCGATGCATAGCTTGGCGAGTGACCTCTGAAATCACTTTCTTGTTAGGCCTTTGAGATGCTGCTTGCCGAAGGAGATAATCTCTTGATCGAGTCACCTGCATACGTTGGATCTTTGGCATTTTTGAAACCTTTGGGATGCAAGTTTGTGGGTGGGTTGTGTGGGATGGCAGATCTCTTGGGAGATTGATTGAATCACTGACGGGTACAATGTAGAGGTACCGGTGGATAAGGATGGCCTGGATTCGGACAAATTAGAGGAGATCTTGAGCGGATGGAAGGATGTCCGAACAAGGCCCAAGGTTCGTGAACGACATCGAGGTGGGAATTGAGTGGAGGGGCACGTGGTAACTTCCAAGGTGGATTTCAGGTTCTGTATACAGTACCTGTCGGTGGTAACCCAACAGGGGTGAGCACATCGGTGGAACGGAAGCGAAAGATATACGAGATAGCAAAGCGGTACGATATCATCATCCTGGAAGATGATCCATATTACTACCTGCAGGTTTGTTCATATCGCAAAGTGTTCAATGCAATGGTATCCTAACCCGCGAATCGTACTACTAGTTTGGTGACAAGCGAGCAGCCACTTACTTCTCTATGGACGCAGACAAGAGAGTCCTGCGCTTTGACTCCCTCTCCAAAATCTTCTCGGCCGGCATGCGTATCGGATGGGTAACAGGTCCAAAACCCCTAGTCGACAGAATTGTACTGCATGGCCAAGCGACGATGCTCCACCCTTCCGGATTGAGTCAGATGCTCGCCTACCAACTACTGAAAAAGTGGGGACGTGATGGGTTTTTGAAGCACACCAGAAGTGTTGCTGGGTTTTACGAACAAAAGCGGGATTTATTCTTGCAGAGCGCTAGCAAAAGGCTGCAGGGTGTTGCGGAATGGACTGTTCCTGATGCGGGTACGTGAACAACGTTCATCTCGTCAAGACAATTGTATCAAAATCTGAACTTTTTACTAGGAATGTTTGTTTGGTTGAAGCTCCTCGGAATAACAGATTCTTCAGATTTAATTAAGCAAAAAGCGATGGAAAAGAAGGTGCTGCTAGTCCCTGGTTTTGTAAGTTTTCCATTTTAAGGCGGTGAGCGAGTCTGCATTGCTTATTTACATTCCTGGAAACATAGGAGTTCTTCCCAAATCCCACTACAACACCCTATGTTCGAGCATCTTATTCTATTGCGGAAGCTGAGGATATGGATGAGGCGTTAAGGAGGTTGCGTGAATTGGTAGAGGAGGCTAGAAGTTAGATTAACTAGCGAACAGAGTGGGAACTAGTTAACAGATGTTAGATGATGTCAAATGGGTGGTTGCATTCTGCATTCATATAAATCAATCATTTAACCACAATGCGGAAACTCTAAAAGTGTGGTGTGGACTTGTCGTGGTTTTTGCGGGCTTGACGGGAAGGAACAAGTGGTGCATGAATTTATAAACTTTTTGAACGACGTATCTTGTCGTTTGTTCTTGTGTTCCAAATGTGACTTCAGTTACTTGTAATGTGATCCACCAGCGGCTAAACTCGTCCCACCGTTCAACGTTCGCCCCTTGCGACGATTGCCTACGTTGGGGGACAGAAGTGTGACGCGGATGAATGTTCGCGTCACGCGTCTCACCCGCTTCGGCTATAAAGTACACTCACTTTCCTACAACGACTCATTACCATCCATCACCACACACCCCAACAACCCAAAGAATGACCGTTGAAATCGAGACGCTCCCCCCACCAACCCTCTGGACCCGCTACGTCCTTGCGCTCCAAACCCACCCAGTACTTACAAAAGCCAGTACCAGCGCAACGCTCAATGCCCTCCAAGAACTACTTGCATCACGTATAGCAGGAAGCGATGCACGGCTTGCCCGTCAAAAAGCGGCCAAGATGGCCGCATATGGATTTTTTGTGAGTGGACCGTTGGGGCATTACCTATATCAAGGGTTGGATAAGGCTTTCAAGGACAAGACTGGTGCGGGATGGTCAATCTTGAAGCTTTTGGTTAGCAATTTGGTCATTGCGCCTATTCAGAATGCTGGTGAGTGTGCAGTGACTTTCCGCTTTGGGGTTTGGTATGTGGTTAATGTGGTTGCTCTTCCAGTCTACCTCGCGGCAATGGCGTACATTGCGGGAGCAGGCATTCCAGGCATTCTGCAAACCCTAAAAACCCGTCTACTTGGAGTCATGAAAATGACATGGCTCATCTTCCCATCTGTTCAGATCATTGCGTTCAAGGTAAATTTAAGCAGACTAATTTGTTCTCTGATATGTTACTCACCCAAAATTGCTCACAGTACCTCAGCCAAGAACTCTGGCTTCCCTTTTTCAATCTCGTTGCATTCGTATTTGGGACCTACATTAATGTTGTAACAAAGTTGGCTGCCGAGAAAAAGAAGGGTGTTACGGGTGGGAAGGATTTGTAGATTTGGGTCGATCTTTGATAGTCTATTTCATTTTAAATAAAAATGATGATGCACGTTGGGACGAGAAACTGGATACTGGTGTGCCTGTGCTGTTGAAGTATTTCAAAGCAGTCTTGCGAAAGAAGCCTGCTCTATCAAAGACCTGGTGAATTGGAGGATGAATTGAATCCCACGGTCAAGATCACGTGAAATCGATCCAACTCAACGAAGATGAATCCCCTTGCCAACCCCAAGAGATCATCCAAACCCATGAACCATGTCCAGATCACATAACCCCCGGTGCTATTTTGATATAGAAATTGCGGGACAGAAGGGTGAGTTGGAATATGTGTGAATCTTCAATTGGCAGGTCATCTGTTTCCGTACCCAGTCTGATCTTGTTCCATTCCCTTGTCACCAGCCGGGAGAATCGTCTTCGAACTCTTTGCAGACGAAGTCCCAAAGACCGCGGAAAACTTTCGGTATGGCAAGGACGTTCCCTTATTTGGCAGGCATTCCATTAACCCGGCGTAATGAGCAGCGCACTATGCACTGGTGAACGCGGAAGAAGCGCCAAAAGTGGCGCAACATTGCACTATAAAGGCTCGGCCTTTCATAGAGTCATTCAAGACTTTATGCTCCAGGGCGGGGATTTCACGAATGGAGATGGAACTGGCGGGGAAAGTATTTATGGGAGCCAATTTCCGGATGAGAGTTTTAAGCGGAAACATGATGTCGAATTTTTGCTATCAATGGCAAACCGAGGTCCCAATACGTGAGTATTGGTGCGATAGTTCTGTATCTCTTGGTGATTTTGCGATTAAGATTTGGGCGATTTAGAAACGGATCTCAATTCTTCATCACCTGCGCTCCGACGCCGCATCTGGACGGAAAGCATGTGGTGTTTGGAAGGGTAGTCAGTGGTCAAGACATTGTGCGCAAAATCGAGGTGCTGCCCACTGATAGAAAAGACCGACCCCACGATAAAGTCATCATCGCTAATAGTGGAGAGCTGGAACGTGTCGTTACGAAGCGACGACCATCGGATCGGGACGCTACTGCTGAAACAAAACGGAGAAGGTCGCTCACCCCTTCTTCGTCGTCCTCTTCATCATCATCAGAAGAGGAACGAAGACGTAAGAAGAAAACCAAATCTAAAAAACGGCGACGCAGATCGCCCTCCACTTCTTCCGAATCATCTTTATCGTCCTCCGAATCAAGCTCCCCTTCATCATCGTCCGAAGAGGAACGAAGCAAAAAGCGAAAAAAGGCAAAGAAGAAGAAGAAGAAGCAAAGTAAACAGAAGGAAGAATCCAAATCCATTGAGGAATCTCAAACCGTTGAAGAGTACGTTGGCATTGCTCCACCTGAGGAGATCAACGGTCCAAGGTCGTGGCTGGACCGTAGCGGTGGCAAGCATAACAATGAGCGAAGACAGTTGGTTAACGCCGACTTAACAAATCGGCATGGGTTTGAGAGGAGAGATAAGGATGGTCGCATTGTAAAGGGGCGGGGAATGATGGTACGTCAGGACGTCCTTTTGTTCAAGCCGCATGTTTAATCATCTTATATGACACAGCGATACCGACGAGAAAACGAAGGGTATCCACGGTACCACGATCAGCGCTCCCGTGACAGACATGACTCGTATCGTCGAGATGATCGGGACCTGCGTGAACGCATTGAGCACCGTCGCGAACGAAGAGATCAAGATGAGCCGAGTCGCAGCCAAGTTGTAGTTGTCGAGCGCAAACCCGAGAGACGAGATGGCGATTCAGGAGAGGAAAATGGGCATCGGGAGCAGAATGGGACTGAACAGGGCGAACGAGAAATGGAGGCAGATCACGATGGTGATGATGCACCTCTACAGGATTTGGGGGAGGTGGACGCTGAAAAAATGACGGAAGAGTGAGCCTTTAGGCCTGTGTGAATTGATTTGAATAATAAGATACAATAGTTCTGTAGTCCTTTCGATCGCTGATCATAGAGTTTTCCATGCAACAATGCATGCTAGTCAAACGTTCATGTATTCATCAAAATCACTCATAAAGCAGGTGAGGTAAAACAAATCACAAATCAAATATCAAAAAAACACAGCGACAAAACAACAGATATGATGGCATAATATCTATACAGGTGCCACTTCCGAAGAAGCCAAAATGACTGCCTGCATTCTCTTTGCGCGAACAAAGTCGGCATTCGCACGCTAAACCAAAAGGAATATGTCAGTAACTGTTGACGTCAATGCTTTATCGACAATCACAACATACCAGAATAACAAAGAACCCAACAAACATCATCAAATACGCCACCCAATCATTCTCCACTTTTACTTCCTCGCGCTCTTTCTCAGTCTCATTTTCATACTGAATCATCTCATCTGTCGACCGAGTCTTGATATAAAATCCATACCGAATGAGGGTAATACCAAATCCACAGCGAGACCCTGCCCTTGCGGCATGGGTAGTCGCTAGCATCGCCGTAAGGAGGAAACCAATGAAGTCAAATGACATGGATACGAGCATGTTGACGATGAAGGTAAAAAAGTCTCCTACGGGCAGACCTGCAAAACGAGTTGAGCGCTCATGAAAATTTGACATTGAATACGGAAAGGCCAACCTACCCTCAATAAGCACTTCCCCGTCCTCAGCGAACCCACTAGATATCACAGTCGTCTCATAGTAAGAAGGTACAGGGTCATGCGCAACTTCCGCATACGAAGGTGGCTCGAGCTCTTGGTACGTCTTGCCTTCTGGTTTGGCAGACACCTCGGGCTTTGCGCTCAAGTTTGCAAATACCCCGTCGTTTCCTCTTATGAGAGGTGCATGGGCGCGGGTAGGAGGGGTTGAGGAGGAGGTGTCGGGTTCTTGTGGAGGCTGCTGGGGAGTGGCAGACGTACTTTCTTCCTCGGCTTCTGGGACTCGCTCGTAGTTGGGCATTTTTCCCGTTGAACAAATCTATCGCACTCTTTAACCCTAATAAAACTTGAACAGAGACCGAATAACAGACCAAGCGAGAAGTAGAAACGAGATGGTAGTAAAAAAGAGATTGTAGCCACTAGTTATTTTGAAACCTAAAAATAGCCCTGCAAAGGTTGACAAATAGCTACAAGTCCAACTGAGACGGCGTCCCCGAAGAATCCACTACAGCCACTGCACTCGATTGTACAAGTGCATTCGAGTGCGCTCATACGTAAGCAGAGCGGATGACTGTGTCTCATGGGAAATTGCTATAACGTTCATGCAGGGAACAATATATTGATGATAATGTTCAGTAGATCGTGAAAGATGCAACTAGTCCTGATAGGGAAAATGACAAAAATGGACAAAACGCATAGCCAAGTGTCCCGAAACAGAAAACGTCTCGCAGTCTCAAAAAACTGGGGCATTAATCACGGAAATCAATCTATCACAGGTCTCTTCAGAGTACGCAGCATTCACTAGTTTGGTCATATTTCTGATGATGCATCCACTTATATTCGTAAGAAAACATACACAGCTTAACATTTTATTATAATATCTAGATTAAGGCTTTAGGGTCCAAGAGTGTCACCGGCGGGAGAGGGGGGAATTCGGTCTCGCAGGAAATGAACGCCGAGGAAAATCGTTCAGACGATGACGGAAAAAGACGCCACGAAGAGCCCAAAAAAGGGGGTAGAAGGGATTCAAAACGTAAAAAAAAGCCGCGGTTCTCGCAGAAAACAAACGCCGAGGAAAAAGGTGAAACCGATGGCGTAGGAGGGCAGCATGAACATACAAGGAAAAAGAGGACAAAAAGGTGGTCGTATACGTCCAAAAGTAATGTCGATGTTGATGCACCCGATTTGACACTGGACGTTGCTGCCTTTTCATTGCGGAACGTCAAATTCATGACCCCGTGGACATTTCGCCCAGGTACTCAACTGGAATCGTAAAGGGACAGGGCTGCCTACTCTGCTTAAGCCGACCGAAGTCAGGAACCCGCAGGTTTGGGACCTGTCACGCAGGTCCGATAACCATAATTGGTGCAGACTCTTTCTCAAAACCAATTCAAATGGAAAAAAAGAGCGGCTGGGGCCGATGGTACACGATTCGGGGCTAACCAAATGCCCAACCCGTCAGGGTGCAGCGTGACTCTGGGAACCACCCTTTCCAAACAGCAACATCGCATGATTTGGGAACCCCGAAAACTCACCTTACTGTGTCTTTGCTTGACGCGGTGGAGAGCGGATGCGCGAGCCAGATGTTGGTACAGCAAGTGCCAAGTCAGGTTAAACTGCGGACGACGGAGGTGGTGAAGAATGGTGTTGCGGGAAAGTCCATCCGTGGGAAATTTGGTGATGAGTAGGGTTGGTGGGAACGCGCGTTGAACGCGGTTAGAAGATTGCAATATAGCTGTCCCAATTAGGCTAGATTACAAGCACGTGAGTAACTAACCCTTTCTATGACTGTGCCGAGTCTTCCTGGCGCTGCACTCGAGTGCACAAGTGCATTCTACTGGGCTAATACGTAAGCGGAGCAGGTAACTTGTGGGCTTTTGCTTGCGGAGTCGAGGGGATCTGCCGTATTGGCCGTCCTATTTACGCTCTTAACAATATGGATTTTTGGATTGCATTAAGAATATTTGGGGCATTACCCTTAATGAAATTACAAGAACCTAACAGCAATTCCCGTATTGATGTCAGCAGAATGGACATGATACGCTATCCGCGGCTGACACAACCAGATGTTGCTGCAAAGAATAGATAAAAGGTCCACCGTTCCCCATTTGACACCCCATGCGGCTTTGAGAACGGGGGGCTTGACGTTCCCGCTTCAGAGACCGGTGTCATCCGTGTAAATGTCGTCACTCTCCCACATGTATGCAAGTGCACGTCATCAGCAGCTGGATCGTCTTAAAGCTTGTCCAGTCTCTTCTGCTTTCGTTACTTTCCAGACCAGTTATCTCCACCGTATCAACAGAGAATCCATTTCACTTTGAGTTATAAAATCTAATTGTTACTCTACGCATCAGAGTCATGACAAGCAGAGGCCAGGTAAGGAATGGATTAATCGTTCACGAGGCACAGACTGTGAGTTAACCAAAAATCTGCCCATATTCTCATTCCCATGCCCCTCCACATTAGAAGGTGCCACCTACCAAAACCAAAGCCCATGTCGGGAGTGCAGAGCAAGCTGGTCCAGCTGGTACCCTCGCTGGAGCGGTTGTCGAAGAGTATGCTACTCAAGCGACCAAGTTAGGCCCCGCGACCATGGGAACTACCACAGCTGCATATGAGCCGGTTGCGACTACCCCGGTTGTAGGGCAAGGTGTGGGTGGTATGGCGGGAAAGCAGCCTGCAGGCGGCATGCATACGGAGACTGTCATCGCACCAGCAGCCCACGGTGCCCCAGATGTACCTCATGTTCATACCGGTGCAAGAAAAGCGCAAGGTCCTACCGGAACGACCAGGAGCGCTGGTCAGAAGACCGCGGATACGACCAAGCACGCCGTTCATACCGGGTCGGAATTGGCAGGTAAAGCAACACAAGGAACCACGGAAACTGTGAAAACCGCTGGCCAGCAGGCTAGAGATACGACGAAAGGTGCCGTTCAAGCAGGATCGGAGATGAGTGCAAAGACAGCAAAAGCGGCCACCGATACTGCCAAGAATGCCGGACAGCAAGCAAAGGATACCACTAAAAATGTCGCTCAAACTACTGCCAATGTCGCCAGCGAAACAGCGCAACTCGCAGCCAATACTGAGAAACAAACCGTAGAGGCTACTAAAAGTGCCGCTCAAGCCGGTACCGAATTGGCTGGAAAGACAGCACGCGCTGCGACCGATTCTGCCCTCAACGTCGGTCAGAAGGCGATTGATACCACCAAGGGCGCAGCTACTACTACAGCAGACGTTGTCAGTGGAACTGCGAAGGCTGCAACCGATACGGCCGTGAACCTCGGGCAAAAGGCCGTTGACACCACCAAAGAAGCCGGTGCAAAGACAATGGATGTGACCTCCGGGGCTGTTCAAGCAGCGGCCGACATCGCTGGACGGACCACCGAAGCTGTGACGGACACCGCCAAGGGTGCTGCTCAAACTGCCTCCGAAGCTGCAAGCAAAGCAACCGGTGCCACAGTCAGTGCTGCACAATCGACGGCTGAAGCTGCATCTGACGTTGCCGGCAAAGCTGCTGGAGCTACAGTGGAAACCGCACGTCAGGCCACGACTGCCGCTCAGGAAGCCGCCGCTGCCACCGCCGAGACCGCCGGGAAAGCTGTCCAGAGCACCAGCGAAACCGTTGGCTCCGCCTATACCCACGGTAAAGAACGTGCCGCCGAAGAAGTCCATACCGTCCTAGAAACGACTAAAGGCATTGTCGGAGGAACCATTAAGACTGTGGAGCACGCCGCTGAGGCCGTTGTAAGCACCGCTGCTGCTGCTGCCGGTGCCGCCGCAGGTGCAGCCAAAGGTGTCGCTCAGAAAACAGCCGGAGCGGCGATGGGCGTTGTTGGTGGGACCGTGGAAATGGCGAAATCAGTTGTCGGAATGGGTGCGGCCTCTACCGAAGCCGTTGCCGAGGCGGTTAGTGAAGAGAAACAGGAAATAGTTGGCGATGCTAAGGCGCTGAAGGAGGGACTCAAAGCTCCCGAGGCTGAAACGACGCACAAAAAGATTGTACAGCATGTTGCAGATGAGCATGGGAATGTGAGGGAAGTTGTGGTTACCGGTGGTGGAGCTGAAAAGGAGGAATGAACAGAAGCTCATCTTGCGTTGCGCCTGTTACACATTGGAAGGCAATGTGATTTAGTGTAGTTGATAGTATCCGTGCTTTCATTCTGGCGTATATCAGTGGCATATTCCGCTTTTGCATAATTTTCATGTACATGGGGTCTTTCGTAAATATTGAAATATGATTTCTCTTAAAAAGATGTAAATCCCGAAGATGACCCAACCCAAGGGCGCGCGACGCGGGCCTAAGCGGACGCATAAGCATTGACGTGTGTGGTAAAACACGATATTAGGAACGTGCTTTCCTCCCTACTTCTTCTTGTACCTGCAAGAGAAGATCAACCAACTCATGCTCGCTTCCCCATCCTTCCACCGCAGCACCTCTGCATCCTCGTCCTCATCCTCAGATCTTCCTCTCAACACAACCCTGCTCGATCCAGCAGACAACGTTTATCTCGACAGCAGCGGCCAACTATGGCGCAAATCTCCAACCGGTCCAGCTGATCTTCTGTCCCCCTCCGAAGCGGAAACAGTCCGCAACGCACTGCGAAAGAAAATGCTAGGAAATATTCTTCGCGACGTTGAGCGATATGACTTGTTGATTGGACCTGGATTTCCTGGTGCTGGACCAGCTCTAGCCGTAGAACCAGACCAATCTTTGTCTATGACTCCATTCCAATCTCACCCGCTCGAATCCCCACAACCATCCCCAACAGACTTGACCCCCGATTACCTAGATCATCTCCTAACCCTTACGCCCTCCCAACTAATGCACGAATTCCGCCATGTACCATCCATCGGCACTCTCTTGGAGCGCGTTCTGCCGTCCCGTCCAACGGCATTTGTCGTGAAGAACGTTGTATCGTTGGCAGTTAAGGGGCTACCACGCTTCATGAGACGTTGGGTTCCGAAACTGAATAAGGATGACACAGAGGAGGCTATTTTGAGAAGACGATTGATGGAGCTGCGAAATTTGATTTTGAGAAATGGGGTTGGGGGGAAGGAAGATAGATATTCAATGTGAGTGAGCCGACTTTGTACTCGTAACGTTGATCATATCCGTTTTCTAACATTGCGTATTCACCAGACCAGAAAACCCATCCCTCGCACCTCCACCCCCTCCTCCGCCTCCACCACCCCCACCACCGCCGCAAACACCGTCATGTAAACCACCTCGCCCACCAAGCACCCCACCATCCTCCAAAAAGTCACCCAGTTACCCAACTCTTACCCACGAGCTCCAATCACATCCCCCGGCCCTCCGAACTATCCCCGGCCTTCAACGTACTCCTGGGGGCACGCCTCTTCGCCGCATGTCGCCAACCAAACACCAAATTATTACCGTAGAAGATGTACTTCATGCGGCTTTGAGAAAGAAGTTTGGGAATATTCGAGAGGATGACGATTGGTGATTTTTTTTTTTTTTTTTTGGTGTATCATATTATCAAAAGAGAAATTGTCAAAAGATGTACAATCTCTTTCAAAGAGCGGCATGAATGGAGAAACCGAAAAAGGCTGCTATGAATTACTTCGAAGGTGGTTATGGTGTCATATTGCTAGGCTCTGAATGGGATTTATGTTTTCATGCAGAATGGAGCACCGATCAGACTAGCAAAAGATAGTGTGTACAGGACATGATGTTAACCATGAATTCACCAGTAAGGACAAGAAGAATTGCAAAGAGGAAGAGGATCCAGAATTGTTCTATTTACATCAGTGAAATCTATACAAGTGCTATGCAATTGACGCTACCTACCCTATCTAACTGTGCAAAATACCAGCCCACGCACACGACCACGGCCACACTAACCACCTCCCAAAATGCTTTCCAGAATATCTGCAATTTTCTTCTCCAACTCCCGTTCCGCAGCCCTGCAAACTGCCTTTCTAATTAGTGGCGCCAAGAGTCTTCCCATGGGACCATGTAAAGTGAGTTCAGCGTGTGAAGGAGGAATCGTTGCTTTGATTTTCATGGCAGCCGTGTGGGTGGCCGTTGGTGGTGCATAACGGATGTATAGGGATAAACCTGGGCCACCAACCTGAAGTAACATTTATGATTAAAATGAGAAATGAAAGCTCAGTTGACGATGAATGCATAACGTACCACCCCATCGACACTGCCAGACCATGTCCAAGGCAGAATACGAGTCAAGAAACTTCCAGACGATGGATATCCCTCAGCACCTTTCTTGGCGGGAACAGAGGCAACAACGCATCTGACTCCCTCAAATTTGACCTGCGTCCCCTTCACCAACGCATCTATTTCCGGCCTCGCGTTGTGATGGCCATCGCTGCCTAACCCAGTGGTACTTTGCTCCACTTGTCCCCATCGAACACCGACCCGCACATCAGCCGGGCAAAGGTTAGCTGTGGCGACTATAATGGGATCCAAAACAGTGACTTCGATTCCCCTGGCTGTGAAGGTAAAGGGTGGCACTGGAATGTACTTGTATCGCATTAACAGGCTCGGAAGGACGGCATTTTTAAAGTCTTTATGAAGGGCAGTGAGGTGACGATGCCGGGATGATAGTGACCTGAAGATGGTTGAGACGGCGAAGACGAGTTAAAAGGTACTCTGATGCATGCTCACCCCTTTCCAAAGACGGCGGACCATAACCGATCCGTCCAAAGAGCGACTTCCTTTCTGTACTCATCCTTCCTAAATCCCATCACAATCTTATGCAATTCACAAGCGAACTCTTTCCCGTCGGGGTCATTCAACACTTGGCGTACAGCTTTAACAATGGATTGTGTATCAGGCACAGATTCATTACTTGCTGGTGTATAAGGATCCGTTCCAGGGGAGACTGTGGAGTCAGCTTCCACAAAAGCGCGGAGGGTGGTCACGAGAGCTGGGAAGGCTGGAGACTTTCGGAGACGAGAGAAAATGTCAAGCAGCGGGGAAAGCGGCGTGTTCGTGATGCGCTCCATGAGAATCTGAATTAACGATTAGACCTGTCCAGAACGTTTGCGTCATGCAACCAAACACATACTTTGACATTCTCTCCAGTGACTTTGAACTTCCTTTCCATCTCAGCGCTCTTAATCTTTTGCAATTGGCTCTTCCGTCTGCTCACATATCTTTCCCCAAACTGTATCAACCCTGCAATCGCCTGACGATACTTGTCATGGTACCGTAACTCAGAAACGACTTCTTGGAGTTTAGCATCCAGCTCCGACTCGTCTGCATCCCATTTTGAGCGCAACACCTTTGCGGTAAAGGTAAGGAAGGATCGATGGGAACGATGTGATCGAGTGGATCCTGGAGTTGATACTGGAGGTATGTTTGGAACGGGGGGCGCATACTCTGCAGCCGATGCGATGGCAGCATGTGATGAGCTTTGGGACGTGCGGTGGAAAGTTGGCGTTGATAGTTGAAGAGGTCGGTTGTAATGAATTGCAGAGCTAACTACAGAGTCGACTAATGGATTCCGCTTCAAAACATTCTCAATGGGTTCGCCACTGATCTCTCCAACCAGATTCGTTGGCGCCTCGAAAAACTCATCTTCGTCCGACACTGGGGAAGGTAGTTCGTAGCGGCGTGCTGGACTATGATGATCAGCAACTATTCCTTCATCCGACACTGTCACACTGGAAATATCGTCCTTCCTGTCGTTCATCTCGTCGGCGCCCTTCTGAATGATCTCGGTAACGCAGGCGTGAAGAACCTCGGAAAGGTCCAACAGAAGCAAACGGAAATGTCCACTTGTAAGCAACAGTGCGAATATAGTACGTACATGTTGAAGAGCTACAAAGATAGGTGAGCGATCAAAGAGCAAGCCACGGATTATTCAATCACCTACCTTCTCTTCCAGGGTGCTCCTCCTTTACTACCGAATTTCGTCGTAGTTCTCGGCTTCGCCTAGATATCAAGCGCCTTCTGTTGTCCCACATCTGTCTTAACCTTTTTCTTTTGGATAACGAGCCGGCAGAAAACAAGCTCTCAGGCCGGTCATGCCCCGGGCGCGCAGAGCTCCTAGTATCAACGCTGCACCGCAACGTTTCAGATTCCACCACTGCAATTGTCTCGTTCAATAAGTCCTTTCCCAGCTCCTTTATCATCTCCAAACACGTCCTCAATAAATCATCTCTAGTCTTTTCTGCAAAATACTTGCGTAAAGCGACCAACAGGCCCCTACACTGGACTACAACTCGCTTCCCACCAGGGCTCACAGTCTCTGGGATGTCAGTCAACGTCGAGTGGAAGCGTGCTAAGAGGCCATCCACTTCTACATACGGAGGTAACGTTCGCCCTCGGTACATTTGAAGGAGGGTTTCGAGAGGGCCCCATGCTTGCGCTGCAATGGCAACACCCTGCTCATGAGGTGGGAGCGATGTTTCCCGGACAGCGTAGCGAGCCCTTCTCCTGGAGGACTTTTTGAGGAGGTGCATGTGCCAGCGTGTCCGCCGTCTTCACTAGTATAAAACGTATACAAATTGCATAGAAGGTAACTTATTGACAAGACTGGCCTTGCCTTTCAAAATTCCGACGTTCCTGCCCAGCCACATATTACGTTTCATATCACGTGACATGCGATATTCGATATTCCAAAAATAAATACCCCGCAAAGTTTTAGGGCAGTCAACAATCCAGTTACGAAAACGAGATTCAGGAATACATGGCATCAACGCAATTGGGGTGTGCTCTGAACTGATACAATTTCACCCAATTTCTATGAATGTAGCATTCTTTCTTGACATGATCGTTGAAGCCGAATATGTCATATTGATCAGACAACATTGTCCTGCCATCCGTTTGTTGCGTCAAAATTCCATAGCATTAGCTCATGTACGTTATCAAAGTAATGCAATCTTTTGCATGACGGTTGTAACTTCGGAACCAGTTGACCCGGAATATCGGCATCCACCCATTCGGAACGTTTGGTTTCAGTTGGAACCATGGTAAACACCTGTTTTAACATCAAAAGCGCGGCGTTTCTAATGCCGGGGAGCGACGGTGAGACAAACATTTCGATCGGCTGAAATTTCGATTTCAAATCCTTCATGACGATGAATGCTTTAAAAGGTCGTCGATTCTCGTTGCCCTTCCCTCCTACCCATGCATCGTATCTTCCATTCACAAAAGTTCAAAATGTCACTTTTATTCTCTCCCATCCAAGTCGGCGATATGCAGCTGAAGCACCGTGTCGTCATGGGGCCGATGACGAGGTCCAGATCGCCTGGAGTATGTATTTCCGTTTAGATCTTCTTACTTTTCGTTGACAATCTCCTAACATGAAACTCTTTAAAGGAAGTTGCCAATGACTTGAATGCAGAGTACTACGCACAGGTTGGTTTGTCTGCAAAGCAAGCAAAATTGAATATATGCGTTCTCATACATGGGAATGACACTCCAGCGGGCCACTGACGGCGGGCTCATCATTAGCGAAGGAACCAGCTGCTCTGTTACGGCAAAAGGATGTATGTTCTGATTCAAGACTTTTGCTTGTGAACGCTGGTCACGTGCTTATGCCCTTTGCAGATGAACATGTCCCTGCTTGTCTTACGGAAGAACAAGCCAAGGGATGGAAGAAATCCACGGATGCCGTTCATGCAAAGGGTGGATACATTTACGCGCAACTCTGGTAGGTTCCTGCAAGTCCCATACGATGGTATCGATCAACGACAACTCATTCTGTACATTAGGCACGTTGGGAGGGCATCCACAGCGAAACTGCAACCAGACAACAAACCTCCTGTCTCAGCGTCTGATCTCCCCACAAAGGGAAAGGACAAGCCCCGCTCATTGACGGTTGAGGAAATCAAGTTCATTGTCTCTGAATATAAGCTCAGCACTCGCCGTGCCCGTGAGGCCAACTTTGACGGTATTGAGATTCACGCTGCCCATGGCTACTTGATCGATCAGTTCCTCCAAACTTCATCCAACAAGCGTACCGATCAATACGGCGGATCCATTGAAAATCGGGCGCGGTTCCTTTTTGAAGTCCTTGAAGCTTGCTTGTCTGAGCTCCCTGCATCAAAGGTTGCTATCCGGTTGTCACCCTACATGAATGGACAGGACGTGAGCGACGAGAACCCGAAGGCGCTTTTTACATACGTTATCTCCCGATTGGCCAAATACAAGTTGTCATGTAAGAGCACTGGAGCATCTCTGTTGTTGTAAAAGAAGCAAGCCTAATCATTACCATATCTATAGACGTCCAACTTACAGAACCCGTGTGGGGAGCATGGAAACCTGGTCCTCCCCACTCCCAATCCAAACTCAACGAATTCGCTGGTCTCCTTCAATCCCCCACCAAGCTCATCCTTACCGGCGGTTACACACTTGAGACCGCTGAACAGGCCCTTCAAGAAGGTCGAGGGGATTTGATCGGTTTCGCCCGTCCCTTCATTACCAATCCCGATTTCGTGGACCGATTGCGCAATGCTTATGAATTGACTCCTTACCAGGATTTTAAAAAGTACTATGGTGGCGGTGCGGAGCAGTACACCGATTGGGAGGACTATGTGACTTTGGAGGCCAAGAGGAAGAAGGAAAAGAGTGGGCAGGAGCAGGCTGGTGCTGGTGCATCGCATCTATAGGCGATCGTAGAGCTACTTAGAGAAATCTGATGATATGTTTCCAATGATATTTTTTATATATTTGAAACCTGCACACAGCATAATATTTTACGAAGTAGTTCAATCCACAGTCAACCACGATGCTTTGGTTAGAATCCACATGGGCTAAATCTAGTAGGCTCGCTCATACCAAACACAATTCCAATCGCGGATTACTAGCTTCTGTTGTTTGGACTTGGGTTGGGGGTCCTGCTCAATAATAACTTGAGAAGGAATGAAAAACCTGCCAAAAGATGTATTGAATCGGGGCTGCATGGCCAACCAAATGCAGTACAAGTTAGATTTCATGGCATTTAAGAACACTCTATCCATCCACGTGAAGGTAGTGCATTACTCAATTAGGCGTCCAAAGAAGCGACATCGAGGAGATCCGTGGAGGTCATCGAAAAAGTGATGCAGCTTATCAATCGATTGATGAACAGAGGGACTGATCGCAATTATCATTGTTAGCCGCGATCATTCGAGGAAAGCTGTGGAGCACGAAAAATCCGGCGTGTCATAACTCTTACCCACGTATAGTCTTCATCTAATGCCTAATGCATTGTTTCTGCATCACATGCGGGATTGGATTCTGTTTAATCGGACTATGGTGAAGCAAACCATCTAAAGAAACGGGAGATTTATTCACGAAATCCACATAAATTCTAATCCTGCTTGTTTGCAAAAGGGATCGTGAGGGAGCCGAACAGATGGCCAAAATAAGTGATAGAACGCCAAAACGGGTCTCGATGCTGTTAATGACAGCAACGCATGTCATGACATGGCAAACGTCACAAGTGGACCCCAATGACTGGAAGCTTCACTGAAGACATCGTACAAAGAAGAGTAGCTTCGCGAAGGTAATTGTGTTTCTTCCAATCCTGATGAATTTCTCATTGTACAGAACGGTACAATCCTTTCTAACACACCCAGAGCATTATTGTCCCCTATACATGAACGGTCAGACCAACGAAGCAGAAAAAAAGCCGCAAGACATGAAAGCAACTTCACCTGTACCGACTCAATTGGTTCGCATTCGACCGTATTCCACCGCCGTTCGAGTTCCTAGAAAGAATCTTGAGCGTAGCGGTTACTTTCGAGCGCATGCGGATTTTGCTCAACAAGCCGACGGAGAGCAGCCCCCCATTAAAGACATTGAAGTTAAACCGCCGGATTCACTAAGAGTCCTTGATTGCCTTGCGTACCTCTCCGGCCACAAACTTCCAGCTTATTGCTTTGAAGGAAGTAACTGGATGAGCATGCTGAGGAATGCTGACTATCTGCAAATTGATGAGCTTTTGACCATGTGTTATCAGAGGTATGACTGGAGACTGCGAGCTCCAAGCAGCTTACATTGAATTAAAACAACAGATTACAGCTTCTGGAACGAATGGAAGACAACAATCAAAAACCCTAGTTTCAAACACACTACGATTCCTATTATCCATATTGAGAAAATTCTGGATATCAAAACTAATCCGTCCTCTATCGAGAAGGCAGAGGTAATGCTCGAATGGGCCAACGCGCCCAACTTTCGTGACCAGGAGCCTATATACAAGCTTGTTCGAAATCACTGTACCGATGCGACATGGACTCGAATGGGTGTGCGCACTCTTGCTCAACGCTTCAAGGATACGCTTACTCAAATTGTACCAGCGGATACATGGTTGCAAATGGTGCTGAAGAGAGAATAATACTTAGGAGTATAGGAAGTCCGTGTTCTCCCTCATACCATCGAAACTACCGCAAGCTAACATCTTGAATCCTCTACTCAGGATCAATTGTGTTCGCGAAACATATTGCTTGTTGGATGAGAGATTGGGATGAGAGGATATGGTGACATGAGCCCGATTAACTGGTTATGGAGCACTTGAGCGATGGAAATGGAAATGGAGACATATGCTTTTTGCAGGAACGATATAACATTGCGGCTGATTACATGATGGAGTTGTAAAGCAAATAGCATCTTCCAATAGCAAGATTGAATGTAATGTAAACAAAAGATAATCTCATGCTAGCCGCTGACCCCCACGGCCTTTCAAGGATTGTTTATGCCCATTTACTGCGGGTCGCAACAAACGCCAGCGACGGATTGAGGCGTGGCCGCGTGGGGGCGTGACGTGAGCACTGCCGCCAGCGATCATTGCTATAGCAACAGTCCATCTGTATCGCGGATTGCTCAGCCACGAGGAAAGGAAGTGAATGGTTATTTATTCAAGGGTAGGTAGTCCACCTCCTCCTTCACGGGCTGTCCTGCGATAACTTCAAAATGGATAGCAAGACGTCAGTTATCCCTGTTGCGTGCGTTGTGTACAGAAGCTCGGGTTCAGGGACAGTAGTTGTCTTGTGGTTGCCTGGACCCTTCACCATCGCCGATGTGAGGTCCTCCCTGAAACGAAGTGCTGGGGTCAATAGTATGAAGGGAATGGATTTGTACCGAGTCGCTCAACCCTCTGTACCCATTACGGCTACCAAGGTACTGGATGGGGTATTTAAAGACGACGCATTCCGACGAGAAGGTGCCATTATACGCTTGGCCGACGATTACGCAACATTATCGAGTGTCTTTCAGGGCAGCGTAGCTAACCAAGACGCCCAGGATGCCGATCTTTTGGTGAATATGATTGCGGTTGTACTTGATGAGCCTCGTCCTGAAAATGACGCCGACGAATATGCGTCTGCCGCACCACCACCTGCATACGACGATCCTTCGCATGTGTCCTCGTTCGAGACATCGTCCTCTACCGCATACGCCCCAATTTCCTCGTCATCGCATCTATCGACTTCAATTCCACAACAGTTTCCCATAGCTGGGGCTGCTCATTTGTCATCGCAACCCGGCCAATATGTGCATGCACATGCATCTTACCAAGGATTATCAGAAGGTTCTACCAGCGTGCAATCCGTTGAGACTCCCCACAGAGCATCCTACGCACCTTCTCCATCGCCGGTGCCTTTGCGTATCCAGTCAGCCCAAGGAGCATCATACGCGCCTTCTCCATCGCCGATCCCTTTGCACGTGCAGCACATGCAGTCAAGCCAGAGATTTTCGCAGCTCTCCTCAATAGCTTCACCGACTCCATCAAACGTAGCCTCCAATCGCTCTTCGTACGTTCCTTCGTCCAACTATGAACTACGGGACGAGGTAACGGTCGTTGAGCCTGAGCGGGTATTACCGGTTGTGGTACAGCCAAATATTCCACCAAAAGACACGTCTGCTGCATATGCAATCAAAGAAGTCTCGCCCACCAAATCAAACAAGAAGAAAATTACGTTGATAGCAGTTATTCTGTTGCTTGTGGTGGCGATAGCCCTACTAGTACCGGGACTCCTGGGCAAGTTCAGCAAGTCCTCATCGGAATCGAACGATACCGCTCCGAAAAGTGGGCTATTTAGCTTTGGAGCTGTAGAAGCAGTGGGCATCGCGGATGGGATCGCTAATGAAGATTCAGCATTCCTTATGCTGAGTCAGGATGATAAGTGGCTGTTCTATCCCTCAAATAACGGACAGGTCATCAGAGCCGACTCCGGAACCGGCAGTGTAGTCTATACATACTCGAGCGCCAACTGCACGAAGCCAGGAGAATTCAACATGTATACGCCACCGGACTATTCAACCTTCCTCTACACGTGCCATGGAGCAGCGAATCGGACGCAAGTCCTTCAGTTCAACATTTTAACCGGTGCTTTACTTCGTACGTACAATGCAAACGCAGAAACTGTCTCGGCTCCAACTTTTGCATCCAGTGGATTCCTGTATGCAACAATGTCACGTATGGGTACCTTGGTTAATGGATCGCCAGGCTCCATTACCGACATCGTCAAATGGTCTCCGAACAGTCCTGACGTCCGGATCATCTCTCCGCCAGCCAACTTGAGCGTTCTCGCGGACCAAGTATATTTTCCCCTCAGCGATCCTCGGTACGGTTACATTGGAGTAGACTATGCCGGCGGTGTACCAGGCGTCCTACGTCTAGATACGCAAACGGATACGTTCTCTTGGGATTACGTGTATACCAGTCCAGAACCACACATGGGGATCAAGGGACTTGCCGTGACGCCCAATGGACGCTACTTGTATTCAACAGTGGGAACTAGCTCAGTTGTACAGTGGGATATTACTACCAAGCAGATCAGACACTTCTTCAATACGAACCACGGACGGATTACCGGGATGGGCACTTCACCCGACTCGAGTACCTTGATCACTTTTGGTACCGATTTTATATTCAGAGCTTGGAGCGTGGAAGATGGGAAGCTTCTTGACAAATATGTTGTAGGAACAGGCGTGCTTGATTATAGCCTGACGTCTGACGGCCGGACCTTGTACATGGTTACAGCCGATAAGAAGATTTCACGGGTGCATTTGAAAGTCAAAGGGCAATGATCTGGATTTGTTGTTTCGGTTTTGGAGGTGGAGATAGATATATGTATATATTTATCGGTCCGTTTGTGCAGCTGGTCTGTAGGAAACTAGATGAGGGTCTGGCGAGATTGACGGACATTGTTGGCAGTTTTCATATTGTGCAATTTTTATCCTTAAATAGAAACCATGTTAGAGTTCTTTAAATATTTTGAAAGCAACTCATCACACACTGTGTACACTATTTGAAAGAGTGGATATGGGTGTTCGGCTCCATTAAAGCATGAGGTAGAATTGAGAAATAGGCGAAACCGTGAATGCGGAACTCCCCAGCGATAATCAGAAAAAAATGGTATTATTAAAAAAAAAAAAAAGGAATTTACACATGGGACGAGTGTCAACTCAGACCCAAGCCCTTTCGCAGCCAACCCCACCGACTCTCGCCACCAACATCCCATGTCTTTGCTCGTCCAGCAGGTAAGCCCGTTTTGAAGGCTCCCCGCCAAGTCTTTTCACCAGGTCCACTCCAATCTTCGCCAAGTACAACAAGCATTTGTCGGACAACGTCCATGAAGGACAATGCTGAGGTGCTTGACCCAGATCGACGACGTTCATCGGCGGGTGATGGAACAGTCGACCAGCTCTTGCTTTTCCACTTTCGGCTACTAGTCGAGCCAGAGGGATCGGCGCCTAGAACGGTCGTTACGGTATTCTTTAGAGCGTTGACCCACTCTCTCCTTTCGCAGTCTGTTATGCCAATATGGCCGTTCAAAGCGTTCCGCTGGAAAATGGTCAGAACCCGTCCCAACGCAACGGCAGGAACGACGGGAGAAACTCCGTATATCTTGGTCAGGTAGGGTATGTGACGTGGACGAAGTGTGGCACCACGGTCAATAAACTCGAGTATCACTCCCCAAGGTCCCTGATTCGAATACCTCTCTACAAGATCAGTTTGTCGGAAATCATCCGATTCAGGCCATCCGTCCCACCGCAGATGTGACTCATTTGCACTAGCGTTTCTAAACATTCGCTTCCATCTCTGTCCCAGTTCCGATACCCAGACCAACAAGTCATCAAAGCACTTTACTGAAAAGGCATGACCTGCACCATATCGTCCTACAACCCAACGCCAAACTGGGACAGGATTGGATTGCTCAAAGCATCGTGTGGCGTACGGCAGTGCGTATACGTTGGCAGGATGAAACAGAATCGTCTTCATTAGTGAGTCAGGAACATCAAAGGTTGACACTATGTGTTCAACGGTTTCGGGATAGAAGCCGTGCGACGATGGACCAAAGTAATCTCGCAGCACTTGATGCGCACATGAAAGAAGGAGAGGTTTAGGGACGTAGTTCTTAAGGGCCATGAGAATGCACGGTGTGGGACAATCCCGCAGTTGGGAGAGAACTACTTGTCGTGAGAGTGAGAAACCGCGCTTGATATACTCTGGTAGCAGTTCTGGGGCTTTGTCGCGGTTCTTTGACGATGAGAGTAGTTGACGCATAAAGGTGTCGTTGATTGCACGAGGATCCATTCCATTTTGATGTATAAGGACATCGAGAATGGATATATCGGCTTGGAGAAGTTGGTAGAGACGAATTGTTGCAGTTGGCGTCACTGTTTCTAATGGCACAAAATAAAAGCTCGAAATGAGCTCTCGAACTTGACCCAGATGTTGCTCAAGGTCGTTCGTAAGAGACTCAAATGCCATGATGTCGTCCGTAGACTGAAAGTCTGTACTCCATCCATAAGTCATGTAAGCCTCTTCAAGAATAAAACTCTCCAAGTACGGAAGCTTTGAATCGTTCTTGTGATGACGAACGAGCTGTTGAGCAAAAAATCGAGGGACACGCGCACCGCCTCGAATCATTAACTTTACAAGCTGCGGATCTTGGCGCAGCAGGCGGTGATGATGTGTGTACGCTTGGTAGAGGGCGAGAGGCACGCCATACTTTCCATAGAGGCATGCACACCGAACATGGCGATCACTAAGGAGTCCGTGGGTTGCTCGGCTTGCTGCCGAGAAAGGGGCAAGGTCGGGAAGGTAAGATACAATTCGAGCCCAGATCTTGTTGAAATGAAAGAATTAGATCCAGCATACAAAAGACGCGATGAAGGCAGGTTCCTTATGTACCTCTGTCGGCAGATCCTTCAACTCTCGTCCAGGTTTTTTCCTGGGCGGCGTCTTGAATTTTTGCTTTATATCGGCATTGATAATCATGTCTCTACTACTGGCAAACACCATCTGCACATTGGTGTGGTTGTGTTTATGATGAGCATGTTTGCGAATTCCGCGTCCTTGTGTCCCAACTGATTGATCTCCACATCCGGATGATCCCTTGACCTTGCGTGATGCTGATGGGGAGGAAGACGAAGAGAAGGAGAATGGCTTAAAAGCTGTGTGAAACCAAAAAGAATCTTGTGAGGAAGTGAATGTCGCGAAATTCACATGGGCGAAAACTCACCGATAGAAGGCATGACAGCAAATGAGGTGAATTTGGGGTGTGACAGATGCTGTCTGATTTTTATGTAACTTGCAAGCAGTGGAAGAACGGATTTCCCATACAGGGAACGCAGCAGGGTTTTCGGGTGCGCGATAGACGCTCGGAAGTGACGTTTGCTTTTTTGATCCGTCCTTTTAGTTGCGTCCTTGTTCTTAAATGGAATTCCCAAGACGCAAACCTAAACTGCTCCGCACGCTTAAAATCTTAAATTGTATTTCGTATTAACACGGCCTCCGCCCCCAGAACCCCTCCGTTATTTGGTTATTTGGGCGCTCTTGCTTCCTTGGCTTCCCTCGCTTTGCTTTGCTGCTCCTCCTTGACCCTTCCCTCCGTCCCCCTGCCGTTTGGACACACTGTACGCTCTGTCCAAAAACTATTTCAGGGAGGGCGTCATGCGCATTTACATTCAGAAGGGCATGTGACTCAAAGGAGGCTGTGTGATCTGAGGGCGCAGTCATGGGATGAATAAGCTTTTAAAGCAACAACCATCCCTCATTAATTTCAACTTGTCCTTAACGGGGGCAGTTGCACAGAAGTTTAAGAGTTGGAACCTCCGAATGCTTGTTGCTTACGGCTGTGTTGCATCCCATCCATGTGCTGAGAGGTTCAGTTTGCTTTCGAAACTGCTGTTTGGGCCTTTGGGACCGTTCCAAATGTCACCCATCCCTCCTTTGACTGTGCAACACTCGGGAGGGAAAAACATTTGTGTGCCCTGCCAAGTTTTTTAGGGCGCCTTGCCGTCAAGGAGCTGTTCGACACGGAGGACAAGTCACTTGTTATTCTTTATTTGTAAATGACTTGGCAGGAATTGACTGCGGCGGGCCAACACACAAGGGAAAACGGCTGCATGCCAACGTGCCAAAAACAACCATTTGCATGTGTTGTCGTAGGTGATGGATGCCAAAATCAGTTATTTTTGTTGACGAAGCGGCAGGCATCAAAGGAAAAGTTGTATCCACACACACGCGGTCAAGGTCGGGGACCGCGCCCTAAAGTGTGTTGAAAATGGATTTCAGGCTTCTTTGCCTCTCGTCTTCAACAGGGGAATTAGCTCAAATGGTAGAGCGCTCGCTTAGCATGCGAGAGGCACGGGGATCGATACCCCGATTCTCCACATGACTTGAGTGAATTAAAGTAATTTTTTTTTCTTATTCGATATTGTTCGACTATACCGCTGTTTTTGGATTGGACATTGTATAGCCCATCTCATATGAATACCACGGTGTTCATGATGCAAATCCAGCTCCAAAAAACACTAGCAACCGCTTTGCCCCAGCTCGTCCAATAACCTCTACAAGCTCCTCCTCCCTTGCATTCACCAATCGCTCTACCGCTACATATAAAAACACCGAGTTGGATCAACACGTCCCAACACGTAATCAAACATGGTCCACGTACTTTCAAACCTCTTTAACAGCTCTCCAGCCTTAACATCTCCTACCCCGGGACACGTCTTGACTGTCTGCAACAACGTCTGAGCATACGTGGGATCCTTTGTTTTATTTTTGATACTCGTTAGAGAAGACGGTTTTGGCGGGCGATGTTCTTGATGTGCCTGAGATCCATTACATCAACATCAATGCATTTAACGAGAAACATTTGCAGTCTTACTACGTACGAGTCGAGCCAAAAACCTCGCTCCCTCAACAGCACTGCCAACCGGTAACACATTGATACCGCACTCAACAGCAACCTTCCATTGTATCTGTGTCCATACTGGTGTTGAAGGCTTGTTGATAATCAACACGGATCGACTGTGCTAGCACGTATCCATAAGATACCAATTCAAATATCACATAGCCCAAACTGCTCACAACCAACCTTTTTCAACCGACAACAAACATCTTTGATAACTGTATCCCAATCTTCATCAAAAGATCCGATCCAACACCCCGCAAACCCTTGCGATATGATAAAATCCACTGGAAGCGTCTCACACATGGTTCGTACGTATACTATCACAAGGAGTGGGTAATCGATCACTGCTCTATTTCAAAGTAAATGAGACTCACGGTTCTTTGGTAATTGTTCAAGCCCTTTGGCAAAGTCGCTGCCTGTTAGGCTTGGCGAAATGAGAATGTAGGGAACATGCGCCATGTGGTGGTTTCTGAGAGCTGCAAGGCTAGATATCAAATAAACTCAAGACTGTGGAAAGGCCGACTCTGACTGTGGTTTTATTGGGGACATGCAGTGGGCAGTGGACATTTCAACGACTTTTTCGTAACAGTTTTTGTTTGTGTCAGCATGTCCGACATTCTGGATCTTGAATCAACTGCACAGCCACATGCACAAGGTTGCGGATATGTACGGAACGGAACCCAAGCAGCATAATCATTTTCAATCCGTCATTATACACAACACAGTAACTTTTATTCACCCTTCTCCCCTTCCTCCCTCTTTCTCCCCTCTCTCTCCCCCCTCTGACCCACCCCAGTCCATCCCTCAAGTTCATTCATGAAATGTCTAAAACTGGGCAGTGTTACTCGATCATCCAACCCAGGAGGGCCACCGACCTGAGGAGACGCTGCCCGCGGCGGATTCTGAGATGCTGTCATAGACGGCGGAACAGACGACGCTCGCTCTTGAGCGCGTTCTCTAGACCTCGACCGTTCGCGCTCCACGTCGTGATGATGGCTGGAGGAAGCAGAAGGGGTTGACGGTCGGTACGGGTCTCTTGGCACATGGGGTGAGTATCCAATTGGCAGCATGGGCGAAAAGGAATGCGGTTGGGGTTGTGGTTGATGGGGGTGGTGTTGATGTTGGGCAAAAATTTGACCGGCAGTTGGCTGGTTAGCATACCGCGCCGGAACAACGTATCCGACCTGTCGATCATACAACGACGATGACGGACGTCGTTGATCGTCTCGTGTTGATTCTGACGGGCGACTACTCGGCGGTGGCTGCTGTTGTGACTGTTGCTGCTGCTGCTGAGACGGTGCTATGGACACTGGGACATAATGGACTTGGCCACTTCCAGCACCGGTCGCAACAGGCACGGATGCAGAGGTTACGTAGGTTGTATAACCAGGGATAACAGGACCATACCGCGTCACATATCCTCGAGGAGGCATGCCTTGCAACGGTCCAGGACCTTCTTGTCCAGTAGGAGTTGATGCCCGATGAGGTTGCCCAGAAGGTTGCCCAAATCCACCAAGACTCGCTCTTCGTTGTGCAATATAACTGTTCAAATAAGGCGTGGGGGTGCTTGGCGCACTGCCAGGATAGTTATTCCCAGGGCCGGTCGTCAGGCGACCAGGAAAATTACCAGAAGCTTGGGGTGAAGCCGAAGTGGTCACCGTACCAGGAGTGCTTCTCGTCCCATTTGCTGTTGAAGCAACCGGCACAGAATTCGATGGCGGCGTACCCATTGTAGTGAATCCCAAGTGCTGTCCTTGCATGTGTGTCAGCAACGTCAGAGGGCCTATTGTGTTTGACATGACTCCCCCAAATTGCTGAGTCGGGTGCATGTAAGCTGATGGGTGCGAATGCTGCGATGGCCGGCTGCTGTAAGCATGATCAGAGGTTGTCGGGCTGATGCCAGCTCCCGACGCACCCGACGTCGTGCTACCGCCGGTCCGTCCAGTGCTTTCGAGCTTTTCAAGTCCTTGTTTGCTTGGCCGACGACTTCTGCTGGTACCGGATGCTTGCCTTGTGTGACTCTCTGCTTCGGATGGTCTCAAATGTGTCGCGCCCTGCTGTAAAAGTTCAACGGATCGGCTTAACAAACTGTGAAGACCCGGTTTTCCAGCACCAGGCGGTTGTCCTAGTTCCGTAGCGTCCAACGCTACCGACGATAAACGTGCACCTTCAGTCTCCACCGTTGGAATACCAACCTCTTCCATGCCTGAGAGTCCCAACGATATCAACGACATGGCAGCGTCCTGTCGGCTCACATTTTCCTCCACACCGCCGAGAGCTGCCACTCCGCTTCCTTGCCGCCTTCGCTGCACAAGAGTGTCTTCTCCCAGCAATCCATTTGCATCGTCAGATTTTCCTTTCCCTTTCTCCTTTCCCACCAACCGCGGCATCGCAGCAGTTCCCCCAGCAGCTGTCTTCTCCTTTTCTTTTTGTATTCGACTTTTCCTTGTTTGTGCTCCTTTCCGTCCAGCGGCTCTCTTCTTCTGCTTGTCTTTAACCGCATCATACTCCTCCTCGAAAATGGCCAGCTCCCTCAACCTTGACGCGGGTGGTTGTAAACGGGGAATCTTAAACGGAAATTCGGACGGCATGTCCTCAAGAGAGGATACAATCTCTCGTACAGACAAGACAAATTCGGGATCATCTCCACGCGGTTTTTCAGTATCGTTTGGACTCGACTGCGTTGCTTCTCGGTCACGGAGTTGAGATATTACATCATCAAAAGATTCAATAGCCGAAACAGTATCTGAAGTCTCCTTCTCATCCACATCCATCGCATCCTGATCGAATTCGCTATCATCAGTACTTCTTGGTCGTTTTGGAGCCTTTGCAACCCGCTCTTCGACCGCCTCATCATACCAAACTTTCAGCTGCTTCATTCTCGTTGCAATTTTTTGCTGGAGCCACAACGTCCGGGCTATAACTATATGCGACTCTTGATCCAATGCGTTAGATGCACCAATTACGCTATGTCGCCAGAAATCCATTAGAAACCGGTCATAGTCTGAATCGAGAAACATCCGTCGTGCAGAGTCGACGCCACACGCAGATGCCTGTCCAAGGTACACTTGTCTAGATTCGTTCAGGGCCATTTGCAGAGATCGATGGATTTCTCGTAACACATTTCCGTTCATATATCCCTGTTCTCTGATTCCCACGGGTATCCGCATTCCGGTGAGATCAGAGTGATAAACGAGATCTCTGTAGAAGGGGACCGGGTTGTCTTCAGGATAGGGAGGATATATTTCGTCAGTCTTGAGGATACCTTCGCTTGTTTGGAGACCAGCTCTGTAAGCGACGATGGCGTGTATTGGTGCTTTCAGGGGTTCACCCGGAGCCGCACGGAGAATATTTGGTAAGAGACGATTCGGATTGTTTGATGAAGCAACTGAGACCAGTAGACCAATGCCTTCTGGAATCAACGTCTGAAGAAATGCTTGCTTTGTAATGTCTTGGCACGTTGGTTGCAAGGGTCGGGATGGATCATTGCTGTGCAAGTCACATTGATTATTGTTGAAGTCTGGCACGATAATAGTAGCTTCCTTACCTCCTATACCATCCAACACATTCCAGATCCGATTCGTGAAACTTTGCAACTGCTTGTTTAATTGATACTGGATCTTCTACAACTTTTCCTTGGAGCAGTTCTAGCACTTGTCTAAGTGATAAAATGTCAGCACCATCGTCCAGTACTTTTTGTATTAAAAATTCGCAGCAATGCGAACGCACCGTTCGGCAGCAAAGAAACTGGAAACGTGGCAGACAACTTTCCACTGATGGCCCTTCCCTCTAGGTCTTGGTACCTTCATTGGTATCCAACTTCCACCCAAGAATCCAGTGACATCATATCGTGTATCGCTATAGGCTTGATTCAACAGAGCTGTATATACCGACTTGTCCAAAACGACAACGAGTTGCGCGTCCTGGCTGCAGCACATCAGTTATCAGGACAGGTACAGATCGATGGCCAATTTAAGGCTAAAATGACGTTGTTCATCTACGTACCCTGCAGCAGGCTGCTCAAGAAGAGAAACGGGGACTCGCCGAGAGGCTTCTGATATGCCACTCAGTGGGACCCATTCTGGTGGCCAATCAGCTGGTCGTGTTATGGGAGGCACAGGATCCAAAGGAAGGGGAAGTCTGTTGAGAGCGAGCGGTTGCGACATGGTGTTTAACACACAATAGTAATGCGTTGTGGAGTCGCTATATCTGTCGTACGCAAGGCATTGCCAGCAAAGATCTCGTTTGTTGGTGGTGCAAAGAGAAATTCCAAGCCCGACGCATCTTGTCCCTCTGTTGCCATGCAACGACCACGCGGGTTTGGCACAGCCATGTTCACCACGAAAAGTTCACCACGCGCTCAACCTTCACTTGAAACCCTTTTTTGACAGCTGAGAGTCAAAAGCAATGTTTGTAAAGGCGGGTCACCGCTGATGCTAAACGGCAAAAGACAAGCTAGATCCGTTTAAGGACGTTCATAAACTCAATGATCGATGAGGTGATTCATCCGCAATCCGCAGGAGAATACCCGACCCGACGGGCTAAAGACACTCGATATCTATGGGGATACGCAAAAGGTTGAAAATCCAAATCGATGGCAAGTGTGTGCGTTTGAGGAAATCCAACGTTCGTAGGCCAAACAATCGTCGTAAAGAAGAAGAGCAAATAATCATCATGTGATCGGTAGAATGGAAATAGTCGATGAAAAGTCATTTGTTTTTATTTGGATTTCAAAATTCATTTTGGCTGCTTCGGCTCTACTTTTTTGCAAGAAACTTTTTTTTATCTAAACTTGCGATGGGGACACACCACCGCCGTCAAGTTTCGCAGACTTTCTTCCTTGCGTTGGAGGCTTTAGAAGGAGAGTGCGAGAGCGTCCTCCCCGACTTGCCTTTCGCAAAGCAAGATGCCCGTGGGCCATGGTCCTCTCCGCTATCTAGTCATACGCGCGTTGGCGTTTGCCATCGACTGTATCGCACCAGTCTCCATTGCATATACCTTGTACGCTCTTGTAAATCACTACAACGGCACACGACATGGCATTGTATTTGACGGCACATGGACGAACGTGTTCTATACCATGTTGCTTCCGATATGGTTTGTTTTTGAAACAGCTTTCTATGTGTGGATGCTATGGCAGAGACAAAGGTTTCAGGCCATGAAGGATGTGCCGGGTTTGGACAATGATAGGAGGTACTTTGACTTGCTCCTCCAGAGTGCATGAGGCATTCTCATTGATTATCTTGGCGCTGTATTAAACAGGCGCTTTATGTTTGGACGAATGCTCAAAACGATATCGCAGAGAAGATTCCCGCATTTCTTGGCGACTCAATTCATGTGGAAGGATTGTTACACACAACTGACTAGCGAGGAGATTGAAGAAGTCTACATGGACAATGTCAAAGAATGGTGACTATCTGCTTCATTGCAATTAGCGTTGGAAGCGTCGGCAAAGCTGGAGCTGAATTTTGCCTGATAGGGCTGCGTGGGCATTCTTCTCCAAGCCATCCTGGAAACACGTCCTCGAGTCACCCAATGGCAAACAGCTCGCGTTGGAAGGAGAGGAAATGATAGATAACATGGCTTTTCGGAAAGGAATCGTCTTTCAAGAAGGTTACAATGAGAAGATCAGGTTAGAGCACTGCTCCGATGTCGAGGTGAATTGAGTAGCAAATGACTGATCTCCTTCTTAGAACGGTAACCATCTCCTACAACCCGGTGGAAGCCTTCCCCAAACCGCTTCTCCTGTATGCTGTGGTTGCTCTACTCGAATTTGGCGCTCGTTGCATTTTTCGGATGCTCGGATTCCAGCGATACCCCGCCCACCGCACGGATTTGGCACCGGATATGCCCGAACGGGGAATTACATATTGGTTGAGGATGCCAAAAGGGAATACCGTCGATGCTCGACGAAGGAGAAAAAGAGAAGAGTCGGACTTGCCCATTGTGTTTATACACGTACGTACGCATGAATCTGGCGTTCGAATTTAAATTGACAATCGACATATCTGCAGGGACTGGGAGGCGGTCTCTGGTGCTATCTCAAGTTCATCGGCAAACTCTGGTGGACCCAATCGGCACGCCCCATCTACCTTGTTGAACTTCCCCACGTTAGCATGAGGCTTGTCCAATCTTCACCAGATCCGGACACGACTGTCCGTGAACTTGTGGCTATGCTACGCCGCCATGCACATGATTCTGCCACATTCATTGGCCATTCCCTTGGATCGGCTTACGTTGCATACATGATCAACCATACCAAAGCCGTCGCCGGAGTTGTCATGATAGATCCTGTCTGCTTTAACATTTATGACGCAAATTTGTTATATAATTTCGTACATCGTCGGCCAGGTGCCGGAGGGAAACCACTAAAAGCCAACGAGTTTTTGGTATATTGGTTGGTGTCCAGGGAGCTGTACATTTCTCAGTGGATTTCGAGACGTAAGTTCTGTTTCTGTTTCAGTCGATTAGAATGATCATTGATTATTGTCTTTAGAGTTTCTCTGGTACCGCGCACACTGCCTGACATCATCACTCCCTTCGTCGGCGCACATCTTTCTTGCGGGCAAGGACAACATTATCGACACGAGTACCGTAAAAACGTACCTTGACGACCATGATGCATCATATACATACTACGAGAATCTAGATCACGCACAATTTCTCCTTTCAGAAAAGATTGAATGGGAAATTGTGGATAAGATTGGCTCCGTTTGTAAAAATGCCGCAAAAGAATGGGGACGAAAGTCTGGTGCGGACAGACGGAGGAGGAGGATGAGGCGGTAGGGCCCCTCAGCGAAACTTACTGGAAACATGTTAGGGCTTGTTGGTAGCGTAGATATCTGATACTATTATTATATTTTCCTTTGGCATTCCATGACGAGGGCACTCGCGCACAGACATGTACAAACAATTCGTAGAGACCAAGATCTGCATTCAATATATAAAAAAATAAACCTCTAAAAATGCTCGTTTTTGCATTTGTTACTCTATCAAGAATGTTTTTTAAAAGTTCCAACTCACGCGTGTTCATTTTTATTTTGATCATCCCGATATAGAACGCGATATGGCCACCTGTGTAGCAATGTGTTGTCCGCAAAGCGGCGAACTCGTTGCGGGAGGGGAACACGCACAGTTGAAACCTCAAATTGGGAACGATGGCCGCTCTAAAAAAATCGTTCAATCGAGGGTCCCCCCGAATGAGAGCGATTACGACGCCTACGGTGGGACCCTGACAGCAAGTTGAACCCTGTATAGACCAGTCTTGTAGGAGCAAAGAGTTGGCAACCCAAGTTGGCACTTTGTTCGTTGATCACAAATTTAGACTGCAGAGCATGCCTGGGATGAGCTGACACTCCCTTCTTATGATCTCACTTGTCGTCTTTCCCAATGTTTCTCCTCACTGTTTGATCAAACATCTGCAATTATGGCGAGTAAAGTCGAGGATTCATGGTGCGATTGGAGAGGTAGATATGAACTACGGTTATGGTGTGTTTGGCGGATCTGTATCCTGTATCTAATGGCAGCTTGTTATGTGCAGTTCAAATATATCACTGTCACTATTCGAACTTGTGGCGGATCTTCTTTTGCAGTACGTCTCGCCTTGCTACCCGCCTTTTTTCCCTGAAAACTCATAAACCTTCTCTTCTTTCATAGTCATGTCCACCATGTGCTTTACTGTCGCCGCTATCGGAATCTACATACTCTACAGAAAAATCTGCGTCAATGGAGGGAGGTTTTTCAATGTCATCGAAGGATGGAAACAGCCAAGACCTTTTGAATGTTTTATTTTGTGGATGACTGTCTCTTGTCTGGGGCATGGGATCTACGGGGTGCTGATTTTGGTGGATGTACTGAAGAGCGAGGCAAACAAAGAGTTCTGGGTGGGTTTGCAAACGCTTCTTGCTTTATGGGAACATTTGGCACAGGGCTGACGAGCTTTATTATCAACCCGACAGCAAAGCTGGCCCTGGAACGCCGCGCAAGTGGCAGTCGTCCTCTACTTCTTCGGTATTCTCCATGCGACACCGGCGCTTGATATAAAATCGACGGCAAGCACGGAACCTCAAGCCCTTCCTTCCTCCCGCACCATGTCCATTCTAACCACCTTATTCACTGCCGTACCCGCCGCGGTCCTCACTCTCCTCAGTGTCCTCTCTGGTTTCGCAAGAGATCAAAAGTGGACTCATGCCCAAGATGCGCTCTTGATCCTCACCCTCACAGTTTGGGCTCTTGTCTGCATCGCAACGGCTCTGGCAGTCGGATATTCTGGTAGTAGGCTTATCAACCTGATAAAGTCCGCCATTCCTCTCCTTCCAAGTTCCAGTACACAAATCAGGCTCACCAGAACAGCCCGCAAGGTCTACTTGTTAACAGGATGGATCGTGATCAAATTGTGCATCTACGCTGCCGCACTGCTGCTTTTTGCCGGTTTTCGGGAACGGATCCTCGAAAACGCCCCATTGTCGATTTTCCTTGCGGGGTGTTGGTGGTTGTGTCTGCCATCCGGTCTTTTGGTCGTTTTTATAGTGGCGCTGGTCGTGTGAGTATCTAATTCTTCGATTGTGGTTAATGCTTTAGATCTAACTGTACTCTTTCCTAGCTCTCATCAGACGCACAGAGTTTCTGATTCATCCTCATCATTCAAGTTTCCGTTCGACATGCAGAGTCAACCCGCATCGGATCCATCGTGAACGTCATGGTAGCGAGTAACAACCATACTGGGTTGGACTCGGCCATCACATACAAAGCATCCTCCACCATGTTACCAACAAATTGCCATCATGGGACAGGGGCATCCGCACCGCCGACTACCCTCAGCGCACATCAAGCGCAAAGTGGGTATACCTGCACACGAAAATGGAAGACCTTTCCATGTTTTGCCGCTCCTCCCGGCTCCATGATTTCATATATAGTCATTTTTTTTGCTCCTCCTAATCTGACCGATTCTATACAGAATCATAGATGGAGTACTGTAGTATAGTGTTGTATCAAGTAGACAATATGCTATGGCTGTGTACATTGTAGTATAATTAGAGAAATTGTTATTCTGTTGAATATACTGGAACATCGAGTTTTCCTTCAATCAAACCATGCTGAATATCTTACTTCGCCAGCGATCCTGGTTGATTAGAATGGATGATATAAAAGTCCTCCGAAGATTTCATCTGGGGAATTAGCTCAAATGGTAGAGCGCTCGCTTAGCATGCGAGAGGCACGGGGATCGATACCCCGATTCTCCATCCATATCTCGTAGGCAACACGTTTAGGCAACACGTTTTTTTGAATTCTTTCATCTAAGGTTGTCACTCCTTGAAATTTGTTGCGCTACCAACCAGCCAGTCGTTCTTTGTTCATGGCTTTGTGAGTGCGGAATAGGCTTGTCCATTGGCGCATGTATAAGAAGCTGCCACTGCTCGTGTGTAGGCGTTTTGAACAGCAATCACCGATCCTATGTTCGACTACGTAGATGCTTGTGCTGTAAACTGTCGTTTCCGAAATGAAGACACTCCCTTTGCACCATGGGTTATCAATTGTGGCATTGGGCTGTGAATGGACAAGTGGTTGGATCGGTTCTTAGGCCAAATATTTATTCTGATATGTAGCCAGCTCTTGGTGGCTATTTTCAGCATGACATACTTTTGGGCGGACGACATTTTCATCATGATCGGGTCAGGTCCGCTTGTTGCTCAGGTCCAGGTCTTCCTGTAAAGATTGCTGTATTAAAAAGACGCACAATATAGCCATATAATCGCCAGAACAAACGAGATTCTGTGTACGGTATCTGTTCCATAATGGATAATAGCCGAGTTCCGGCCAATTCATAGTGTGGAGGCGATTGAAAATGGCACTAGGACCCATTATTATCCGGATTAATCCGGTTAATCATATCGCATAATCAGAACCCCCCTCTATCGCTCAGATTGGTGTGGCATGTATTGTAATGTTTTTTTTTAAACTGCGGTGAGGCGCATGCCAAAGGTCTATAAAAGGGGGGCCTTTTCCCTCTTTCCTCTTTACCCATCCTCGACTCGAAGCATCTGCGCAACGCTCATTGCGACCCACACAACCTCATTGCGACTCGGCCAACCATGAGAACGCCGATGTGGTGGTGTCGAGGACCTCGACCGCCCGACAGCAACCGTGATCAGAACCAGCGGCAACCAATCAGATCCGATAACAAAACCTACTATTATACTGCCACATTAGTTGAGCTTGGTTGGTATGTATCGATGGCATTTCTTGCATTTCTTGTCATCGGGTCACCTCGCTGACATGCAGTTTTTTTTAGTCTCCAAGCCTTGTCACTGAAAATCCACCAGCTTGTGACGCTGCCCAGTCGATTCGCTCCTGGATGCAAGAGTCTGGCTTCAATGCCATCAAGAGTTCTGGATCAAGGCTTAGTAGGGACCATGTGTGGTGGTGGGCAGTTATCCGGTTAGAACAACCATTACGTATTGCATGTATAATTGCCTAGTAGTAGTTAGATAGCTTTTCCGAACCGGTTGTCGCCGGTTTATTCCCTGGTGTAGTAGCTAGTGCCAGTTTCTGTCACCTCTACACTATAGATGTTTGATTAACTTGCAGAGACCACTAGCACTGGACGCATAGTATTTACGCACCAGCTGAATCTTATCTGCGGTACAATTTGATCTCATACTGTTGATACCAAGTCATTGGATGTATTCTGGAGAATGGGATACCACTCATCTGAGATCATGGTTGTTGAATGTTCTCGTTTGCTGCTTTCCCGTAATTGACACACCTTGTTCAAGGAGTGACAATCGAGAGCTAATTGAATTGATAAAAATGCGCGTTTGTTTATATTTCATCAGGGGAATTAGCTCAAATGGCAGAGCGCTCGCTTAGCATGCGAGAGGCACGGGGATCGATACCCCGATTCTCCACTTCATGACGTTCTTCCAAAGAGAATTTTTTTTGCACGGTTATATCGGACGTTCTCTGGAGTCGAACCTAGCTGGTAGGATAATATAGTTGACTATCACGAAGTACAGTTGATAATTCAGTTGTCATTACTTACGGATGCTGCATCAGTACTTGAAAATCAGTAATGCGATTTCAATGAGATGATCACAGAACGACAGGCCAATGATCAGTACATGAATAGGTTTTTACTGTTACCGTAGATTCATCTCATCTGGTCGCATCCATTCTCTTCATCAACAAATATCCTGTTTCAAAGTCGACATCGTATATATTTGACTCTTAACTGTGTACATATACAAAAACTACAGAAAGCCTCCATGATCACGGAAGAAATAGATACAAGGAAGCCATATTTCATACAGGGTGCAGGCTTTTCAACAAAACTATATGTGGGATATGCAGAAAATGATCAGATATTCTCGACCGTTCCTAGACTTGTAACCACTGGCTGGACGGGTTGCGCCGTCGCTTGGTTGGAGGGGCCTTGTGCTTGAACGGGTGTTGACTGAGTGGGAGCGGCTTGAGTTGGTGTTGACTGAGCGGGAGCCGCTTGAGTGGGAGCCGCATGAGTGGGAGCCGCATGAGTGGGAGCCGCATGAGTGGGAGCTGCTTGGGTGGGAGCCGCTTGAGTGGGAGCCGCATGAGTGGGAGCCGCATGAGTGGGAGCCGCATGAGTGGGAGCTGCTTGGGTGGGAGCTGCTTGGGTGGGAGCGGCTTGAGTGGGAGCTGCTTGAGCGGGAGCCGCATGAGTGGCAGCCGCATGAGTGGGAGCGGCTTGGGTGGGAGCTGCTTGAGTGGGAGCCGCATGAGTGGGAGCGGGTTGCGCCGCTCGAACTGGTGCTGTTACTCCAGAAGGTCCGGGTTCAGCAGCAGGAGGTAACGGGACAGGTTCCGGAAGTTTTGACGGAGCAACTGGTTGTCCGACAATTGGCTGGTCCCGATGCGCATCTTTCATCTCCTCCGCCATCAGATGATTTTGGTTTGACCTCGTTAACGATGACGCGGTTGAAGCTATAGAAGCGGTGCTGTTCATCGTGCCCGCAGCTGCCAGCGTCTTATAGGGAACAAATTGGGCCATGGCATTCCACCACGATTCTGACTCTGACATGCTGTTGGTTGAAAACTTGTACACCTTTCGCTTATTTGTGAAAAGGCCGTGATTCTCTCTGATTTCAGTCAAGTGGAACTCTTCAGCCGTGACACCCCCGGCGCCCATGCCAAGCGGACCTAGTTCGCAGCTGCGAAGCCAAATGTGCCGTTTGGGTTTAATGTCCTCTTCGCCGTCCAGTCGTGGCCTTTCGGGAAATTCATGTAACCAACCACTCGCACTCACGCAGTACCACTTTTCCTTCCATTTCTTCATCACTTTGCTTTTCCTCAGCATTGGGCCTTCTTTAAGCAGTTGAACGAGGGGATCATTTCCGCCCGGATAATCCTCTGCAAACGCGAACGGAGAGGCTGCGTCCTGCAGATTCCTGTTTCGGTAGGCCTCCCATTCACGGTCTGGGTCCAGCGCATTGACAGCGTTCTGGAGAGATGTTGTTGCACCATGAGACGCCGCCGCAACGGAATCCAGAGACGTGTAAGCCAGTAAAGCAGATTTGAGGTTTTTGATCAGGTTCTTCTCCCAGACTCCAAATGTACGTTCGATTTCGGCAATATTGTCCGAGCGGGAACGGTACTTGTGAGAAGCGTAATAGAGATGCCGTTTCACAGCTGATCATTGGGGGGAATGGAAATGAGTATTGCAAGGCTCGCGGAAATGTGAAAGAAAATTGTCACATACCCCAATTGGCCAACCAAGGATCGCCTGCATCCCATGGCGACATTTTCACCACCCCCTGACCAGCGGACAATGTCCGTTGCAAAGTTTTCAAAAGTTGCTTGAGTTTCAGCTCATCCTTCTCCTTGTCCTTCTTTCTGTGACGCTCCTCTTCCATCAGTTCAGTCATTTTCCTGTGTACTTCCTTATCCAACGACTTCAAAGCGGGCAACGTCTGTGAATGCAACACCTTGTGGACTGAGTCGTGTTCTGCCGAAAGTTGCGAACACGTTTCTCTAGAACATTTCATCAACTCCCCGATGCCCGGGCTGTTACCGAACGCCGCATCTCGCTCACGGGAAGGGTTGGATGTCCAGTGACGAAGAGTTTTCTGTTGCGATACGCTGAGGTTCTTCTCGAGGGCAGCTTGGTCTTCGAATTGCAAGATGAGAAGCCGTATAAGGGAAAGCCAACCTGCGCAACGGGTAAGGATAAGGTCGGATGGATTCGGCGGCAGTTGCCCCTCGCCAATGGAGGGAGACCGGTAGCACGTGGGAGAACGTGTCACGTCTGTGGACGATCCAGTCTTTGTCGCTGATTCGAGCGTTGCCATAGTTGGTTCTACGACGTTTGGTTTGGTTGTTGTCTTTGTGATTTGATTTGATGTACTTGCGAAAGAAATAATGGGTAGCTTTTTTCCACAGAGTCGAGTCCGCCAACTCCAAAAGCTCGATCTTTATACATCTTTCCCGCCCGATTGTCGGGCCACACATCATGCGTTGCTATCATCGCAACTTGACATCATTCCTACGAGAAAGGGCTCACGAGGGACAGGGCCACCCCTCCGTCCTCTTGGTTCCCCCAAAAAGGTGTTGCAGTGTTCAAAATATGGCTTGGTCACATAACGTCATCCATCGCGACTGAGTGATGACGGGTAGCTAAGCCTCACTGTGGAGAACCAGCGTTCTAGCCCAACAGCCCTACATGCAAATACAGGATCTACCGGAAAGGAACAAGGGAAAAATCACTTTTGCACCTACAGCCGAGATGCATGGACAAATAAGCATAGCATAATATTAGCAGCCCAGCTGCGTTTTGAAAACATGAGATTCGCACAGTTCGGTCCCCAAAGGTCCACAGCTCAACCAACCAGATAAGACATCTCACATCCTGATACCTGGATGACATTTCCTCCGCAACCGGAGGTAATCCCTACAACATTTCCCACCCCATTATTTGTTCCTCATCAAAAGCCTATTCGCCTGCAGTTTGGCCCGCCCTGACACTGTCGGCTATGGGATGTCGTCCTAATAGATGATGTTTTGGCCGGTTCCCTCGTCCGTCCTTGAAGGAACGGTAGTGAACCATCCCACTCAACGTAGTTCCAAATGATCGTCTAAAACAGCGTCCAGTATGTGTTGCGTTCAAACAAGGATCAATGTCATACTGTTCGCATTTTTGACACCCGCAAATATTTCAATGCTGGAGTTTTTATGTCTAATCCAAACAGATGATATCTTTGAAGGGTGCCCGACAATTTGGAAATTATAATAGTGTCTTCCTAATAGTGTCATCGTTGCAGATCCCGCCTAAACTTAACCTTAATTCATGGTGCATCGGAGCGTACCGTGTCTTCTCAACACTTGTCCATCCAATTAACGCTTTAAATGCCTTCAATCATAGATCCAAGAAGTAGCCGGAAAAGGGTCGGGTTAGCCTTCCAATCGCAAAGGTTGACGCACGGTTAGTACAAAGAGTTCGCACGACTTGCCAGGAGTGTCATACTACAGAGGCAGCCATCCACAAATCAAGACACTGCCAAACATTCAATGAACATTTCCGTGGCAGTTGCTCCTTTCCTATATACACACTCATTGCGCGGACAGGCTTCAGCTACGCAAAAGCCCAGCAAGTTCACGATTTCTCGTGCTCTTTGAACGAAATTCGTGGAACGAACTTGGGGCGTTTCCAAACCTCGACAGCTCCTTCGCGCAAATCTGCTTAATCATAAGAACTAGTAGTTCAAAACCAGACAAGCTAAAGCTTCCCATTTATACGTGCATCAATACAGAAATTCCCCACGACTGTCCGTACATGTACCTTCACAGATTGCCAAGAAGTTCAATCCACTGTCGGAACAAGCGGTGGAATAGCATTATTGGAATAGACAGGCTTTTGGCTACACCATGCATGGGATTAGCTTCCGCCCACCTTCTAATTAACAGCACCTACCTTCATGAGACCATCCAAGTAGCGCATTTGGAAGCGCATTACTCCATGATGAAGAGAGTTCATTTCTGACATATAAATGTGGGGTAATCTGTACATTCATGGGGAATTAGCTCAAATGGCAGAGCGCTCGCTTAGCATGCGAGAGGCACGGGGATCGATACCCCGATTCTCCATTCTCTGAAATAGTGTGTTGTTTTTTTTGGTCGTGTTTTGATCATCCGTGCTTCCACCTGGGAGGCATTTTCATTAATGCGTATGGAAATCAGTCTTAAGTTCTGACAACTAGTATTTAGTGAAGGAATAAGTATTCATAGGAGGCATTGATGGGACAATTTCTTGCACCACTGTGCCCTCCAAAATTCATATGCATAGACTAGAATGCTAGACCATCACATGACAGGATATATATGTACAGGAATTTACAAAAGAAACGCAAGCAATATAGAGCACAAACTGCAAGCACCTGCACCACAAAGCACAAACCAGCGAGAATCCCACTCAAGCACTTTAGAACTCAACGACCCTTCATTCGACGGTAATCTGCTTTGGTTGAGGCTGCTCAGCCTTTCCAACCTTGACCGTCAACAGTCCATTGTCGAGCTTGGCTTCAACCTTGTTTGGATCGAATTTTCCAGGAGGAAGCGGAATGGCACGAGCAAACTTGCCGTACATGATCTCGCCAGCGTATAAAGCCTGGGCTTTCTCATAGACTTCGGGCTTTGGGTATTCACCAGAGATCATGAGTGTGTTTTCGTCCGAGAGTTCGACTTTGACCTTGTCTTTGGGTACGCCTGGGAGTTCGCTGTAGATCTGTGCAGGTCGTGTGATGTGTTAGAGAATCTTGCGAACTCATAAAGGATAAGAAGAGGGCTTTACCAAAAAGTGGTCACCGGCGTCCAATACATCAACGGGGGGCATCCACTCGGCAGGCGGACCTTTCCGGCCCTGGCCGCCTTGGGTCGGCCCACGGGTGATCAGAAGCGGGCTACCGGGACCAAAGTCGGAGAGAACGTCACGTAGGACTCGTTGCATGTTGCGTTCCAGTTGTCGAAAGGTGCGGTCAACGTCAGCCATAGGTTGAAATTGAAAAGAGTGAGTTGTTGATCAGTTATAATTGAAAAAGCAGTTCGACAAAAAGTTGGGTGGGAAGGAAATCTATGAAGGGTGCTCTTTATGTACTGTTTTATTAGCAAACCCGAAAGGCCAGCCATCATGATGTGGCATGACACAAAAAGTTGACGTGCAAAGAGCGCCAGAAGGGTTCAGTTACCATAACGTTCCGGAAACTGCCCATCTTCCAGTAGCAGCACGTTCCCAGTCCCCCCGCGCGCGTAGGCGGATGACCCAGGAAGGGGAACAGCTCAAGGACGGATACCATTGAGAACCTTCCAAGATTAAAGTATTTGAAAATGTTTTGGAAATGAGGTCAATATTTATTTTGAAATTTGACCGGACATTCGCACCAGGCGACAAGTTCCGGCAATTTCAATCCTTCACAAATTATACAAATGAACAAAGTCACACCTTTGCAATCCCACCGCAATTATCGTAACCATCTCTACAGTTTTAATACTACTACATTATGCTCCGTGATATGATTACGCTGGTGCTTTGCCCAACTCAACCTCGAGAGGCAATCCAATCAATGCACCTGCAACCCAGGAGACTGGATTGTCACCGCCAACGGAGATGGGCACAACTTTCAAATGCGCATTGGTTTGGCCACCCAAAACTTGGCCCAATGCCGCTTGAATAGCTGGGGGGAACGCACCGGTGGGAGCCAATACAGCGTCCAAAGGCAGGGTTGTCTCTCCCGCAGACTTGAGCATAGTCTTCCCGATGCTAGTTGCTTGACCAAGTGGGAGAGTGATGTTCGTGCCAGGTACGGGAAGAGTGACGTTGAAGACAATAGTGTCGAGTTCGATACCGATGGGAGAGGGGTTGTTGAGTGTGGCATTCATAGCGATGGGGAGAGGTTGGGCTGGGTCGGGAACAGCCTTGGGCTGGAACTGACGGATAGCGGTGCCCTTGAGTTGGTTCATACCCTTCAGCTCAACAACCTTGTCCATCGTCAGACCCTTGTAGGTGCGGCCAACAGCCTTGACCCACATATCAGCTCGCAACCTCCATTTGAAGCTGGGGGAGACGATCATGAATTTGTTGAAACCGGTCAAAGCCTGCTGGCTCAGGACAGTAACGTTTTGAACCGTTTGCTCGATGGTGCCTTTGCCGCCAGAAACTGAGAAAGCACCCATGTTAACTTCCAAAATTGGCTTCTCAGATTGGTCGTTGGGGTCTAGGCCGCCAATCCAGGAAATTGTAAGAGGGGAGTTGTGGATAAGGGTAGCGTCAAAGTGGCCGGCATTGGTGACATCGATTTTGACGGAAAGCGTAAACGAGTTGTTTTGGGGGTTGCTGATGCTGGCGTCGACGAATGTAAGGACGGAGTCGTCGATAGAAGATTCTAAGCATCATGGGAAAATAGGAATGGTAAGTACTGGTTGAGAGCAGTATGAAAAAACTTTGCAAACGTACGAGCAATCTTTGGCACAATGACCAGGAAGATGACGGGCAACAAGACAATCAATAACACGGCGATCAAACCAAGGCATCCGAAAGCCCAGGTCTTCCTTTTCCGTGTCCAGAATCCGGTTTTGTTTGCAAATCCATCATCCTTTGTTGTGGGGGCCTCAACATCTTGGACGGTCTTTGACTCTGGTGCTGTGTCCACCTTGGTTTGGGTTGGTGTCTCAGACATGGCAATGTGTGTGTGTTGTGAGCCGGGGAGTGACAAGAGGAGATGTTGTGTGGAATGAGGTACAGAGTGTATGAATCAAGAGCCCGAGCTGTGGTGGTTGGAAAATAATCCAAGAGGGAAAGCAGAAGGGGGCCCTTTTATTTGATGAAATTCAAAGTAAACAATATCCTTAATAAAAACGACTTTCTTTTGCCGCTACTAAAAAAAAACAAAAAAGAACAACAGGAAAAGTGTCCGCTGCTCATCTGCCCCCATTGTCAGCAGTAGATTTTTTAAAAGGTCATTACCCATGTCTAGCATACAGGTGGTACAATGTTAAGCTAGACTTGGTTCTTTTCCCGTACATCATTTCGCTTGGCAAGCTGGCTGTAAAAAAGTTAAAAATAGTTTAAGAAAAAGTGGCTATATCCCGCGGGACGTCTTAAAACACACTGGGAGGCAGCCTAGCAAAGAATCCACACCCAAAGGTGTCTAGCTGGTTGAAAAGGAACACGGCTTCATCATTAGCCGCTCCCATACAGGTCTTGGAAAAGTAAGGTGGGGGGCCGCCGCACTGCAACAAGACATTCCGTTTTGTTGAATAAACAAAGAAAAGGAGAGCCATCGACGGATGTGTTCCAACTTGTTTACCGTGAATGTCTCTGGCCTTCCGAGGCAGAAAGATTTCCTTGGCTGCGGGCAGTCGGTTTCTTTCAAGCCGTTCATCGGGCCTTGTTTCTGGCTAGTCGCGTGGTGTCTATCAATAGGAAGGGTAATGCTCGGAAGCCATCATATTGGTCCTTTACAACAAAAAACCTTAACGCAATCGACAACATCATCTACTCCTTCCAAAACGACACCAAGACCGAGTGCAAGTGGTGCAAGAGTGTTGCTTTGAACTGGTTTAGGCTGATTAGTCAAAATCGAGAAATAATTTCAATCTGCTCGATTTAACCACTGAAACGAAATGCGAAATCTCGTCGCTTTTTTTCCACTTTCTCACATCCATGAACCAAGGCACTGGGAGAGGTCACACGACAGGGGCTTTTCTGTTTTGGAACACTCGGTTTTAGGTGGATTCTTTTACGTCATTTTCCACGTTAAGTAAACGGCTTAGTTAACTTTAATATTTATAGCCACAGATGGTTTCTTGCCTCTTTTGTGGGACATGCACAAACAGTCGATATTCTGTTGATTTTGGAGTAATTTTCATGGTTTAACAAGAGCTCCGCTTGCCGCTTGTGTTTGATGAACGAAAACGGCTTAGGTCTTGGCATTACCTCCATCGTTCACACAAGAATGGAAACTGGTCCGTCCGCTCGCTCATGCTAAACTTTAAAACGGGGATATCAGTGAAGGTTGCGCAAGATACTGTACACTTCCATATGGCAAGAATGAATGATAAATGAAGATTGCATGTGAATTGTCCGACATCCAAACGTTGTCTTTTGCACGCAGTTCCCGCTCCCAAGAGACACACATTGCGGATGGCTCGTGTGTGCCAATCTGGGAAGTGAGCACAGATGCATCACAAAGTAATTCTTTGTGTTTTAAGAACATCTATTGCTGCCTGCGACCATAAAATGGATGGAATGGTGCACGAGTTCCTCTCGTATCCTCTCAAGTCTACCTAGTCAATAAGCATCCAGTGGTGCACAAGTCTTGCCAAAGTCGCAATTCGGCAAAACAATTCCCTCTGCAGGTAGTGAAAGCCAGTCTCTGAATCGAGTTGCATCGAGTGACCCAGTCCGAAGACATGCAAGAGTTTTGGCTCACTGTCTGATTCCTGTCTGACGGTCCTTTGCATTCTTGAGATGCTCTGCTCTATCTCTCTTCATCCATGTGTCGGTCGGTATTGTGATATCTCTGCATGTTGTTAAACAGTCATGTCAACTCACGGGGAATTAGCTCAAATGGCAGAGCGCTCGCTTAGCATGCGAGAGGCACGGGGATCGATACCCCGATTCTCCACTCTGGGGCCGATGCGATTTTTTTTTCGCAATATTGTAAATGCTCCCTTCCATGGCAACAGTAACACATATGCACGGACTTCGTTTGACTCTACACTATTCAGAGGACCCTTCATGGCGTACCAGCGTCCTCTAGCGCTATTTACCTTGCTCACCTTCATTTTGGTGACATATTTTTATTCACCACGTACAACTTCATCGTCACCATACCGATACGTCTGCGACCTTGGTGCATACACCCATTTACCGTATCTTCCTCCGATTGATGACGCCCCCAGCAGCCTCCTTGCAGCAGCAGCAGAGTATGCAAGCTCAAAAGGCTTGCAAAAAACGACTTACACCCATGTCTCACGAATCAATGGTCAACGAGGGACCTATCACACAGACTGTTCATGTTTCGTTTCGTATTTACTCTATACGACCGGTCTGACGGCACATTTGCAAGATGTGCCCAAAGAGCGCAATGACACTGCTGTGGATCCCCCCATGCCTCGGGCACAAGATTATGCAAATTTCATTTATGGCCTAAATTCCACTCATCCGAGATGGAAACGCATCCACCGTGTCTCAGATCTCATTCCAGGAGACTTGATAACCTGGTCTATACCCTCTCGAACAACCAACACAGGACACATGATGGTCGTCCTAGCAGATCCTATCACTATACCAGTATCAACAAATGAAACCTGGGTCCATGTTGCTGATGCGAGTTCGATTACTCATGAGTGGGATTCTGCGTGTCATGATGGTGTATGTAAGAGATGGGGTGTTGGACAGGGGTTTGTCATGCTGTTAGAAAGGGCGGGTCGCATTGTGGGCTTTAAATTTCGGAGCGGGGCTAGAGAGCGGTGGTGGGAAGTCGGCGTGGGGAGGCTCTTGTGATCCTTGGCAGCCATGCCAACTTCTGACGCGTCGCGTCGCAGACGGCGTTGGGTGAACAAGCCCTTTAAAAATACGCCTTTACCGTTTATAGTTGGGGGTGCACACAGCCTTACGGGATACCCACGTATAAAAAGACTTTGTTGGTCTGCCTTCCTCCACCTTGCGCATCAACTCTGTAAACATGTCAGTCCCATTTCCAGACCCCAACAACACCTACACTCAAGCACCGCCACAACCGCAACAATCTTACGCTCAACCGCCTCCCAACAACGGGCAGCCAAACCAACCGTACTATTATGAGCCTGGCCAACCCCAACAATCGCCTCCGGCGAATGAGCAAGACAAGGACAGAGGACTCTTTAGTAATATTCAGCAGGCTTTAGGTGGTGGTGCACATCCACCTGGGCCGGGGCAACCGCAACAAGGAGCACCGGCGCCATCAGGAAGCAATCACTCAGGTCTGAACGTTACGCTAGGAGGAGTGTTGGGAGCGGTTGCTGTAGCTGGTGCGTATGGTCTTGTCCGTTTCACTTTCTTGAGCCACAGCCATTTTAACTTTGGTCATTCGTCCCTTAGGTGTCGGATATCTCGCTTATGATCAATGGCTCAAACATCAGAATAAGGCTCATTCCGACCATTCTGTTGAAGAATTCAAACGTTTGCAGGCTACACATGGGGCGCCTGCAGCGCCTGGTGCCCATGATTCACACGGGGGAAAGCATAAGGACAAGAAACACAAGGAGCACAAACAGAAAAAGGATAAACATGACAAAAAGGAAAAGAAGCACAAGAAGGGAAGCGGTAGCAGTTCTAGCAGTTCTAGCGATAGCGATTAGAATTGCATCATGTTAATTGGGTATACTTTTACAAATTTGGTTCACACATAAACCCCTTTACACAAAGTTGAAAGTCCATTCTTTTTACATTACACACCCACCACCATTCCGCCCATCTTCCTCTTCCTGACCCACTCGGCATGCTCCTCATGCCTCTTCAACTTTTCCATCCTCTCCTCCTCTAATTGCATGCGACGAAGTGCAGCCGCCTCCAACTTGGATTCCACATCTGGAACAACGCGTGCAGGTACACTGCATCGTCGCTGGCGCTTTTCGCCCCGCTTTTCAACAGCTTCCTTTCGAAGCATGTCAGCCATGCGCATCTTTTCGCATAGCTTGCGGTAGGTGTCTTGTGTGTGGGCCACTTGAGATTCGTGAACGGCCTGGGAGGTCTCGATGGCGTGGGTGGTCGCTTGGTGGGCCTTGAGAGCAAGATTCCGAATGTGCTCCTATCAATATCAAAAGCGACAATTTAGAACAGCGCAAGGAAAGACTATGTAGGTACGAGATACATACTGCTTTGCGTTCGGCTGCCTTGGACATTTTCTCCTCCAGGTCTTCTTGGCTGAAGCTACCAAAGTTACGAGGAGGGTGAGACAGGCAACTCGCGACAAGCACGTCTAAACATTAGGGCAAAGAACAAACCTTCTTTGGGCTTTACGTCCTTCAAATTTTCTAGGAATCTTTGGCGAGAGCTCTTCGGCATGGACAGGGAGCGTCGTCACATCCTGTTCGTCATCCAAAACAATAGCAAAAGCTGTTGACGCCATGCTTTACGTTCGTTCGTAAGAAAGATTAGTCTGGTTTTGAGAGAAAACTGTCTGCTGGGGGAGACGAGAAGAGAGTTGCGCTCTTTTTATGAAGAGATGAGGCGAAAAACGCGTTGCACCGTAAGCGAGAACGCGACATGAACGCGTTCATCTGGGCCCGAAGTTGCAGCTTGGCGTGCCCTTTAGGCGAGTGAGCGACAAGGGAAATGGTCCCTGAAGCTCTACTGAGGATATGTCATTCCACTTGTAGTAGTCGTTTTACCTTGTCCTAGAGTTGGCTGGCGTACATTGGATTTGTTTTAAGATGGATGGATATCAAGTCTAAAACTTGAAAAAAAAAGGATGGCAAGTGCTTGTAGCGGGATTTGAACTCTGTCAAACGTGGTAGGCAAAACATGAAACAAAAGGGGAGCCAACCGCCGCCACAAACGGTGACACAGAGTCATAACCTCCTCCTTCAAAGTGATGGAAACTCGGCGCTTTGGAAAATGCATTTCTGTTGCTATTTTGAGGATGGGTTTTTGATAAGTTTGGGATCTGCACACGGGTTATGCCATGATCCACACACACACACTGGAAACCTCTCTATTATTATAGAAATGTCATGCTGTTTACTGCTTTCGTAGCTGTTCATTAACGATAACACCATCCGTTGAACAAGATCCTTGATTTTGCAAAAACCAATTTGTGATTTATCCCTTCTGTGCTTGTAAATTGTTGAAATTCGTTCATCTTTTTTGTTGGACGCCGTCAGTTCGTTACCAAAGCCACCCTCCTGCGTGCACAGAGCCGCAAGTACAGCGCGCGCGTTTTGATTTTGACCAAGTAGTGGACGCCTTTGAGCAAGCGATTTTTTACGGGGACCTGTTGGGGAGGACATTGCTGGCAGTGAGGACATGAACACCCATTGAACGCATTGGCAGATTGGGACTCTGTGTTTACACGTTCAAGATTTATATTCTGACAATTGCCCATTTGCACTCCCATTCCGAACATTCAACTGTTCCTCACACTAGCGCACTACCCAGCATAAACACTTCTTTCATCGCACTCAACACCGAGAGAGAGAGAGAGAAAGACTGAGCGTGACCAAACGACTAATCACGACGCCCTCTGCGTGCGCGCCGAGATATGTTTGTAGAGTCCCACGCGCAGGCACCTCCTTTTACGCTTGATTCGTCGCCTGCGTCGGTCACAAATCACCATAGTCCGTTCGTTCCTCGCTCGTGTTCCAAACTTGAAATGTCACCTGAGGTGCTAAATGGAACTGTAAGACGTGAGGAAAAGGCAGAAGGAGTTGCTGAGGCGCGGACAACTCTGCAGAATTCCCCTGACGAAAATGTACAAGTGGAGGAACAGGGAGGCGAAGACGGTACTGTTGACCTTGAAATGGACAGTATGAGTGATGAAAATATAAGGGAAGAAACAAGGCAGAGGGGAAGCGAGGAAATAGCGGCGGTGGAAGCACAACGACTGTCCGAGAACCTTGTCGAGTCGCCAGCAATTGTTCAGCCCGCCAACACGGATGGTAGTTCCGAAGATACGGCTGCCAACAGCATCAGCAACACAGTACCGGACATCGACGGTCAGAAAACACCAGCGAATGGCTCCCCGATGGATTTTTCATGTAAGATCTCTTTTATACTCTGATCGATCGCGAAAGAGACTTACATGCTACGGTCCTCTTTTAGCGCTTCTTCCCCAGCGAAAACGACGACCCTCTTCAATCGCTGAAGCAAATGTAACTGCGGCTGCGGTATCCGAAATGCCCCGACGTCCATCTTCAACCTATATACGAAGCTCCTCTGAAGAAAATGCCCCCAAGATGTTCCGACCACACGCACCACAACGAACCAAAACCATGTCCGGATTCTCTACTGTAACACCGTCGCGGCCCACAATGTCTGGTTTCATGGGGAAGCCGCGACGCCCTTCATCAGCTCCTAATGTCAACTCTGCATCGCCACGAAGTAGAAGCAAATCGGAACCCTTTTCTGCGAACCCTCTACCACCAAACAGTCGATCCGCATCTGTGGGCACGTCCCGCAAGAGCTCAGAACCAGTATCACCGGACAGTGCTAGCTCCCCGCTTGCAGTTCACCGACGGCCCTCCACTCAATCCATGGACTCTGTTTCGAGCACACCGACCCAAGGTGACGCGACAGAGGACGAGTCTTACTTTGTCTTGGCCCGGTTGGAGGAGGAAAAGGAGGTTACAAAGGAAGAAGTCGAAAAGGAAGAAACCAAGAAAGGGTGGTTCTCTCCCGCGGCTTATCTGCAAGCAAGTTTCCAAGCTGTGAAAGAGTCCATGTTGGGAGAGGGAAGAGGGCCAGAGGAGAATGAAATCGAAACAGATTGGGGTAATTACATCACGTATTGCGCAACCAAGGATTCTCCGGTCTGATTATTTGCAACCATTTACAGAGTTTTGGGGCAAAGTGATGAATGACTACGAAACAACTGTTCGCAAGCACCCTCGCACATTCACACGAAAACTACATCAAGGAATACCTGACTCTCTACGTGGAATGGTGTGGCAACTCATATGCAAAGGAAAAGACCCGGACCTGGAAAACCAATACGCAACTCTAATAACCCGCACTTCCATTCATGAGAAAGTGATTCAACGAGATTTGGCGCGAACATTTCCGAAACATGAACGATTTCAGGAACCTGGAGGCCCAGGACAGGAGAGCTTATTCAATATCATCAAAGCTTATAGCTTGTATGACACAGAAATCGGCTATTGCCAAGGAATTGCATTCGTCGTTGGTGCCCTTTTGTTGAATGTGCGTGTTTTTGAGTTACCCGTACGATTGAGGTTATAACTAATTAAACCTTTCGTACCAGATGCCCGATGAGGAGGCTTTTTGCGTACTAGTACGGCTGATGAAAGACTACAAGCTCCGAGAGCTGTACGCCCCTCAGATGGTTGGACTGCAACTACGATTATATCAGTATGATGAGCTACTTGAAGAACAGTTTCCAGCCGTTGCCAAGCATTTGGAAGAGCAGGAGGTGAAGAGTACCATGTATGCCTCACAATGGTGAGTTTTTGTCGGAGATCAAGTCATATCACATTCATGACTTTAAAGTTGATCCTATTCCGGTTTTGCAAGGTTTATGACCATGTTTGCCTACCGCTTTCCTTTGTCCGCCGTTTTCCGAATCATGGACGTCATCTTTGCCGAAGGCGTTGATGCCATGCTCCGTTTCGCCCTTGCCTTAATCAAACGTAACCAAGATATCATCCTTACCCTCGACTTTGAAAATCTCCTAGAGTTCCTCAAAAACGGGTTATTCGACGTGTACGCCGACAATGTCGTGGCTCTCATCTACGACGCGGCGTCCATCCGCATCTCTAAAGGAAGATTGGACAAACTTGCCGCTGAACACGCTGAAGCCGTCCGCATGGCCAGCCCAGAACACATGGAAGCGGATGCCCTCCGCGCAGAAATGCGAAGAATGATGGAAACCATAAAGCGAATGGAAACCGAGTACGAAATCCTCAACCGTGAACACGTCACATTGGCCAACAGACTCTTGGAAGCAACTGTTTGTTCTGAGCGCGATCGGGAACGAGCAGATACACTCCAAACCCGTGTATCGGAACTAGAAGCCCGAGCAGCGGATGAGCGGAAAATGGCTGAACAAGCTGTTCAAGCGGAGATGGAACGCTTGGCTCACAAGAACCTGGAACTTACTGCGCGGAACGCAGAATTGCAAGAAGAGGTCATTGGATTGCAGGATGTCGTTGCTGAGACGAAACTCAAATGGGCGGATTGCGAGAATCAGAGATCAGAGTTGCAGAGAAAGTGGGATGGATTGAAGAAGGTTTTGGGATGATGTGTTGCATTGATACCTTTTTTTTTTCAGTAATAGTGTTGTTTCTTTTTTTTTTTTTTCGACATACTTTTGTGTTTTGCCGATGTAGTGTTCTGTCTCTGCCTATGGCTTTTTTTTGTTTCTGTAAGAATTATTCTCGTACTGTTACTTCCCTTCCGCTCCATGATGTTTTCCTGCTCTATGCTTTTTTTTGTATTGATGAGTAACGGTTTTGGACCTGATAATTCATTTAAACGAGAAATAAATCCCACCCTGAAGCTTGGTATAGAGTGTGCTTAAACAGCACCTGGATAGTCCAATAGGTTGTTGGATGCGCACACTGCTTCGATTGAAACCAATAACAAAGTAATGGCACATAAATACGATCTAAATTAGCACGTACAAGGACAATGCATGTCTTGGTTTATTTTGTTAACGGGCTGCTTTGAATCATCTCCAGCATTATGGTGACGAACAGCCAAAACGAACTCTGTTAAAGAACAGATAGACTGTGAGAGCAAAAAGAAGGATAAACAAACAGTACGGAGTGCTTTGGAAAGTTGTAATTGTCGACAAATTCTCAAAAAGGGCAAACAGCTGCGCGCATCAGCCAACATAGTAAAACCGCGGAACAATAAACGCACAACGTCTTTTGGGGCCGTTCAAGGGAGACCGGAAAATCACCATAACGTCCTTTAATGGATATGATTCATGGGTAGACTGACCTTTGGACCAGGCGGTAATGATAATCCTTCTCAGAAAAGGCAGCTAAATGAATATAAAGTCTGGGCAGTATTGGAACATGATTTGGTGTGACAGCCAATATCAAACGTCCTGTAATGCAAACATACAGGGTAGTCGTTTACAGAACAAAAAACACAGCTATGAAAGAATGGGAGTGGAGAATCGGGGTATCGATCCCCGTGCCTCTCGCATGCTAAGCGAGCGCTCTACCATTTGAGCTAATTCCCCGATGATGAATTGGGAGCGCATGTAAATTATGTGCGTATCACAATCTTGAGAACAGCACCCTCATGCAATCATCACCACAGTATTTCGAATTGGCTTGTCAAGCAATACTGTCCTGCGGAATAAGTGCAGAAATTTCGATCGGGTTGGTATCGATTCTGGATGCATTGATGGGTTTCAATGAGCTTCAGACGATACGATAGGCAGCAACACGGGTTATTTCTTTTATGACTGAAGAAAGGTTTGGTGAACGTCCTTGAGTTCTTTATAGGTAAATGAATATGATAGAGTATTGACCACCTCAGCTGGATCTTTATGAAAGGGTTATCCGACTTTATGCAGTCGAGGATGTGATTCCATGTCATATTAAGTTGGTCAATCGTAAGCCTCGCTGCAGTAGAAAATATGGAATATTCCCATTGCCTCTGTCATCAAGAGTTCTTTTGAAATGCTGTTGCCTATTATTTGGGTATATTAGCCATTTAATTTTACACGGCAGCATTCCAGATCCGATTACAAACCAGAGGGCAGGTACAGTAGCTTAAATACACCGACAAGGTCCTCTGGAGGGAAGGATTTAGGAGCAGAGACGAAATTCCTGGATATTGAGCGGCGATCATCTTCAGTCCCCAGACGAGACAGTCATCTAACAAAGCACATCTGGCAGTAGTTGGTATCGAACACTGCCAATCCAACTCGAGCCACGTTGCTTGTGATTTCAATCGGTTGAATAGGTTAAACAATTTGATCATCGGCGGCTTTCACCGTCACGTCACGCGTTTGGTTGAACAGCAACCGACAAAAAAGTTGAGGTTGAGGATTTTGGGTTTCCGACATGGGTATTCTAGTTGTTGTAATTAGGATAGCTACATAATTTTTATTGAGAGAGAATAGACGATTTGTGACCAATTTACCTGGTTCATTGTTCAATGGGTACACTTCTTCAGCTGCTTGAACCACTGTCGGCTGCAGCGTCCTCCGCCTTTCAAACGGTTTCTCATGCCGCAGAGTCTCTCACGAAGCCTGCGGTCGATCAGTCAAACGATGGTCCACTACCTACCACCCCTAGCAATATCGCAACCTCTATCCCACAGCGAAGTTCGTCACTTCCTCCGGCGGACGATGACGACAGTTCCGACACTGAGCAGTATGATATCGCAGCAAAGGTTCCCAGTTTAGGCGTCGGGTGGAATTCGATTTGGCAGTTTCTGGGTGGTTCAGAGGAATTGAGCGATGACGAGTGTCCAGAGGAAGTGGAGCTAAAGGATCTGAGTAATGAAAGAGGAGACCCAACTCAAGCCTCTAAAACAGAGACAAACAAAGATGAGATTATTGCCGTACAGCGAGCCGCCGATGCTGCAGCTCAAGCTCCAAGTGGATGGGCTGCGTTCGGATTCAATTTAAACATACCCATGCCACCCTTCCTTGATACCAGATCCTTTCCCGCACCGCCCGACGAGGTAGCACCACTACCCGGCCTCACACCAGCTTCAAATACCGCACCCGAACAAGGTACCGTCCGGTCAACGACACCAGATGGGGACGCTACCACAGCAGCCAGCGCCTGGACTAAGGCTTGGGCATCTGTCACCGGATCCGCAACGCGCAACTTGCGACCCTGCGGGCATCGACATCCGTTTCATTTCTTGGAGGGGGACCTTGTCCTGATGGGCGGCATGTATGGTTCCTTCCTGGAAGATCGATCTACCGGCCGGAGGGAATGGCTTTCGATGGATGCAGTGTTGAATTGGAATACCCCAGATTTGAGACTCCCCCTAGGCGGAGATGAGGAGGACGACAGGCTTGTGCCAAGCGGGTGAGTTCCTTTCATTGACTTATATCTTAATATATCCTTTTCTACGAGTTTCTTTTGACACCATTCTTTTTTAAAAATTCAGTATTTTCGACCGTCTAGGTCCAATCAATGTTTGCGCCGATCTCGTGCGTGAATTTGTTTCCTGGGAAAAATGCAGCTCAGGAGCCTTTCGCTTCCACCCTTTCGCCTACGATTGGCGCAAATCCCCACACCATGCTTCAAAGTCCCTTGAGACCTTCCTTAGTAACATTTATGAACGCAATAACCACCAAAAAATCCTCCTTGTTGCGCACTCCATGGGCGGCCTCGTGGCTCTTTCAGTGATCAATAGACGACCAGAGCTGTTTCGTGGTGTTGTGTTTGTTGGAACGCCTTTTGGAAGTGTTCCGCTCATTATATGGGCTTTAAGACGTGGCGCACCCTTTATGTTGAACCGAACGTTGATGTCAGCTGGACTGCACTTTGGAGCGCGGACTTCTTTTGTATTTTTGCCGACCGATGGCAAAGGTTTGGTGGATGATAAAGAAGAGGATATTTTGATTGATTTTTATAATGCCGACGAGTAGGTCTTGTGTGCTTGAATTGCAGCAATCCAACCTCGCCTAATTAGACTTCCAATATAGGTGGCTCAACTACCGCCTCTCCCAGGTTTTCCATACTGCAAAAACGCAGGAGGATCTCCAAAGCTTCCACACATATCTCAAACAGACTCTTCACAGCGCCAAAACCTTCCGAACGTCCCTCTCCCACAATCCCGATCAGTCATATCCCCCATTCGCCACGGTAACCTCTACAAAATTCCCTACACCAACTCGTATTCGCTCCTCTGTTCGTAAGGTTCAAACACCGTTAGGAATAAAGCGCGAAATTAAACTCATGTGGCCATGTCGCTTTCTGCCCGGGGATGGGATTGTTAGCGGGGAAGATATGCGTATGCCATTAGGATTTACGTTTTCGGAAGTCAGAAGTTTAGTAGGACATTGGGGCCTCCTAAATGATGTAGCGGCAATAAGGAAGGCCTTAAAGAACATTTTGGAGGAAGAGACGAAACGGAGTAAGCCTGAGAGTGCGGCTGACAATGAGCAGATACCGACAACAAACGAAACTCATGATGAGAATGCGCACGATATACAGCGGATAGACTGCAGTGAGGAACCTAAAAATGAAATGGATAAGCTTGACATCAATGACAGAATGGAAATTAAGAACGGAGATGAACCACAAATGGAGCAGACCGGATCATACACAACATAGTGAAGTACGAGAGGATAGAGCACCGGAAGACTCGGCTGGTGGTGCCTTGTAGCTTGTGGAAACTGTACCATAATCACTTCGACTGCTCATATACAATCTCATTCTGATGCACAAACTAACATCTGGTTCTTCTGGTTCCTGCTCCTCCTTTTTTTTGTCATCAAACACGTCTTTTCCTATGATATTTTCTTTGCCTTTTGAGTTCTTTTGCCCACTTTTGGGTTGACGGCCTTTTTTGCTTTTCCGGTTCAAGAGCTGTAGTGGTTCTCAGTTCTTCCGGCTGGTTTGTGGAAGTATCATCGGAGGGTGCTGATGAAGCGTCGCTAGTAGCACCTTTCCCCTTTGATTTATCGCTGTTTCTTTTTTTGCCGCCAGTTCGCCTGAGTTTAAGCGAGCTGAGGGAACCGAATTTCATTAAATGTTGGGTACATCATGACAGGGTAATTCGTGCATACTTGCAGCACAGCAATACCAAAGGGCCGCTGTAAAATTGGACACCATCACATTCAAAACACAAAAAATACCCTCTCTCGACCGCGCGATTGGAGAATCGGGGTATCGATCCCCGTGCCTCTCGCATGCTAAGCGAGCGCTCTACCATTTGAGCTAATTCCCCATATTGATTGCTGAGGATACAGTAAATACATCATTTTTAAATATACTCATCTAGATCAGAAAGACTTGACCCGATGAGCTCACAGAAGCAAGAGCATCCCAAACAAAACTAATAATCAACGGCTGAAAATATCTGTGAAGCACTGCTCAGTGGAGAAGCGGCACTTAGCGTTGACATTGACTTTATCAACTAAGATGCGGGCAACCAGCCGTCCCGTTTGGTGGCATAGTACCCACGGAAACGAATGGCTCAGGATTTCAAATGACATTTGATAGTGTAGAGGTGACAGAAACTGGCCTAGCTACTACACCAGGGAATGAACCGGCGAGAACCGGTTCGGAAAAGCTAACTAACTACTACTAGGCAATTATACACGCAATACGTAACGGTTCTAAACCGGATAATTGCCCACCACCACACGCGTTCCTACTGGGCCTTGATCTGGAACTCTTGATCGACATTGAAGCCAGAGTCGTCGCAAGAGAGTTAATATCGTCAGGGAGACTCGCAAGCCGGAGGATGTTCAGTAACGAAGGCTTGGAGACTAGAACTGCCTGTCAGAAGATGACCAGATGATAAGAAATGATGCCATCGGTACATACCAACCAAGCTCAACAAATGTGGCAGCATAATAGTAGGTTTGTCAACAGATCCAACTGGTTGCTGCTGGTTCTGGCCATTGTTGCTGTCGGGCGGACGAGGTCCTCGACACCACCACATCTGCATGCTCATGATTGACCGAGTCGCAATGAGGTTGCAATGTGGGTCACTATGAGGTTGCAATGTGGGTCGCGATGAGCGTTGGGCAGATGCTTGCGAGTCGAGGATGGGTAAAGAGGAAAGAGGGAAAAGGCCCCCCTTTTATAGACCTTTGGCATGCGCCTCACCGCAGTTTAAAAAAAAAGCATTACATGCATGCCACAGCGCTTTGAGCGATAGAGGGGGTTCTGATTATTCGATATGATTAACCGGATTATCCGGATAATAATGGGTCCTAGTGCCATTTTCCATCACCTCCACACTATGCTCAAAGCGATCAAAGGCAATTCTGTCATCAGAACTCCCCTATTTCTCTTTTGAATTCATGGCCTACAGGCGTCATTTCTCTCTTTTCGTATCGCCGCCAAGAAGAAATACTTCGTACATCATTTAATCCTTGTCTGTTTTCATGCGCAGATTTTGATCATGAAAGGACGGTACATAAACAGCTGTGAGTTTTGCTGCACAAACTCGTGCCGCAACATTATTTTCTTCTACTTGCTAACATGGAGCACTGCACAATGTGAAAATCTGTTGAGGGCCTTGTACGCTTCGACTGCAAAGCGCTTATACCGAGCCTAGTCATTTTTCTGTGAACGTTTTGAGACAACTTATGAGCAGCTACTTGTCGTAGCGAAATACCCCATTCTTTCAATGTTATAACGGGTCAACGCTGGTTGCTGTTCAGCTCGCAAACCATGGGATTGGTGTGCACCGAGTACCACTCGGTGGTGAGGGCCCTACCGTGGCAGTTGGTGTGCTCCGAGTTACCACTTGAAGTGAATCTGCCGTAGCAGAGTGATTGGTGTGCATCGAGTACCACTCGAAGTGAATGTGCCTTTAGCAGAGTGATATGAATCTGCCTTAGCAAAGTGCTTGCTGCCGTAGCGAACCTGCCTTTAGCAGAGTGATGTGAATAAGGGCGATGGCAAAGCGCAGCCTGCAAGCCCGGCTTCTTCATGCGGTATTCGCGCAAGTATGTGAGGCGTTGCCCGGCAAGGTGGCATCTATGTGGAAACTTGCATTGCGTCTTCAGCATTTTCGTAGCAGCACAGCCCATGCCATCCATCTCCAGAAGCGCGGTTGTTTTAGGTGCCGATGTACAAACTGGCAGAACTCAACTGGCATCTATCATTCTTTTTACTCTCCATGCCACGAAAACCACGCCAAGTGTCTCAATGAAAGATGAGTTTGGCAGCTGAGTTGCCTTATGGACTTTGCAATTCACCACTAGTTTTGAACCCTTTGGGTAGAGGATGTGACATAAACTGGAATCACAGAATGCTAGGCAATCAGTACGTGGCGAAGACTCGTAAGCTTATAGATCTGGACTAGCAAACGATGTGGTCCTTCTTTCCACAGCAAAATGGACGTTGGCCGTCTTCTTTCCCATTCAATCCCACAATCCCAAAGCAAACATCTGCGTGAGCTGTGGGCTGTGCTTTTGTTGAAACGAAATGTGCCAAGCCCCCCGTAGCGCTTCCCAGTTGGTGACTTTGTGTATTACATACCTATGACTCATGCACGAGACGGGGTGGAGATTTGTCCAGTGGAAATCCAAATCCACCCTCCACCTTCCTTGTCCTCTTGTTGCTGTTCTTCCACAAAAGACATTACTTGCATAGGTACGAAGTCTTGGCACGGATACATCAGAAGGAAATCCACAGACTCTTAAAGAGAGCGTTCTTGTGTATTTTTGTTTACAGTTCTCTTGCCGTTCACAAGCAACAGTCCGTTGTCGAACTATTTTACTTGAGCTTGCTTCTTTGGTGAGCAAAGGACACTATTCCTTCGTTTCGATCTCGCCGCTTGCGGCGGCTATTGTGAAAACCTAACCGAACCTTTCTCCCTTGAAAGCGAATAGCTTTGTCCCTTCTGTTTGTATTTGCGAAATATCACTTTCATAGACAGAAAGAAAGGAGCAAACCGCCTGAAAAGACGCTTTCTTCTTGCAAGTAGCCAAACAAAGGACACGCAAGAAAAAGCTTTTCGTTGCTTTAAACAACCTCACGTCCCTCATAATCTGAAAGAGAAAAGGCCCGGGTCGATCCTAACCATAACATCCCTTGATCATCAAAAACTCCGCGCGCGCCATGTCAGGTTTCCGGAACTTCTCCACGTCCACATTCACCACAAGCGCCCCAACTCTAAATAGTGCCTTGGACGAAGACGATTGGCGCTCTGACGAGGAAGACGAATCGAACACTGCTCCTGCCTCAAATAAAAGCGCTCCGTCGTTTGCATTACCATCCTCACAGAATAACTGGAGAGAGCAGAACCAAGAAGATTGGTTAGCTAACAAGCAAAAGACTATAACCTCGGAGACAAGAGTTACTCCTCCTCCGCCTGTTCGCGCTACTCCACCTGTGCCAGTCTATCGCCCGTCGTACGCTACTCCTCCAGTAACTTCGGGTGTATCCCCCAGTGTGCCAACGAGGCCTATCAACGAAGCGGTCACAGTTTCCAAATCAAGTACTTTTAGTGCTCCAGTAAAGCCTGTCAAGCCAACTCGGCAGTACGAGTAAGAATTAATGTCGTGGACATATTACTGCATGGTTAGAAAAAATACTCATTGTTTTTCTTTTTGGCAGCACCAGCCACCTGCCTACGACAATACCTGCCTACCCGGGTGCAGTTTCAGGAAAATTTCCTTCCGCTGCTCAATCTGCCGAAGTCCACCCTTCATCTTATCCTAAATACAAAATGGGTATCAACACTCAAGCTCTCGCTGTTAAATTTCCTTATTTCACTCCATCCGAAATTGCTGCTTTCCACCAGCAATTTGCGTCCCTCGACAAGGATGGACGTGATCTGGTTCACCAAAGCGATCTCACCAACGTTGCTACAAAAGCTGGCGCAAGCTCACAGGATGTCACGGCTAAGTTGGCTCAGTTGAGTTTGACTGACGAAGAGGGACTTGTAAGTTTCGAGGGTTTCTTGCAAGCGGTCTCCAAAGTAAGAGCCGACAAGGGTGCGCCAAAACAACATGGCGAGGACAAGAAGAAGATTGTTTTGCACGGCCATCTTGAAAATACCACGCATACTATCAATGAGGATGAAAAAGAGTCTTTCACGCAGCATATCAACCAGCAGTTGGCCTATGATCCGCACGTCAAGGACCGATTACCTATTGACCCTGCCTCCATGCAGGTTTTCTCCGAGTGCAAGGGTATGCTTCAAATTTGGTTTAATTTGTTGTTTGCTATGGCTGACAGTTAGCTACAGACGGTCTCCTTCTCGCTAAGCTGATCAACGACGCTGTTCCCGGCACTATTGATGAGCGAGTGTTGAACGTGTCGAAAAAGCTCAATGCTTTCCATATGACCGAGAACAACAATGTCGTCGTCAACTCTGCAAAGGCCATCGGTTGCAGCGTCGTCAACATTGGTGCCCAGGATCTGATTGAAGGTCGTGAGCACCTTATCCTTGGTCTCATCTGGCAGATCATCAAAATCGGTTTGCAAGCGAAAATTGACATCAAAGTTCACCCGGAGTTGTTCCGGTTACTGGAAACTGGGGAAAGCTTGGAGGATTTCTTGAAGTTGCCTCCAGAACAAATTTTGTTGCGGTGGTTCAATTACCACTTGAAGAAAGCAGGGTGGGCGCGAAAAGTTACAAACTTCAGTTCCGACGTCAAGGATGGAGAAAACTACACTGTTTTGCTCAACCAACTCGCCCCATCAACATGTTCTCGTGCACCGCTGCAAATTCACGACCTTCACGAGCGGGCTGAAGCCGTCCTGCAGAATGCCGACAAACTGCAGTGTCGAAAATACCTTACCCCCAAGACTCTTGTGGGTGGTAACCCCAAGCTCAATTTTGCATTCGTAGCACATCTCTTCAATACCCACCCAGGTTTGGAGAAGCTCAGCGAAGCTGAAATGGCCCAGCTAGATGAATGGCTCTTCAGTTCTGAAGGTGATCGGGAAGCGCGTGCATTTGCGCTCTGGCTCAACAGTCTTGGAGTGGAGCCATTTGTCAACAACTTGTTTGACGATCTTCGGGACGGTTTGATACTTCTCCAAGCAATGGACAAAGTCCACCCGGGCATTGTAGACTGGAAGAAGGTGAACAAGGCTCCCGTGACGAGTAAATTTAAGAAGGTGGAGAACACAAATTACGTCGTGGTGCTCGGAAAGAGTATGAAGTTTTCGTTGGTGGGAATTGGAGGGAGCGATTTGACAGATGGAATAAAAAATTTGACTCTTGGTAAGCATTTTTCGATGGGCTTATCTTACAATGGTGTTCCTAACATTTCTATGTTCCACAGCGCTTGTATGGCAACTTATGCGGGAACACGTCATTCAAACGCTCCGCACTTTATCAACAGGCGGACGGGAGATCACCGATGCAGACATGATTAAATGGGCCAATGACACTGTCAAGTCTCGTGCAAGCAAGAGTTCGAGTATGGCGAACTTCAAGGATCCTAGCCTCTCAACAGGAATTTTCTTCCTTGACTTGTTGAACGGTATCAAGAAGGGTGTTGTGAACTACGAGCTTGTGACATCAGGAGAATCGGAGGACGATGCAAAGATGAATGCCAAGTACGCCATCTCCATTGCACGTAAGCTGGGTGCTACTATCTTTGTTTTGCCGGAGGATATCGTGGAGGTGAAACCCAAGATGGTGAGTAGGGCGTGCTTTCGAATTCAAAAGTAGGTTCCAGTCGCTCATATATCATTTTCCTTTTTCAGATCTTGACGTTTGTGGGTACTTTGATGGCGCTAGACAAACAGCAGAATGCATGATGTCGTCTTGTAGTTTCGTAGATCACTTTGAAACAGCTTATATAATTCAAACGTATGGTGAATCACCCAGTGGCTTGTCAGTGGCGCATGATCCATGCTAGTGGAGACAATGTCCCCAGGGTTGGTCGACAATATCCTCAAGGTCTCTCGCCACCATCCATTTTGCATGTGAATTTCCATCAAGTAGCCCTTCTGTCTCGCTCCCTGCATAAGCACGTCTGTACCTGCACCTCTTCAAAGCCCCCAAAGGCCACACGCGCGGGCCCGTTTGATGATGGAAGGTGAAGGAACAGCAACAACATCAACCACGCATACAACACACAAAAAGGCACACAAACAAACACATGTGGAGGGACAATCACGACAGTTTCTCACGGCGCAGAAACTGAAAATAACGGGGACGAAAGTATGGGCGTGTGATCGATGTACGTTTTCACTGTCTGCCTTTAAGAAAGAGCGCGTTTCACTGCCCTGTGAACATGTCACTTATGTGTATCCTTGCAGGTTATCGTCTAAAGAACAAGTGTGATTCAGGGAGACCCACTTGTTCTGTCTGTGCAAAAGGAAATCATGAGTGTACATATGGGCAGAGGAGTAAAGGGAAAGGAGTAGGTAGGAGGTCACGGGCTGGGTCTTTGACGGAACCTGCTGATGGCAATCCGTATGTATGATTGTGCATCTATTTCTTCCGCCGGAGTTGCCATGGACTAATATTGTGTGTGCGAAAGGTACACCCAAATGCTACAAACCAGGCTGTATGAACTGGAGGAAAAGGCGCGAAGTATGAGTGTACCTAATGACGATCCACGAGTACCAGATCCTCGAAATCAAGACCCGCGAGTGCAGGACCTGGAGGCGAGAACAAGTCAAATGACCGTGTCGGACCCAGACCCAACGACAGATCCTGCATATGCCGTTTTATCACCCATAGCCGCAGAAGGAGCGATGGTGGAAGGTGCATTTTCTGCGTACGATCTTGGCGCCGATTCACATGCTCCAGTCGACTATCTATTCCAACCCATTATCCCCAGCAATATGTACTCCACATTACCGTCTGACCAAACCCTCTTCTCCGATGATGTACTGAAATATCTGGTTCACACGTTCTTCCTCGACATTGTACCAACATGGTTTCCCAATCCCATTCATCAAGCAACCTTCATGGCAAGGTGGCCCAATCATCCACCATTATTGATCTATAGCATGTGTGCAGCTGCCGCGAGACGATCTGATCATCCTGTGACGAGGGCGTACGTTGCATCAAGGAATGTACCGCTGTATTTGGGAGGCGAACCATATTTTTGGAAAGCTAGGGAGATTATAAATTCTTTCGTGGGGGAGCCAGATTTTGAGACCGTTTTGGCGCTTGTGACTCTCGGGCTGGCAATGTCAGGTGAGCATTTCAAAGGCAGCGATCATCTGGTTGGTCACTGCAAGTGCTGACGGCTTGATTTCTGTGGCTTTTGCTTTGTTTCTTTACAGGGATGGGAAACCGTAAGTACCAAGCAATATTTCGATTCTGTGGTAGGGAACCACCTGGACATTAATAATTTGTTGTTATTTTTATCCTTCAGTTGATGCCTCGGTTCCTCTCATGTCAATGGCGATCCAGACAGCCCTTTCCCTGCGACTTGACGTCGACCCTGACGTGGAGGAAGTACATGGACAGCTGACATGGCTCCAAAAAGAATCGCGTCGACGATTATGGTGGACTCTATGCATGGTACGAAACCGTAATATCAGCGGTTACTCATATGGTAAAGGGATGTTAAGATCCGTTTGGTCTATATTGTAGTACGACCGGCAACCTAAACCGGGTCTTGAGTCTCCCGACGAGCAACGCATTCCACCAATGATTAATGATCAAGCCCGTCCTTCCGTCGATCAGTTCACGTTTTTCGGTACCTCGAGTCGCACTGTTCAAGTTCCTGCTCCAGAACCACTGTGGCTGTCTGTAGCGGATCCCGACGGTCTTCCCGTTCTCGAAGCTTTTGTTCCAGGTCTCGACATTGACTTTATTGATCTGTCGGGTCGCCTCGCACGCGTTTTTTACAAAATCCAATCATTGTATGATTCAATGCATGGTTCGCAAGTCACCTCACCTGATTCCCTTCTACCTTCCCCCATCTCGTTGGTCGAATCCGAGTCTCTGCTAGTGATTGAATTGACCGCGATCATGGGCGCCCTCCCCGCATGGGCCCGTACTATTGATACCTACAATGAATTCTCCCCACACATAACTTCCCGTCCTCCATTACCGCCGTACCACCTCTTAACCCACCACATCATCCACCACGCGCTTCACGTGTGCTTGCGCCTCCCAACCGTTCTCGCTGCAGCCGATAGCCTCAAATACAAAACCAACCTGACACCACACATCCTCGCTAGCTATAATCACTGTCGCTACCATGCCTCAAGAGTTGCATACCTCCTCCGAAAAATTGTGGCGGTGAACCCTACAGCCAGGTGGATTGACTGGTACACGCTTTACTTGGCCTTCAGATCAGCGTTGGTTCTCGTCGTGGCACTTAATGCTGAAACGGATACAGAGGAGTTGGTGAGAGCTAGGAAAGATTTGGAAATTCATTTGGAGATTATGAGGAGTGTTGGGCGACACATGTGGTTTGGGAATTATATGACCAAGATGTTTGAATCCATTATTATGGAAGCTTGAGGGAGAGTTGTTTAGGATATTGCTTTTATATAATGAAAGAGGGCTCTTAGCAATTGTGCGTTTGAGCACAGAACACGACGGAGCTTGGATGCCGGCGTTGAACTTCCTAGCAATCATTGGCCGCCGCTTCACTTCACTTTATAAATGCACTCTTCTGCAATTTTTTGACTGATGTGGCATATCAATCTGTGGTCACTGGGGAGGAACTACATAACGACCTATTTACTATTATTTACATTAAGGGACGAATCTTAAACTACAGGGACGGAAAACTATGAATATGTTGATTCAGTCCTTCAATCGGTGAACGAAAGGTGTTGAGTGCGGTGTGTGGACGCGGGAAAGGATGCTCGGATGTGGAGCTATGTGGTCGGGATTTCTATGATTGTATCCGATGCTTCGCGGTCAGTGCCAGCATGGTTGGGTAATGGGATGGGTGCTAACGGGGGAGGAACATCAGAGGACGGTACAGCTGTTGCAGTCCTCACAGGAAGTTCCTCATGAAGCAGGGAAGCCTCCAAATACCAATTAGGTTATTGGATATTTAGGAATTGCAAAAAAAAAGGTAACACCTACCTGTCCTCCATTTACCGCTAGGTTTTGCTTTGAGCGTCGCCAGTAACGGTAGCCAACCACAGCCCCAGTAATAATGTAAGCGCCCACCAAAGCAGCTATAATACCCGGGACAAGTCCCCTATGCGCCTCATCTGGGACCACCCTCCAATTGGGTGTCGTTTGTCCTGTCGACCACGGCGCTCTCGGATCCCACAACCCAGTGACTTTAGTTGCATCGGGGACGCCAGAGCGCAATTGGCATTCCTTGTTCCTCCATGATATGTACGCGCAACTAGATATGTTTTGACAGTGGGATAGGCATTCTTCAAGAGTAATTGGGGCCCTGTCTGGTGGGGAGGTGATGGTTGTCAGATTTTGGGATGGAAAGCTGGCAGGTAGGTCACCAAGGAGAGGGTAGTCAGGAGACGAGAGAAAGACCGTAGTGTACTTTGCCTGCTTGATTGGAGTATGTCATTCGACGGTCATGAAAGCAGAGAACAAAGACATTGAATAGCGAAGCACACACCCCATTCCTATTTAAAGTTCGCAAAAAACACAGAGTCCCATCCCACACCCACCAATCACATCGCTGGTTCGCAACTCCACAGACATCTCCACAGGCACAAGCGGAATTCGCCGTGACGACACGCTCTAATAGCGGCAACGCCGCGGTCGATCCTAGCGGGATGTCGATGCCCCATAGGACTCTGAACCCCATTTTGGGCTGGGAACTGGGTGCTGGTGGACATGTTGGTGGTGGTGGTTCAGTAGGATCTACGGCGAAGATTGTGGGGAGAGTAAGAAGGAGAAGGAAGAGATATGTGCTCGCAATGGGCATGCACATTGGTGGTGTGGGGACAGTTTGGCGGGGAGGGGGGACGACTCCACAATGGGTTTCTTTGGATTTGATGAGATACAGGACAAGATGATTGTGCAATGCCCTTGCAGTATATGACGTCGATTGCTCTGCTTATCTCTTTTTTGATTGTCAAAACATATCCCAAACGGAAAAATGAAGAAAACATTCATTTACCAAAACTCCTTCATCATGAGCCGAGGATATAAAAGGAGCTGGTGATGGACCATGTGGTAACGTCAATTGCTATCAGTGTGGTTGTCAAAAGGAATGTAAGCATCACAGTGACAGACTTGCATTTTGACAAGATCAAAAAGGGCGGGGAAGGCAATATCCAAAACAAGCAAAACGATAGGGGATTGCGCAGGGCAGAAGCGACCTTTTTTTACGCCTTGGGAGCCCTTGGGTCGCCTTTTGAAAAACCGTGCTACTTTTAGAGTTGTCCCGATAATTGCTGAGTATTTGGATTAGCCAGCTGTGGGGTGAATTGCGGCAATTGCGTTGCTTGCTACGACACATTTGCTATGCTGTTGGCTTGTAAAAATGAAAAGGGCATGGCAAGCCATTTGTTACAATTGTCGTACGATTTACACAACTGGTCTTATTTCCACGTGCATTGGCATCAACAATCCTCCTTGTAAAAGTCTGTGCAGGCAAGCAAACGCTTCAAGTTGCCGGTTAAAACTGAGAAGGAAGACGCGAATTGCTAGATGTCCAGGTTTGACGATACAGCACCTTTTTTTTTCCACTGCAGCATCATGACAACTCATCCAATGCTGCCAGGATATGGTGTCCTCGCAACCTGAAAATATATTCTGCTGAAAAGGACGAGGAAGAAAGATCCAGCTCGTTTACATAACAGGGATAGCTTGACATGATGTCACTCTCTTTTGCAGAACATCAAACCGTTGACATGTATAAAAGGATGCGCATTATTGTTGAAGTCGTTTGTTTGGTATTGACATTTGCAGGATGGAAACTACAAGTATGGGGCGTGTCAGAATCTTAAACTCAAATATCCTCGAGTCAGAGGATTCTAGCTAAAGCCTCCTAATGACCAATGCTTTCGCAGTTCACGACTTCACGATCTTGTGCGTGATGTCATGTCTTTTTGATCCTGTTTCCAGAGACATGTTGCTATTGACACCCGGCGAGGTGTCTGTTCCCCACATCGCTACAAACTGGAAACTGCCATTGCCATCGTGCGGGGCACCCACTTTCCAAGAGCAGCCGTCAAAAAGCCAGTGAGTCAGGCCTTTTTTTGGGGCAGTGACAGGTTGAGGTGGGGAAAGGCCTCCAAAGCATCGCAGTCTTGTGTGGACGCGTCTGGTGGAGGGTAGTCGATTCCACTGCTTTGTCAAAACCTGTGATGTAATAAGTTACAAGACGGCTTTTTCTTTTTTGAACAGGGGCGCCAATGTGGATCGGAAGGTTGAAGGGGGCTTGACTGCTTTTGTTGCTTTTGCTCTGGACATGTTACTTTGAATACCTTTCCCAATACCGATATCTTTAGCCAGTCAGTATCCATCCCTTCGCCAACAAACAATGCACGTTTCCTCCGACCCACCCACTCGCCTTTGTGTGCGAGTAGGAGCATCGCCATCATCTCTGGAAATGGCCCCCGTCAACGATGACTTTCATCCGATTGAATTTGATTCGCCTCATTTTACAGGACGGATATGCGTCCGGATCGTCCATTATCGCGGTATCACACCAAAAGGCCAAGAACCGCTTGATTCGACACCGTATTTTGAGGGGCGAAAGAGATATTTTTCGGTGCAGATTGAGGGCAGATTTAAGCAGCCTTGGAATGGGGACGATGTGATCTTTGGAGTTGTGTTTGAGAGAAAGTTGAGGCTGCCTCCTGGCGCTGATCTGGCATTGACCATCGCCAAGGTGTCTTTGAACGATTCCTACAGTTTTTGAAACTCAGACTGGTCTCTTCCTGGGTTAACACGGACTTTCTTTTTTTTTCAAATAGTGGATCGATCCAGCACTCACAGCCGACCTACACGCAGACTCGCCATGGGCAATGAGTCCGATTCTCTGCGCCATGAACATATTGAGTGTCCATCCAGCTCCATGCCTTCTCGCCCGAGACTCCTTTCTGAAAACGACGCGGATCGACCACCGAGGTCATCAAAAGACCAGGAGTGGGCTATGGCGATTGTCATGGCCCATAGCTGGAAACGTTGATGATAAAATCAGTAATACTCTCGCGCTACCGGCTGCTGCTGAACCGTCAAATGCCCCAAATCCGGCACCGCAGCGTAAGCATGGACCTTTGAAACTGCCGCCGTGGGCGTTTGGAAATGAGCGTAGCCTGGAGGAAGATAATGCGTTAGTGACGGAAAAGGGAAAACCAGTGTCGGCAGAGAATCGGAAGGTTAGTGTTGTCTGAAAACTTACAACTCTTGTCGTAGAACTACCACTGACAGTATGTTATACTTGCAGAAACATTTTGTAAAAGCCTCACACAGAAAAGAGTTTACCTTCTCACCAGATCATGTGTATGGATGGGGTACGCACGCAACCATTTGTTATTCTCGTTTTGTCCCTTCTTCTTATTCCCTGCATCAACCGATCAGATTTCTACAACCGATATATGGACATTGGTAACCTTCAAGTCCGTCTCCCTGGCTTCAGCGTAAATCTTGCCGACTACTGGGATGGCCAACCACTTCGATACGTCGCTCGGTCAAGGGATGGAAAAGTAACCTTCTTTGTCGTACAGTTTGAATTGATGGATGACGCTGCTGTAGCGAATTCGTAGATATTCGGTTATCCGGTTATCGTTACATGGCGTAGAGTCTCTTGAGATTTAGTGTTTGACAGCGTCATCTCCTTCTACTCTATATACTTGGGTTATTCAGCTAAAATGTAGATGGATGCCTTTCTTATGTAGATGTGTTATGGGCCAACTTTGCTATGATTTTCTGTAGAATAGTTTTCATTGTCATATGAAAGAGCTTTAGTGCATCAACAAAGTGAACATGTGTCGCGTATCTTTCGACCCCATTCGGGACTTGCTCATATTCTTCACCGACACTAGTTTATACAACACAACAAAAGACCAGATATCTACACATATGTAGCACTTCTAAATACAAGACCATATGATACCCTTTCACTTCATGATATACCTTGACACGACACTTCAAAGAGAAAGACACGAGTTTCGATCAATTAAGATGTCAAACGAACATCTAGACGACCTGGGCACTGGGCAAGCCGTTTTGAGCTTCCAGCGCAGTACGAGCCTTCTTGGAAGCCTGCACTTGGTTAATCTTAGCAACCAGGTCCTGCACGGCGTTGGGATCGGTGGCGCGTTGGCCAAACTGTTGAGCAGCAAGATTAATTTAATATCCATTGTAAAACATTCACCTAGCGCCAACTACTTACTTCCATGGCAGCCTTAAGCAAGATGGAACGGTCAATGTGTTCCTTGGCTCTGGCATCATCGACGGCCTGAATGCCACTAACGGGAATTCCAATATCTGGGACTCCCGGGACAGCCAGTGTGCCTGGCACAGCGCGGAAACCAGGCGCAAGATTGCTATTATTATTATTGCCATTATTGTTGTTGCCGTTACTGTTGTTTTGGTTGCCACTGTTGCCATTATTCTGATTATTGCCGTTGTTGTTGTTGGCTGCCGGGGATGGACTAGTCGAGGGAGCGGGTTTGGGAGCAGTAGCCGACGGGCCCTGCTGTCCACCAGGGAGCCTCAGGGGAGTGCCACAAGGAACGTCCGTAGGAGGATTAGGGTTCGGAGGAATCACATTAATAGGAGCGTGAGCCATCTCGTTGGCGAGCGCTCTAAGAGGTAAGCATTCATGAATGAGCGCTTGCCAGTGTGCCATCACGATTGCAAACTCTTGAAATGATCAAACATACACTGCCCCGGGACGATCGCCAAAGTTGTCGAGCAAGGCTTGAGCCTCCCTGGTGCGTCCACAAGGATCATTCTTGGCAGCAGCAGCCAAGATGACCCCCGTATAGCGACCAAAGATGTTGAAGCAGTTTTCACCCTTGGATCCCTGCGCACCATTCAGGGAGTTGCAAAAAGCTGATAATTTGTTTTTGGCTTGGGTAGTTTTCTGTTTAAACGCAACATTGTTTATTCCCAAGTGGACCTTTATCAATGACTTCAAGTACATACAGGATCTTCGACGGCGGCAACGGAGGAAGCCAAAGCAAGGCATGCGACCACGACGGTAGTGACTTTCATGTTGGGATTCTTCTAAGTTCTTTGTCTATGTGTCTAGCAGGTATATATATCGAGGAGTATTTTTCAGACGGGGGGAGCGAAAGGGAGGATGACATGCTCTCTTTAAATAACTCAGCTCCCCCCAATGTCATCCATCGTCATTCCCTCAGCAAAATGAAAAGATTCTGTAGAAACCTCCTTTGTCCATTAGAAAACCCGCTTTTTGCTGCGTTGCTTATGAAACGCGCCTTTAACTCCAAATTGGTTTTTGACCTGAAACGCGGCGGACTTTGAACTTTTTGACAGATGCTGCGTTAACCGTTTGTTACAAACACCGAGAGCCTTTGGGATGGGTTTACTTTTGATATTCCTAGTGTTTGGAAGGGAAAAGAACGGGTTTTAGATCAGCGCACAAACTAGTTGGTTGATGCGATTGCGCAGTAAAGATGAACTTTGGGGGTGTCTACCAAAGTTGAAAGGGTCCCCTTAAGGGTTTTTAACGGCCAGCTGAGAGATGAAGGACTAAAAATGCGGCAGATTTGTTTTAATGCACCTGCTGACGGCGAAAGGCGGCTTTCAACCTGCAACCGGAATATGATCCCTTGCTGTCTTTTCCAATTGGAAAGCGACTGGTCGATGGCGGGTTCCTTGTCGCGGGCTCTTTCGATGGCTCTGCTTCTTCCAGAGGACCACGTTCTCGCTTGCAGGTCATTTGTCGGTTTACGACCATTCTTATACATTGTTTGCTTCAGCGACATGTGCCACGCAAAAGGATACATCGCTGGCCTGTAAGGTCCAGTTTATTGCAACCCATATGAAAGCCGTAATGGGCCGTGTGCGTGTGTGCACTTGTAATGAACCTCGCAAAACATGAACTGATTCCATCCCCCTTGTGGATAAAATACAAGGGAATCCAATTGGAAACGGTGAATAGCGCACGTCTGCCGTCGTCCAACTAGAGTCGCCCATCTGCATTTCCTCATAGCATAATGCCATAACACGATAAACGGAACGATATGCCTTTACAATGTCCTTGTTTTTTGTTTTATCCGTCGCCTTTCGCAAAGTCTAGCTGTCAACATGTCCAATACGGTCGAGTAACATAGTGTGGAGGTGATTGAAAATGGCACTAAGACTCATTATTATCCGGATAATCCGGTTAATCATATCGCATAATCAGCACCCCCTCTATTGCTCAGATTGGTGTGGCATGCATGTAATGTTTTTTTTTTTTTAAACTGCAGTGAGGCGCATGCCGAAGGTCTATAAAAGGGGGGCCTTGCTCTCTCTCCCCTTCCTCACCAGTTCCTCGACTCTCAAACCATCTGCGCAACCCTCATCATGACTCTCAAGTCCAACCATGAGAATGCAGATGTGATGGTGCTGAGGACCTTGCCCTCCCAATGACTACAACCAACTGGAACCAGCGCAGCCTCGGAACCAACAAAGCTGCTATTATGCTGCCACATTAGTTGAGCTTGGTTGGTATGTACTGATTGCATCATTTCATTCTGTCATTCATCTCGCTGACATGCAGTTTTTTTATCCTAGTTTTTTTAGTCTCCAAGTCTTGTCACTGAACATCCTCTGGCTTGTGATGCTGCCCAGTCGATTCGCTCCTGGATGCAAGAGTCTGGCTTCAATGCCATCAAGAGTTCCAGATCAAGGCCTAGTAGGGACCGCGTGTGGTGGTGCGCAGTTATCCGGTTAGAACCAACTGTTATGTATTGCGTGTATAATTGCCTAGTAGTAGTTAGTTAGCTTTTCCGAACCGGTTGTCGCCGGTTTATTCCCTGGTGTAGTAGCTAGTGCCATTTTCTGTCACCTCTACACTGTGCATTTGACGTCATGCCTCAATGGGAGATGAATTCGAATAAATGACTCGTTCGATGAGTCCTACACCGCTGAGTCACACTCAATGCATGGCCTCTCCGCTTGGCAATCGCTTGCGTTCCACCTAACGACACGCCCGTGGACGGTACTCGTCCCTTTGTCACAGTCCTGTACCAGGTAGCGCACTAGCGCGCTTCCATTGAAAAACCAATTGCGATACCCATCCGGCGACGATCTCGGAGGCGCCTTCCAGTGCGACAACCATGGCTGGACGCAACAGAAAGGCCCAAACACCAAAGCGTCATCACAAGCGGAGGACTGGATCGCCAAGACGGCAGCCTCATGTTGATGAGACGGTTGCCCTTATTCAATCACAGAGTCGTGATGCTGATACGCGCGTGAGATCTAGAAGAAGGAGCTTCATGGATGGTCCTGTTGGACGCAAGTTTTTGGAGGTACATTGCGTTGATGTTTGCGCTAGAAAGGGCATAGTCTCGGAAGACAAAGAAAAAGATTCCTGATCTACGGGTTTTCGTCTAGTATCGTCGAGTTTTCTTTTTTGCGGGTACCTTCCTTGGAGTGATATCTACCCTTTTGGCAGCTGCAACTTTTCGACCAGCACTGAAACCGATAATGCCCATGCATCGAATGTCAGAGTTATTTTCTGGTGCTTTGGGAGATGTGGATCTGTCCGAGTTCCTTCCCGAGATTCCCGGAATTAGTTCATATGATCTCTTGGGAAACCTGACGTCGATGTTTCAGATTCCATCACTTTTTGGAGGCACAAAGGTGGGATCGCCTGCTACCGAGTATGAGCAGTTTCTGCCTGGAGCCCGACTAGCTGGAGAAGGGCTCGCCGCAAAGGTAGGATTCACTTAATCGGCTTGCTGTCACCTCGAATGTAGATACAGATGATTTTGCATTGGCAATTCAGCACCCTGTCATCCTTATCCCTGGCATTGTGTCCACAGGACTTGAAGTGTGGAATATCCCTGTCTCGCCTAAAACTGACAGTCCTCTCGACACAAAGAATACGGGAGAGGCACAAGATCAAGCTGGTGGCCGTGCCAAAAGAAAGCCCCAGGCGAAATCAAGTGAATCAAAATCTGCACCTGCCAAGCAAACCACGGATGAAGCGGCCGCTGAGGAGATCATTGCAATGAACCGCGCTTGTGGGCAGAAATATTTTCGAAAGAGAATATGGGGAACCACAGATCATTTCAAAGCTCTACTGTTGAACAATGCGTGCTGGGTATATCATATGATGCTAGATGAGACGACAGGGCTAGATCCGCCAGGTGTCAAATTGAGGGCAGCCCAGGGTCTTGATGCGGCGGACTATCTATTTCCTGGGTATATATTTCTTTTAGCTTTCAGTTATCTCATTTAAGAATGTTTGCTTATCTGACACCAAACGTTAGGTACTGGGTCTGGGCTAAACTTATTTCCAACCTTGGAGCTCTCGGATACGACAACAACAATAGTACGCATTCATTCCCACAAGAGTAAGCTGCATTTATGTCATCTCACAGTTGATTTGCATCCTGTAGTGCACCTGGCAGCCTACGACTGGCGGCTCAGCTTTGCTAACCTCGAAAAACGCGATCTCTACTTTACCAAACTGAAAAATACGATTGAAATCTCGTACTTGCATGCAGGCGGGGGACCCGATGCCCGATCTGTTGTCGTGACCCACTCCATGGGCTCAACTGTTTTTATGTATTTTATGAGCTGGATCCGCAGTGATACCGGTGCCGGCGCTGGAGAACAGTGGATTCAAAAGTATTTGAAGGATTGGGTGAACATTGCGGGGACCTTGTTGGGTGTACCAAAGGTAAGACAATGATTGGAAGAGTGCATAGTAGTCAAAGGACTCAAGCTCATTTTGTAAGGCGCTGCCAACGATGTTGTCTGGTGTGTTCCCAAGCAGTCTCCGTGACCATTATAACATAACATGACATCATCCTGTTTCACAGGAGAAATGAAGGACACTGCAATGTTGAACGGGCTTCAAGCCTTTGTCCTCGAAAACTACCTCATGACGAGAGCGCAACGTGCAAGGCTGTTCCGCTCATGGTATACACTCTGCAACCAGAGCTCATATTTCCTGCATAAACTCACTATTTAAACCATCAGGGGAGGGCTTGCATCTATGCTACCATACGGAGGTGAAACCATCTGGGGAAGAGTAGGCCAGCCCGCTCCAGACGAAGGCGAAACTGAGAACCCTAGTTTTGGCGAATTTCTCACATTCTATCCCGCAAAGAAAACAGTGGAAGACTCCCAGAAAACTGGAAACAGGTCCACAAAAAAGACAATGACCCTTTCAGCTGACACCGCAGAAGAGTTTATATTGGACGTCGCCAATCGTCCATATTGGGCGGCCAACCATAAGCGTTATGTCGCCACGTCCAAGCGCCAGTTGTTGGAGGCAAAAGACGATAATACGGCGTGGACCAATCCACTTTTAACTCCTCTGCCGCATTTCTCACCAGATTTCAAGATTTATTGTCTGTACGGAACGGGCCGTAAAAGCGAACGCAAATACTTTTACAACGTTGAACCCAAAACAAACAAAAGCAGCAAAAATGATGAAAGCAAAAAGAATGGCGATAACGGCAAATATACACCAGACAACCGTGATGACGAAGAAGAAGCGAACGAAGAACTGGACTTCCATGTTGACACAACATATAGCCAAGAAGAAGCGAATATCTATAGTGGGGTCCAGCTGACGGATGGGTTAGTTTCCCAGGTTGCATGATCTTGTTCAATATAGTATTAACCGCATTGATGACAGCGATGGCACTGTTCCCCTCATTTCTCTTGGAGTATGTATCCCGTCGCTGCATTGATATCATACGTTTCCTAACATTGTTTTGTTGAATGTGAATAGTACATGTGCGCCAAAGGGTGGAAGCACAAACGATACAACCCGGCTCAAATACCCGTCATTACACGAGAGTTTCGTGATAAGCCAGCCGGCGCTTTTAGTCCACGAGGTGGACCCGGGAGTGCAGATCATGTTGATAGTATGTTCCACCGGCTTTCGCTATTTGATTTTCTCAAAAGTAACTGAATCTCAATGATTTTTTATTGGTATGCAGTCCTTGGCAATTATGATATGACGGAAGATATTCTGCGAATAGTTGCGGGGAAAGTTGAAGGATTAGAAGATTCTATATTTAGTGAGATAGAGGAGATAGCAAAAAGGGTAGAACTGCCGAATGGACTCGATTAGCAACGCAGGCCGAAATTGATTGATCATTGGAGAAGCTTGATTTTGGTGAGAGCTCACGGTTTTGACACTGCGGCGTATTGGACGGGGACAGGTAATTTCATTATAATCTTCATGGGTACTACTACAACATATTACAAACCGCCAATTGCACATTACTACATACATGGATTAACTAAGGATACCAACTACATAATCGAGAGCCTACTCAGCAATGCATTGCGCGCTTTACTTTTCTAAAAAACCGTCTTAGTCCCTTCTTTTGCGGTTTCGCATTTGTCGAGCTGTCATCACTGCTCAATGTAGGCGAATGCGTCAGGACCTTGACTTTGGTGTTGCCCATGGGTCTTGGACCAGCGGGTTTGCGAGTAGCTTTTGAAGTGATTTGCGGCTTTGGAGCAATTTCGGAAGATGATGGAACGTCCAAAGATGGAGCCGGAGCAGGTGTCAGTATGGGAGCCGCCACCGGTACTTCGACAACACCTTCATTGTACAGTTCGGATGTCAATCTTTTCCGGCGTTCAAGCGAGCTGTACGCGGAATCCAGCTGAGGATCGGTGGCATCTGGTTTCAATGTCGTTTCGGGTGGGATTTCCAGCCTGGGTATCTCGAGTTCGGGTGTCACTGACGCATTATTGGGCGCCAGATATTGTAGCAGCTTCTCTTCCTCCCATTTACTCCACGCTGAACCAGTTTCAACTGTCATAGAACTATTGTCTAAAGACCCCTGAAGTCTTGTAATTGGCGGTCTTTTGATTGTGGGGGCAAACCGAGCATCATCTTTGAATGCTTGCACGTCGTTCAATAGCCCTTCTAGCATCATAATGGAGCGGCGAGTATGGAGGTCCTGATCAGGGACCAGAAAGGAAGATCTATCAAGTGTTCTATTTGCATAGCTGTCGACCAGACCGATTTCATCAAACGTTTCTTCTTCAATGTCTTCCTCGTCGAATGAAATGTCCGACCATATAGAGGAAGTAGAGTTGGTTCGGGTAAGAGCCGGGTGGTGGTAGACGTTCTTGCGCGGTGTCTTGTCGGGTGTGGGTTTGTCGTCCTCTTGCTGGTCTTTGTTTTGCTTCGTTTGAGTCGGACGACGAAACTTCCTCCGGGTACTCTTCCTCCTCATTCTCCTTGCAGAGGTAACGGAGGATGCTCTCCGAACGACAAGGTATCTATGTGTGGTGGCAGCTTGCGAAGGAGCCGACATTCTTATCGAGGAATTGCTGTCCATTGAAATTAGCAGATGGCCAAGAGCACAGAGGTGGGAATAAAAAAGCCAAGACCACAACGAAGGGGCTACAACGTCCTTTCTACGTCACAGCCGAGTTAGGTAAGCGTAACGATCAGCCACATATCACGTGACAGAGCTTGAGCAGATTGGACAGCTGGGACTTTTGGCTGACGGGAGACAGCTACTTTTGTGTTCGGGACGGGTTCGCCGTCGTTGCAGGCCATTCCCAATGCCCAAAGTCCTGAACTCCCTCCAGGACGCTCGTTCTCAAAGGAACGTTTGGGGCGGGGCAGTGCAAGTTAAATGTCAAGTGGTCAGTTGCCGATCACATACAACCGCGGTTTGCGCGTCTGCACGTGTGTAAATGAGTCAGCCCAGATCCCGCACAACTGTCGACTAGTGTATTTCTGCCTAGGCAGTACCAATTCGCCATCTTCCTAGTTGGCATCTGTTCTCCAAGAGCTCAATTTGTAGTAGCGGACAAGGACCATGAAACAGTCATCTTCGTCGCTCCGCACGTCGGACCTGAACGGAATGCAAAAGGTTGAATGACATGTTCCCGGGGCATTGACACGACGTCCATTATGGCCACGTAATTAACACACCTTTAGCACCGACGTATCACCATTGAGCGGCTGGAAAAGTATCTGCAAAATGGTCAATTTTCCGATGTCAATCTTCATGCCACATTGGTGAAAGAGCGGAATCAAGAGGCTGTCAACTTGCAAGTGTTCTCTGTACCCAATGGACGACGGATGTAAGTATTTGTCGGCGAGCGGTATAATAAAGTTGAATATCATGTCCCAAATCTTTGCATGTGAAGCATTTCTTGTCAGTAAATATGTTCTGATGGTACCATTTTTATCAATTTCAGTCCTTTTGCTGACGCGATCCAAGGCTCATACCAGCCCACGCAAGTTGGGGAGAGCTTTGGTCCAAGTATGTTTGCACTATATTTTGCCAGAAATAAAGTAATTTGCAAACTGATTGACCGATACCAATAAAACAATACGTAGCCTGGTCGACTCATTGGTTTAAGGTCACAATTACCATCCCTGAATCGTATGCTGGGCAGGCGGTCGTTTTCATTTTCGATCCCAGCTGTGAAGCATTAGTATGGTCGACCAAGGGTCAGCTTTTGATTGGAATTACGGGTGATAAAAATGTGGATCGGCATGTTGACTATAGGTTGACAAAATCTGCAAAAGGCGGCGAGGTAACCGTTCCATTCGGTGGTTTGTTTATATTTACCTGCTCAAGCGCGTCTCACCGTTTTATTGCTTGCTGTAGCAATTTGAGCTCTATGTGGAAGTTGCTTGCAATGGAATGTTTGGAGCGGGAATTGGTATGTCGGAGATCTTTGAAAGAAGGGTGTGGCATGCGCAACCATTATCACGGCGCTGTTTGTCCGCGACCCTTACGTACGCTCACCACGCCCCCTACTTTCATTGCCACTTTCGTTGTAGGCGGGAATGGCTCCATTAATCCACCAGAGGAAGACAGGTAGCTCCCATCCTTGGCGGCTGTGCGCAGAACATTGCTCACTCAATCATGGTTTTCGAAAGATACTACCGCCTAACCACGGCTGAGATCATTGTCCCGAACACAGACGCATTTGATCTTTTGTGGGACATGGAGGTCTTGTTAGGCATGGTCAAGGTAATGAAACTGGATAGATGTCGACCTCGTCGAAAAATTTATTAATAAGATTTTCGTCCTGCAAGGAACTTCCGGAAAACACCCAAGCTTCCTGTGACGCTCTTTACACGGCAAACCAGATTGTTAACACTGTCTTCCACGACGACTTATCGTGCGTATAACTCAGTCGTTTCTCTATAAGACGACAACCTAACGCATTCTCGTTAGCTCCATTAAAAAGGCCAAAGAGATTTCCCGTGAGTTTTTTGAAAAGCGATCCCACACTGGTTATTCGCAGCATGTCGTAACGGCTATTGGCAATTGGTAAATATGGCATTTCATTTCTGCAAGTACTTTGGTAATTGGCTGACAAGCTATTATCTGTCTCAGCCATATTGACACCGGTGAGAAACGACGATTGATGGAGGTCTTAGTGACGACTGACTAAAACTATGTCCCGCCGATATTAGCATGGCTCTGGCCTTATGATGAGACTAAACGGAAGGTATGCGAGCAAACGGAATCCACCGCACGCAAGATCAAATGTGATTAAATTATGCTTTCACCCAGGCTGCTCGTTCTTGGTCGACACAGGTATTTAGGTAATTCGTCATTGGATCATGGGAGTTATTATTAAATTCATTTTACAGTGCCAGTGAGGATGCTGCAATTCATTTTTAGCTATGCCTTTGTTGTGATCTGACTTCGATACCAGATTAATGGAGAATTATCCAGAGTACGTTTTCACTGCATCGGTAAGCACAGCAATAAGGAACGCAGGCTTAATAAGTATTATGCTCATCGCGCTTCCTTTTCCTCAACCGATTCCGTCAACAGCAAGCGCAGCAGTTTGAATGGACGGAACAGCTCTATCCTGAGCTATTCGAACGCATCAAGGAGCACGCGAAAACTGGAAATTTTATTCCAATTGGAGGTAAAGAGATCGCTATTTCTGCGTACTTGTTTGTGCTGGACTCATATCAGCGTACCTGTAGGGGTATGTCTCAAAGTGTACGCATCAGTATCGTGTCCATTGATTGAACTAAGTCGCGCAGACCTGGGTCGAAATGGATTGTAACCTACCCTCAGGAGAAGCATTCTGTCGACAGTTTTTGTACGGACAGCGGTACTTTGAAGAAAAGTTCGGGGAAAGGTGTACTGTTTTTTGGTTGCCGGATACCTTTGGATATGTACGTACGCGCCATTTGAACATATCTATCTCTCCGCAATTTCTCACAATTTTGATAGTCAGCACAGGTTGGTCTGGTTTAGCTGTGTACATCATGGCCCAACACATTGATTGATGTTGCCGTTGTCAGTTGCCGCAAATCATTCATGAAGCAGGTGCGTTTTTTGCAAAATCTCTGTTAGATATGACTTGCTCAAGTGCTTCTCCTGCCAGGGTTGAAATATTTCTTTACACAAAAGCTGTCCTGGAACAATATCAACAAGGTACAACGTTAGTTTGCCCTTTTGCACTGGAGCGGACTGAAATTGACATTCTAGCTGTCTGTTTAGTTCCCACACACAACCTTCATGTGGACTGGGTGAGTATATCGCTTCACAACATACGATGGGATGCTAATATTCCTCTCATCCAAACTGCAGACTTGATGGCACTTCGGTACGGCCCTTTTAATCTCGGCCTCGATCACAAGAACAAGAATTCTAATTTTGAATCGTCACATTTCGTAGGTCCTGACCCACTTTTCACCCGCGGATACTTACACTGCGCAAGCAAGTGTTCGCGACGTTGTATTTGCGTGAGTTCTTCAAAATAACTTGATTCCAACCGTGAAATACGTTCTAAACAACTGGGGTAGTGTACACAACAACAAGGATAAACCCTACAGTAACCAATCACTTTTGGTCTACGGTAACGGTGACGGCGGCGGTAAGAATGCGCACCATATTGGCTTGTGGCGATAAAAATGACTGATGTTATGCCAATAGGTGGTCCCCTGATCCCAATGATTGAACGGCTACGTCGCATGCAGAATGTCGAAGGGTTACCGGCCACGGTCAAATTCGGATCGCCAAACACTTTTTATGAAGAATTGGAGCAAACCAGTCGCGATCTTGTCAGCTGGAAGGGCGAACTGGTTTGTGAAAGTAGATCTTGCCAACTTGTGTGAACAAACACTGATGACGGATCCCGCTTTATCTGACAGTACTTTGAACTCCACCGGGGAACCGTAAGTCGCCATGAACTACATTCATCTATTTGTGCCAATGCTTAAAAAAAAGGCATGGCACTTCAACAGTATACATCTCAAGCTCTTACGAAAAAGTATAACCGTCAAACCGAGCTTCTCCTTCGTGATATCGAAATTCTGTCTTCCTTGTGTGTGGCCACTGGAGTGTCCGACTTCAAGTATGTTATCCTTTGCATTTTGCCAACAGGATTGGCAAACCTGATTTTCTCATCTTTACCTTGCTTTTCCTATAGATATCCAAAGACAGAACTGGATCGTTTATGGAAACTAGTTTTGCTGTAAGTATATACTAGGATATCTCTTTTACTGATCTTTCATAGATCCTCATCGTGCTAATTTTATTATGTTAGCAATCAATTCCATGATGTGCTGGTGAGTAACCAAAGATATATATACGCCGTAGCGTATTATTGATATCTCTCGATCCGTTTAGCCGGGATCATCAATTGAAATCGTATATCACGACGCTCTCAAGGTAATATAGTGATATGGTGTGCCAGTTGCCAACATCTATTCACCAAGTGATCATTTTTCTTAGTTTTATGCTGATGTTGTTGAGAGCGGCACCAAGCTGCGAAATGAAGCATTGGAAGCTTTGATTGGACGGCAGAGGACTAGCACAAAGGGACCTGCAAGTATGTTTCGGTGTTGATCTTCCAAACGGGCAGCGAAATATACTCATCTTACCAATTGGCAATCCGCGTCTCTAGCTGTTTTCAATCCCACTTCTTGGACTCGTCCAAGGCAAGTCATAGAACTCGACACGGAGACTGCCAATGTGGATGTGTCAATATTGCAACAGACTTCGGCTGATGGACGTAAAGCTCTGGTGATATTGGAAGAAGTCCCGGCATACGCTCTCAAAACCGTTCAAATGGGTTACAAGCCCAGCGACTTTGTCCCTGTCACCGGTATATCTACTGTGGTGAAATGTATTTGCATGAAATCCATCCTGAATCCCTTGTCCCGACAGTTGACACCTCATCCGGTGAGAAGACGATTGTTGAAAATGCTTTCATCAAGGTCGTCTTCAACCAACACGGACGCATAGAAAGTTTATACGACAAAAAGGAAGGGTAATGTTTTAAATGTCAAAATGTAAATTGGTGGGCAGCCTTTATCTCAACCTTGATAAAATAGGCGTGAAACGATTGCTCCACAATATTTGGCGAACGTCTTCAAACTGTATGAAGATATTCCGCTTTATTGGGATGCCTGGGATGTGAGTTGACGTTTCATATGCCGTCAGATGTTCTTTTGCTGAGAGCCATTCTTATCGAAGGTGGAGGTCTATCACCTCGAGAAAGGCGGGGAAGTCGCTCCTGGGACACTCTCTGTTGCCGAGACAGGTCCATTACGCGCTGTCCTCAAAGTATCACAGCCCATCACCAAGCAAAGCAAATTGGTGCAGACCATCATAGTGACGGCAACAAGTTCAATGGTCGAGTTTGATACCTGGGTGGATTGGCATGAAAACCGAAGGATATTGGTAAAATTACATATTGAGAGATAGTACCGCTGATGTTATCTGAACCGCGTTGTTGGCGATGACAGAAAGTCGAGTTCCCTGTCGATATTGCTAACGACTTTGCAACCTACGAGACGCAATTTGGATTCATCAGGCGGCCAACTCATTACAACAACAGTTGGTGGGTCCCCATGGAGATATCCTACAATTCATTATCCGAGGTCGTCTCTCAATAGTTCATTGTTTGGGCTAGGGACATGGCGAGGTTCGAGGTATGCGGACACAAGTTTGTGGATTACTCTGAACACGGCTATGGTGTTACGCTCTTGAATGACTGGTGCGTCATGAAGATTTGGACGAAATCCATCGTGTGATGATGTGGTAATTGTGGAGTTGCTTTGTAGCAAGTATGGTTTTGCGGTTCATGGAAATGTAATCCGTATGTCGTTACTTCGATCTCCAAAGGTATGTGAGCTATTACTAAAAGCGCTTATCGTTAAATGCGAGCTGCTTGTAACGTTGCACAACATTCAGGCACCTGATTTGCACTGCGACATGGGTATGACCATTTCGTCGTTGAGTTGCTCTCGCAGTTATTCACATGCAAGACTACATAGGCGAACACAGATTCCGTTACGCACTGTACCCTCATCGCGGCGGCTTCAATGAGAGTAACGTGGTTCAAGCGGGTTATGAGTTCAATGTGCCGTTATTGATCAGGTCTGTCTCGTTTCTGGTTTCTGGTGGCCATTATGTTTTCAGCTGCTCATTTCCCTTTTGCGCTTAGCTCAACATTCTCAGCTTCCATCGAAACCCAATTCTTCACTGTCGATACTTCGAATGTTGTCTTGGACACCATCAAACAGGCGGAAGATGCTAAAGACAAAGACATCGTTCTGAGGCTGTATGAAGCCTATGGCGGGCGGGGACGAGCTCGCGTCAAGAGGTGAGAAATATATATCTCCGCCGTATGTGTTGGAATTTACTGATATGCCAGTTGAGCAGCACCTTGCCCATCAAAAAGGCATTCTTGTGTAATATTTTGGAAGATGTCACTGAAGAGGTTAAGAGGGACGATGAAGGTGCTCTTCTGTTAGAGTACACTCCTTTCAAGGTGTTAAGTATCAGAATTGCCGTCGATTGACTAGATGATGGGTTTTTGCTGGTAGATATGGATGGAGAGAACGTGTTTTGGAGAGACCACATTAGTAGCGATTGATGTTACAATGGACGGTATATGGAACCTTCATCTGTAGTTTTGGGGGCTCTTTTGGTTGATTCACCTAGTGCTTTGTAACGTGGAATGTTCTTCCGGTATTCAATGACATGGAAAAAAAACTAGGTTGCTGATCACGGAAATATTTTGATGTGCAAGGATTTGATCATTTTGAAGACTGTTAGTGCTGAATGTTGTGGGCAATATGCACATCCTTCTATTGGAATTAGAATCCCTATTGAGCATCTTACTGAGCATTTTTGTGGGTGCTGTGGCTATGATTAAGGGGGAGAGATGTGCATGTTGACCCCATAGCGTAGAACCATGATACTCAACATCATCATTGCAGAGCGCAGGGAGCAAAGTTCCGCATCCAATCAGGCTCCGTCCCTTGGAATGTGCTCCTTCCTACGTTGATGAACACGGCTGTCCGGCGGGACATGGGGTTGTCGTTGCTGTCGTACGTGGGCCAACTGGCGGTCGTTCCAAAATCCCTTTTTCCGCCATGATTTGTCATTCCATGACGCGTTTCCCTTCGATCGCGTCTCTCCTTTGATTGGTATAAAAGCCACAGCACGCTTTGACCACCCGCATTTGAGCTCGTCGCAACCATGGCCGGCAAGAAAAACATTGTATTTGTTCTCACGTCTCATTCCCAGCTTGGCAATGTACGTACATGAGTTGTTATGTCCCTGCCATACCGGCAGCACTAATGGTTCTATTAGACGGGAAAGAAAACTGGATGGTATCTCCCTGAGGTTGCCCACCCATACAACATCCTTGCTCCTCATTACAACATCACCTGGGCTTCTCCTCTCGGTGGTGAAACTCCCTTGGACCCATCAAGCGCAGAAGCGTTCGCAAAGGATGAAGAGTGTATCAAATTTTTGAACGATCCTGTAGCCCAGAAAGGGGTCAAGGAGACGGTCAAAGTGGAAGATATTCTCGCTAGAGCAAATGAGTTTGATGCAGTATTTTTCCCGGGCGGACATGGTGAGAAATCTGGGACCGTGGAATCACAGTTTGAACTGAATGAAATCTAATACTTACATGATTCGCTTACAGGACCCATGTTTGATCTGTTCACCTTTGTTCCATCTCTTCAGCTCGCGGCAAAGGTGTACGAAAACAACGGGGTAGTGGCAGCTGTGTGTCACGGTCCCGCAGCCATCGTCAACATAAAGCTATCCAACGGCGATTCCCTCGTGAAAGGAAAGCGTGTCACCTCATTTTCTAACTCTGAGGAGGACGCTGTTCAGGTGCGTACCATATTACCCATCCTCATGACTTCTTTCCTCATCTCACAAGAACTGCCTTTCTCAGTTGTCGCCAGTCATGCCATTCCTGCTGGAGAATGCTCTTAAATCTGCTGGTGCAAAGTACGAAAAGGCGGCCAAAGATTGGGAGGCTCATGTTGTGGTTGATGGGCGGTTAATTACAGGACAGAACCCCAATTCAGGTGCACCTCTGGGGGAAAAATTGAGAGAGCTTCTAGGCTAAGTCGCCTATTCTACCTTACTATACACAAAATAAAACTTTGCATGCATTGCCCCTCATGGCCTCTCATTCTTAATACTGTACTGAGGAATGTTGCATGTCCCGCGTACCCATCCTGCATATCGAAGAAACATGTGGAAGATATGATGTTACAATCAAATTTCATCCTCAGACCACGGTCCAGTGTGCTCATCCATAGTCACTAGATCAGTCAGCAGGAAACTGGCATACTCCCCGCCCCTTTTAGAAGTTCATCATTTACATCAACTTGAAACTTTTGCGGAATGCCTCTCGGAGCCTCCACATTGAATCTTCGTATCTTCGCATTGATTTCTGAACATCTCAGTTCTGCCCATTTCCTTCCTTTTTCTTCAAAATATGTTTTCTTTCCATTGGACACATTTGTCACACCTTCAACGTAAGTTCTCCACACGTCCCTCAATTCTGCCCGCATCTTTTCGATGTCCTCTTCAATCTCTTTTCCCAAATCTATCCAGGGAGGAACGTGGCCCTGTGCCTTAATCATTCGGTGCATGAAAAATTCAGTAGGCGTGATGAACGGGTTCTTGTGATCGTCCGCATCCAAATCCAGCGGTTTTCCTCGTCCCTGGAGATTGTCAAATTCGCCATTACGCCGCGCGAGCGCAATACGCTCCTCAATTACAGAATTCCAGCCAGACATGGTGGTCGGACGCACGGCAAAGTAGTCTGTCCAAAGCTGACCAACCGGTTGTTTGTACACTGTCATCAGAGGTGAGTCGCAACTCTTCGATGCGGATTCTTATAGAACATCCGGCACCCACTTTCAGCATCCTCTTTAGCATGCATGACTCTTAGCATCTGAACCTTTTTGTTTCTAATCGGCGGTCCTCCAGTTCCCTCTAGAAATCTTCGGTTTACTACAGGGACGCTACTCGTGGTTGGATTATCTGCAGACCCTGCCCTCGTTTTCTGGCGCTGCTGCAGCAAAAACGTCTTCAAATTGTTAGTCGACATTCCACCTTGTCCCCCTCGTACGCCTGCACCCGACCCAGCTCCATTCTTCAGTGCTGCTCCAGGATTTTTAACGAAAGCTGCCGGCGCGAAGGCTGCGGCGACGTGAAGCAACTTCAGGGCTTGTCCAAAAAGATTGTTAAGAACAGAAGAGTGCATATCTGCGGTGTAAAACTCGCGCGCGGGAGGATCGATTTGCTCAGAATCTTGTGGTTTCGGCGGGTTCGGCTCGCTGAACGTAGTATCAACGACGTTCGGTAGTGGGGTCAACTTCTCTTGGAATCCATCACTTTTTTCAGATTGTTTTGGAGTCAGGAAATTGGACGGCCCGCTATGTATGTCCTTCTTAACGGGTGACATTGTGAGTTCAGAAAGCAGTACGACTTTCAAATGCGATGATTATCTGCCGTCACCGGCTGCGCATCTAGTCGGCAGAAGCATTACGTAATGCAATAATGTCACCTTGTCGAGTTACACTCAAGGGACTTTGCACCTGCCTTCGTTCCAGACAAAATTCCCCATAATGCATACAGTCAGCTCCTCCAACTCAATCCTCCGCAGGAGCGAGTACAGATTATGGAATGAATCCCCAACCCAACGATTCAGGTATAATCGACATATATCTTGACACTCCGGAAAGTATACGATGCTCCGCATTACTTGTTGCTCGCTTCTTACGACGGGGTGCTTTCTGGCGTGGACATGCAACGTTTAACTCGCTCCATATATCTCAAGTTCCGGCTAGCCGACAGGTTCGGTCGCAACCAAGGTTTGATCTTGTGTCACACTGCTTGGCTCATTATGCTAAGCCACATCCATGCGCCGCGCCCAACCGTTTGAGACCACGGTCACGGACGACCGCGGCTGCCCATCCAGCAACCTTCACGCCCTGTTGCTTCCCGCCTCAGACCCAGTGTCAGTCTGCCCCACCTCCGCTGCTACATACGCTTTGGGTAGCGCTTCCTTTGTCTCGTCTCTGGCAAGATCCCCGCTGCTGGCGGCGGTTCAGCAATCATTGGGAATCGACGCTGATCCAACGGATTTCTGTATATTGTGGTTAGACTCCAGAACGGTGTGCGGCCGGTCCGCCTTTTGGATTTTGTATAGTTGTGTGGCACAGGGATGTCTGTTCAGCAGTACGGCAAGAAATTTCCAATTCTCCTTCGGACACCTTCGCCACGAGGCCAGGTGGAGTTGTTGGAAACAATAGGAAAGGGCAATTATGGTTATGTATATAAGGTAACTTTTTTGCAGACGCACCACGGCGGAAGGCCTGAATGAGATAAATTGGACTTTGACGCTTGCTGGGCTTGACATTCATCGCGTTGGTGAACCCAAAGTGACCTGGTGCATGGGGAGGAGATAGATAGCACTTCCATTTTGGCGTAGTATTAGCCGTAATTATGCAGCTTGGATTAAAATTCTGCGGTTTTGAAGACATGTTCTTATGTTGCGTGTTATGGTGCTTACAGTCTTGTGTCTTTGTTAGGGCCGATTACTGGCAACCGGCGAGATTTCCGCTGTAAAGGTCGTTTTTCTTAAGGAAGATGAGCTTCGAGAAACGCTTTTAGAGATGGAGATTCTGAAGGCATGCGAACACCCAAATGTCACAAAATATATGGGATGCTTTCTAAAAGGGTTGGATTTATGGGTGCGTCGACGACTCTCAACCTTTTTGAGATTGGACGTGGACTAATCGTCGCATTGATTAGATTTGTATGGAGTTTTGTGGAGGTGGAGCACTTGACTCTTTATATCGCGGTACGTGCAAGGGGTCGCCCATATGCATACTGGCACGTGCACCCTAAAGATGTGTCATGTGTGTGCAGCCCTGAGGAAACCGCTGTCCGAAGACCAAATTGCATCTATTCTTTACGAATCCGTGACAGTACGTACCTTTTTCTGCTCAACCAACAAGCCTATATGTGCACACTTTGACAATTTTCTCTAGGGATTGGACTATCTGCATAACCAAGTGGCTCTAATTCATCGAGATATCAAGGCAGGCAACGTACTTCTAACCGAGAACGGGGAATGCAAGCTCGGTATGAAGATAGCGCGTTTGGAACTGTCTCAAAACTTTGCTAATCCTGATAATTATGATATGTAGCGGATTTCGGGGTGTCCGCCAAGTTGAACAATGTTGGTGGCCGGGCACGAACATTTATCGGAACTCCGTAAGTGGACTTGTTGCACTGACCATGTAAGTTACAGGCAAAGGACATTTACATCTATCATCCACTAGATATTGGATGGCTCCGGAAGTCATTATGACAGACCCTGAGAGTGCAACACATAATACCGCGTCATACGATGCAAAGGCAGACATTTGGTCCATTGGCATTACGGCCATTGAAATTGCAGAGAAAAATCCGCCACTCTCCGATATCCATCCTATGCGAGCACTGTACTTAATTCCGAATTCAGATCTTGGATTGGCAAAACCTAAAAATTGGTCAAAAACATTTCAAGATTTTATTGCAGCTTGTCTGATAAAAGACCCGGTGAAACGTCCATCAGCAGCACAGCTTTTGCAGCACCCGTTTTTGGCAAAGGCTCGAGGCCTTCCACGACAAAAGATTCTGAGTGACCTGGTAGCGAAGGCTAGAATAGCACGGGAAAAGCGTAAGGCCGGGTATGATGTTGAGGATGAGGAAGAAGAAGAGGAGAAAAAGGAAGAAGTCCCATCGAAGATTGTGGCTGAGACAATCAAGCAAGCGAAACAGGCTAAGCAAACTGCTCAGCAGGTGCAGCAACATCAAATGCAAGTTGCAGCCGTTGCGGTAAGTTAAAAATCTTCCGAAATTCTTCTATTCTCAAAGACACGTCTTGATATTTGCTGGATCAAATTAGTCACCGGTACCAACACCCTCAACTGTACTTCCCATCGCCGATTTCCCAAAGTTTGTGGATAGCATATCGAATCCTGCGGCCCGTATATTGAAACCTATGGCTATCGGAGGTCTAATGCGAATTGAGATTTTGACAGCGGACATGCTTGACAAGCAATACGTGCTTGTTGGTGGAGAGAAAGGATTGTTCTTCATTGATTTATCTCAACCCCAGGAAAACCAGGAGCTTGTCCCCTTGATACGTAATACCCGATTCAAACAAATCGAAGTACTGGAGGATTACGGCGTTATGGTTGCCTTGTCCGGAAAGCATGATCACATCAGGCAATACAAGCTCCCATCTCTCCGAAAGTTGATCAGATACCTTCAAGGTACAAGCCCGCAGCAGCTCGCCAAAATGAACATGGCTTCTGTTGAGTCTCTCAGCAGCGCTGCTGGTAGACAACCGACAAATACCTCACAAACGCCGTCTTCACCCGCCGTGTCGGATGCTGATGAGGACATGTACCGCGCACTTCATGCAAACGTGATTGAGGATGAGGCTGTGTTAGTAACGAGATGGGCAAGCGACTATATCAAAATCCCAGGGACTAAGGACTCGAAGGCCTTCAAAGTACAGCAAACTGAGACGTCGATTTTCATGGCGGTCTTGTTCCGGCAAGATATTATAATGTTTGAATGGGCAAAAGAGCCATATCTGAAATTCATGAAGCTGAAAGCTTTCTGGTTGCCAGAAGGGCCTAAATTTATGCAACTACTGCATGATGGACTGGTCGTACGGGAAATCTTTTTAGGCTACTCTTCTGAAGCAAACTTGGTGAATGTGGACGATAGTCGCGTCAAAGAAATCGATGTGCAGCGCGATTTCCGAGAAAAGGCCGGAAAGGGTAAAGCTCGATGGCAGACTTTTGTTCAGATTCCATTTTCGGAGGCAAAACGGAATGAGCTTAGGACGCTCACTCGGAATGCAGCCGTTACTGTAAATCGGAAACTCGCTGCGGTTGCGGGTGCATCAACCATGCGAGCTGGAAGCGCAAGCGCGGGAATGCGTGTGGATCGGTATTTCCTGGGGACTTATCATCGACTGACACGAGTCGTGGACCTCTTCGGGCAGCCCATGATGGGCAGTGGCGTTGGCGGATGGAAAGACGGTGTAATGTGGAGGGAAACGCCTGCAGAGCTTGTTCTACGACCGGTCGATTGGGTCATAGGAGTTGGGCGAAGTGGTGTGGAAGTAGTGGATTGGCGAACCGCTAAATTACTCCAGACCTTGACCGTAGATGGGGCAACGGGATCTGGCGATATTGGCATGAGGCTATTAACTGGCCGCGACAGAGGCCTGTTTGTGGTGATAGAGCGACGGAAGAGAGGGTGCGTCCTTTATCATCTGAAAGAGAAGGAGCGACCAAAGAATGAAAGTGATGCTGGGGGGAGAGAGGGTGGTATGGATGGCAGTGGCCTTCGCGAACCACCATTGAGTGGCGAGTCGCATCCTTCTTTCTCAAATCAACCTGCGGCTGCTGTTGCCAATGGTCCTACGGAGTCGATCGTTGGCCAGATGCAAGTGCTCTCCGTACAAGACACCGCTGAATTGGCCAATGGCGGTGGTTCCCCACCTAAAGTTGCAGCGGCATCGCAACACCAACGCCTGGGAAATCAGCCCAACCTTGTGCCATCAGACAATAGAGACGCACAACACCTGCCCAAATCGCCGTCCGGCCCTGTTCCGACCGCGAAGTTACCGGAAGTGCCACAGTACGAAGCCTCTCAGCAGCCAACTGTGCATCCGATCCGAACGGTATCAAATGCGTCGTCATTATCTTCCAGTAATAGCTCTGCACCAGTATCTCCGCGTCCTGGTGGAAGTCCAGCAGGATCGCCGGCTCAGCAACGACGAACAGCTGGGGAACACCCCCCTCAACATCAGCAGCATCAACATGCGTATCAGCAGCAACATCCGCACCGACCAATGACACCCCAAGAGCAGCAATACTATGCCCAACAACAGGCAATGGCTGCAGATCCAAGATATGCACAGTACATCGCCCAGCAGCAACAGCAGCAACAACAGTACTATGCACGGGCAGGTTCACCTGTCGACCCACGCTATGCGGCGGATCCTCGATATGCCGCGTACTATGCTCAACAACGACAGCAGCAACAATTGCTACTACAACAACAGCACCAACAGCAACACCAACTCCACCAACATCACCAACAAGGGCCACGCCCCCCACAAGCTGGAGGACCGCCGGCGGCGGCGAATGGCGGTTCTCAACGATACCCGAATGATGTTGACACTCTCCGTAGTGCCGCATCATCAGCATACGGGTCTGCGCCAGGAGGGTACCATCCACAAGGCCATAGGCCTGCCGCTCCTGCCGGGTACGGGTACGTGCAGGGCCATCCGCAGGCTCGAACTCAACCACAGCCACAAGGGTATGATCCCCGGTACATGCACGATCCACGCTATGCGCAGCAGCAGCAGGCCATGTATGCGGCTGCACAAGGTCGTGCACCAGCACACGCCCAGCAAGCTGTTTTTGGGTATTATCCTAGGCCACCGGCGCAGGGGCGTGTGGTTGGATACGAGTATGGTGGCGACGATGCTCAGGAGAATGAAGGAGAGCGCAGACAATAGATTATTTGAAGATAGATTTTGGGACGATCTTTGTCGGGATATGTATTGCAGGGACTTTTATGTTTTTTTTTTTTCACTCCTGCTGCATAAAGGGTTCATTTTTGCCTTACTACTATGTTGGAGTTTTGTTAGAATCATTGTGTGCTTTGGGTAATTGGCCACCATTCAAGTGAATTGTAAATCAGCCAAGTTTAAATCACCGGCGAAGAACTTGATAGCTTGTTCAACATTCTCGCAAGATTGCATTATTAGCCGTCCAGGAGTGAGCAGTATCCTGGCCGTGAAGACAGATGTGACATACCCCATGACTAAAAAGAGCTGGAATGTGATACTCATTAACGGCATGCCCCATCCTGTGTATTTTAAAGTCTATGCGTTGCAGTGCCTTTGCATCAGCGGTTGTCTGATTCAGGAAACAGCAATACCAATTTTGCCAAAATTGGTGCAGGCAATTGACGTCCTTATGCTAGTCTGAGGTTGATCATTCTTCCAAAGCTCATCGTTGGCAGTTGAGCATGTCGATATCAGAGTGAAGTGGACTTGTGCTCTACCAGCCTTTGGCGTTTGATCATAGCAATCAAGCTGGCTGCCAGGTACTTTTTTTTTGCACTCAAACTGAGGAGCTGCTATTAACAAACATTTATTTGTTGCCGTAACCTTACAAGAGCCAGATATATACAAGCTCAAGGTTGTCACCATTTTTTACCTCAAAGGGGAAGTTTCCTCTTCTGCGGACTCAGGAGCTTGGCTAGCAAAATGGGTTGCACGAGAATGCCCACAATAATTAGACCTTGCTCCTTTGCCACTAGAAAGAGTTGTCCAAGGCGCTTGTGGAGTAAAACTGCATGTGGGATGCGACGTTGACCACAAGGATGACTGTGCATCGAGCTTGGAGAGATCATACGGTGGTCTCGCTAACATGTTCGTATGAGGTGGCTATGATCGTCACGGAGAAGTTCTGTATGGGATCGTGTGATGCATCTTACCAAGGTAGACCATATACAGCGGGATAAAGTGGCCCGCCAAATATCTCCAGCCCTTGGCAGCGGCAAATTGTTGGTCGATCAAGTTCTTGTCCCCTCCGCCATGCTATTATAATCACTGCTAAGCCCGATCATCACGTTTAACCATGTGAGATTCAACATCGTTTGGCATATGTCAATGCGCCGATCATCCATTGCAATGGATACATGTCAAGGGTTGTGCTTTCCGAAAATTCGTCCGAGCGATAGTCGCCGTGTGTTTCCTTTGCGAACAGAACGGCACACTCTGCAGCCCTTTCGCCCCTCAACGCACAGGGGACACTTTGTGCTAGTGCCACTTGTTCAGTAACTGTGCCATTTACGTTGCGTGACTGGACGATAAGGGAAATGTTGGACATGAAGGGGCTTGTGCACGTTGTAGAGTAAGCAATTCGCAGCTGCTCACCTCTTTCTTCCCTTTGACCCTGTCCTTTTTTTTTGTTCTCCTGCAATCGCGAGCTATCGCCGTAGCGTCGTCCTTGTGATTTTTTATATCTGCACGCACGGGTTCCCCTGGCACTACCATTCGCAAGTATCGTGCGCCAAAGATTAAAAGAAGGGCCACTCCGGTGGTGGCACCACGCAAGCAACATAATTCCCTTTCCATCGTTTCGAGGCTACGTCGTCGCAAGGGCTCCACCATAGCGCGGCCATTCGGCCTGCCCACAACGCTTCCTAATTCCTTCTATTCTCGGTTCGTCCAGAATGCCGGATGTGAAGGCGACTGAAACTGTGGGAAACCCGTCCTCAACGGAGAGCAAGGATCGCAAGGACCCGACATCGCCAGGCGCTTTCCGCAAATTGTGGAAGGGATACTTTGGCAAAGCATCAAAAGAAGATGTCTCGCTAGCTTGGCAAGCCGTTTCACACCTTGCCCAGACGGGAGAATCGCTTTTTAGGCTGGAAAACGCCAGGTAAGTTGAAATACGAATTTGTAGATGATAGCCTGTTATGGTCTATGTTATCTCTTGGATCCCGTAGCCATGGATAGCAAGGGCCAGTCACATAACCCTGTTACTTCAATCAATTAAAGACCCATATTTCTGTTCAATTTAGTTGGCGCATATGGAGTCGGAAGACGCCAGCTGAATCAGCTGAAATGTCTACCATTGAGCAAACTGAGCAGACGTCTCCCGTAGTTCCGGTTGCAGAAGAGTCACCTGCTCCTGCCTCAGCTCCTACAACTCCTACAGACCCTGGACGCCGCCCAACCTTATTGGAATCATATTTGCCACAAAAGATCGCTGAACTTCCGACCACCGTTTTGGAGCGGTTAAAGAAGGATTCCGTCACCGGCACTATATCGTCGCTTTTAGGGGAGCCGTTAGCTGATCTCATTAGCTCGGCGATTGCACGTGCTGAAGCCACGGGACTACTCGACATCGGTGAGGCACAATATGATCGCTGGCGACTCCAGTCCTCCCCGACATCCTTCATTAAAAAGTGGAATTGGCTGAGCGGTCGCGGTGGAAAAGGGGAGGGACTTGATAGGATAGATTCTGCTGTAGATCTAGACGCCGATGGTTCGATTGACGAAATCTTCAAACGGGTGGACACCGACAAGGGAGATGATGAGAATTCCATCGCCTTTCTTCTACCTCCGCCAGTTCCGCCAAACACACCTTCCGCTTCTCCAGGTGTCGATGTTCTTGTGGAGCATTGTCGACAGAATCCTCATCAATTTCGCAAACGTTCCGTGCAAGCAATTCCGATCAAGCAACCGTCACTTCTGTCCAAACTGATCGACGAGTCGTTGAAGGAACAAGACGTTTTTCAGGCAGCTGCCCAAAGACGGCGTTTGATGCGACTAATGCGACGTAGGGCTATTGAATTTGAAGGCGAGGACAAGCGCGGCATGGACGTTGAAACTTACATGAAGCTTGTTGACGCGTGTGACGATGCTGCTAGCACAGGTGGAAACGACCGTCATTGGAAGCCATCTGACGTTGAGCCATTTGGGGACTCTGAAACTCGGAGGAAAGTGACTGATACTGCACAGAGCCTCATTGGTACGTGGCTGCCGGTCTATTGTACCAGATCACTTTAAAAAACCTTTTTGCTAAAACACCTTTGCTCAGATCCCACATGGCGCATTCGAGATACCCGCAGCCGTCGAATGCCTTGGTTTGAGCGCAGTCGAAGTGCGATGTACGATGATGGGGACTTAGATAGCTTTCTGGTATGGTAAATGTAGGTGTGATGGCAGAGGTTTTTTGTACATAGGAGATGCGTTTGGGATCTGCAGCGGATAGAACGAGCCAGGAAGGCGTATGATCGAACCGTTGGCATACATTGACAGTATTTCGTAATGGGGTTTCCTAATACTGGTGTACATAGTTTGTGGGAAAATACTGCCTTGTAGCATTGCAGCCTATTTGAATTAACCACATTTATGGTGACATCATCCTCATGAAGATAAACAAAAGGACGGGTCGAATACGTGCGGCCATGAAATGATTGCCCTTGCGGCCATCTGCATGAGTGGAATATTCTGCAGTTGCCAAATGCATGACGCCCATGACTATTGTATCGACTTGGTTTTCGATGCAAACGCCCCTCTTCCTCTTCCCTCTTTTTCTTGATCCCTCGACTCTCGAAGCTTCTGCCCAACACTCAAGCAACTCTCAAGTCAATCATGAGAATGCCACTCTGGTGCCGAGGACCTCGCCCTCCCGACAACAATAACAATACACAAGGAGCACCTTGCAATTGCTACAACTACTATGCTGCAGGTATGCATTGCCTTTGTATTCTCCCACACTTATTACCCAGTCTAATTCCCGATTTACCTGAGTATCTGAAACATCCTCCGACTCAAGAACTTCGGAATCAGAGGCCTAGTAGGATTTCTCTCGTGGTGGTGGGCGCTAGTTACCCGGTTGACCAACCGTCATGTATTGCATATGTAATTGGGCCTAGTGGTTATTAGTTAGCTAGTCAGCTTTTCACACAAGGGGATTAAATCGTCCGTCATTTGCCCATAAATGGGAACAAGCTTCAGGTGTTCATCGTCCGAACCACGCGCCTCAGCTAGTGTGGCGCGGTATGAGTTGCTCCTATGCGTCTACCAGCCACCAAATGGCTAGTGCAATGTCTTAAAGTCGGACGCGAGCGTTGCCTGACTTTCAACCTTTTTCCTTCAAGCTGGGCCCCGCGCGTTCGCCAATCTCGCGTTTTTTATACCCCCCAGGCTCAACTGTACATTCGCGCCCTTTCCTCATCTTTCGCGTAAAGTAGTAATTGGTTGCCAGCAGCCGTCTTGGGGGGCCGTACTTGCTATCCACGCTATCTTTTCATTGAGTGCGATTCGTTGGTCTCAGCGTTTGATATCTGCGCAACACTGCATCTTCCACCCAGCAGCGCATAAAGGCAATCTACACACCTGCCCGCTCCAAAGCTGCTTTCCGCTTGGTGCTCTTGTAAAGGTGGGTGTCCTGTCCAGCCTGGTTTCAAATTTGTGCACGGACTTGGCCCTACGGGGCGATGGTCGGGTAGTTGACTGTGAGCAATATATCGCCGTCATCAAGTTGGGCGCCAGCTGTTGTTTACCTGCTTTGAACTTTTCAACTGACGCCGGTCTTCATTTCTTCGCGTGATGCAGCTGAGTTGAATACTCTTCTTGAGACCTTCCCTTTTCAAGATGATGCAGAATCAGGTAAGCACTATCGGCCCAAGTCATGTAGTATCATCTTCAATATGGCATATCGCATATATTGTGGTAGAGATCTGATAGTAGATTTGTGGATATTGATACTGACTTTTGCGTCTCCACGTCCAGCGCACCACCCGCAGCAGGGTTGCGGCCACGAAAGCGCTGGCGCACGATGAGAACGCTGTGCCAAAACCGAGAGCTGCCGTTAAAGGCAAAAGCAGCGGCACAACCAAAGAAGCTGCGAAGCCAACGATTACCAAGAAGACTCTTACCACGGCTGTTCCCAAACGAGCAGCCCTCGGGGAAGTGGCCTCGAATCAAGCTGCCGTGGTATGCACAGTGGCCTCATGTTGTCCGATGCATGATATTCGGATGCGTTCATGAAGCGTTAATCCGTCACATGGTCAATTGTAGAAGAATGATACGAAGAATACCCAAGTCCAACCGGCCAAGCGTGCTGTGCGCGCTCCTACGCAAAAGAAGGCTTTGTCGGTGGTTCCCGAAGTGGAAGAAAAGGTCAAGGAAACCACGGTGGTCAAACGCGAGGTCGAGACTCGCAGGGCCGTCAAGCTTGCTAAACAGGAACCTCCAGTGAAAGACTTAGTCAAGAAAGAGAACAATGCTGAGCCCGTGCCACATGTGAATCCCAAGCATGTTATGGTTGACGCTAGTGAGGCTCTTCCTGTCGCTAAAAAGGCTAAAACCGCTGCTCCTGCTCCTGCTCCAGCGTGGGAGGAATTCGATGCGGATGATGCGAATGATCCTATGATGGTTTCTGAGTACGTCAATGAAATCTTTGAGTACATGAGACAATTGGAGGTGCGTAAGATGCTTGGTTTTAAAAGTCATTGTCGCGTTGCAAAATTACTCATCAGATTGACCCTTCTTTCACTTTGTTTTATCGTTTTGCAGATTGACACGTTACCGGGATCAGATTACATGGACGAACAAAAAGAGCTGCAGTGGAACATGCGTAGCATTCTTGTGGACTGGCTCATTGAGGTTCACTACAAATTCCGTCTCCTTCCGGAAACCCTGTATCTGGCAGTCAACATTGTGGACAGGTTTCTCACCCTCCGCGTTGTTTCCCTCGTGAAACTCCAGCTTGTGGGTGTCACGGCGCTGTTTATAGCTGCGAAATATGAAGAGGTTGTCGCACCTTCAATCCAAAATTTCATATACATGGCTGACGGCGGCTATACCGACGAAGAGATTCTCAAAGCTGAACGCTACGTCCTTCAAGTTCTAGACTTTGCCTTGCAGTACCCTAGCCCCATGAGTTTCTTGCGTCGATGCTCGAAGGCTGACCAGTACGACATCCATACTCGCACCGTTGCCAAGTATCTTATGGAAATCTCCCTTGTCGATCACCGCTTCCTCGTCCATGTCCCCTCCAAGGTAGCTGCCGCAAGCATGTCCTTGGCCCGCCGCATGTTGGGTAGAGTCGCATGGGTACGATCTTTCCGCATCTGCTTATGAATCCATTATCCGCTGCTAATTCATTTTCCCCATCATAGGATGCGCAATTGGAGTACTATGCGGGTTACCCAGAAGAAGAGATTGAACCGGCTGTGAACCTAATGATATCCTTCTTGGAGAATGAGTCCATGGTGGAAAAATGCTCTTCGTTGTTCAAGAAATACAGCGCACGCAAATTCATGAAGGCATCAATCTTTGTACAAGATTGGATCAGCAGACGCAAGCAACCTACCAAGGTTCAAAGCACCGTGAAAGCCGAACGGGAGGAGGATGTAAAAGAGAACAGTGACTACTGAGTGGACTAGGGGATTGGCTGGTTTGTCCATGGGACGCTTGGGACGGGACAGTATTTTATTATGCGGATGAGATTTTGTAACGGATATATTGGTAGTCAGTTGTTTTCCTTGGAAGGAATTCCTTGTGTATATAATAAAGAGGACACAGGAAATGTCACACATCTGTAGGTTCCGGCCGTGGTGGCCGAAGATAGCGGTGGCCGCGTGGGGACAATTATTCTTGCAATAATGTTTTTTTATGGCATATGTCGGACGCTCTTGACTGCTCATTCGGACCCTCGATGTGTAAATTGCCATGGTAACGCCAAATGACTCATTCAACAGAAAGCCAAAACTGCTTCACCTTGTTTGGACCTATGCACAACGAGGCACATTCCATGCTAGTCTTTCGATCACATGCCCGAGTGGCCACCAGGGCACTTTTATGTAAGGCTTGTAGAATATCTGCTATAAGACATGGCCGGACGGCTACTTTGGGCTCCAAGTCAAAACTTCTGGACTTCAAGAAGCAGCGGGTCCTACAGGAGTGGGCAGGCAAGAAAGGCACGGGAGCAAAGGGACAAGCAACGGAGACGCCGAAGGTGGTAACAGAGACCGCTGGTACTTTGGGCCTCGTCAATAATGGGGTATGATTAAAGAGATATTCCTCTCTATTCGATCGCTTGATTATTTAACTTTCGTCCACAGACCCACATGAGCTTTTCGGCTTTAGGCGTCCCACAGTCCCTTACTCGCACGCTCGGTAGTATATTCAATGCAACCAATGCGTCACCCTGCCAACGGGCTCTTCTCCCTGCGATGCTTTCCCACAGCGACGTGATGTTGAAAGACACTACTGGTGCAGGGAAAACCTTGGGCCTCGTCGTAGGCCTTCTCAGCAAGTCCCACCCACCTTTACTGACACCTGCCACGGTTGATACCGACACTCCACGTGATAAGCCAAGACCACCCCACACAATCGAACCTCTGCACTCCCAACGATACCTTCACACTCTTGTCATAGTCCCTACCCGCGAACTTGCCGTTCAAATCACAACCTGGATACGCGATCTATCCCCACATGTCTCACCATCGGATCACTCAAAATTGGTCCAGTGCGTCGTGAGTGGCGTAGATGAAGACCTCCAGTTCAATTTTCTGCGATCTGAGACACCGCGCATTATCGTCGGAACCCCGGTTCGCTTACAATCCCTCTACAATCGCCGCGCTTTTGATGTTAGCAGACTGCAGACAATGGTGCTTGATGAAGTCGATCGGTTGGTGGAAGCCCGCGGACGCTATGATACAATTAATGAGAGGTTCAAAAAGGTTGTACATCCAATGGCGGGAGAGCCGCTAGTAGATGCGATCCTCAAGGAGAGGAGGGCAGCCCGCCAAAGGGCGACGGAGAGCAAAAAGACAGGAGATCCCATGTTGAGGCAAATGCAGGTCGTTATCTGCTCCGCAACCCTCAACAACCCATTACGACGGAACCTTACCTTGATGCGAGGGTGGTTAAAGACCCCCATTTTACTAGACTTGAACGGAACATCCAAGGCACCTAGCAATATAACCCATCGCTGTCTGGTGGTTGACATGTACGGTGGCGTAAAGCCCTTGGAATCATCCCAGGATACCAGCTCGCGCTCTCGACCAGAAACTGCAGATCCAGGCGATGAAGAGGAAGCATCTGCTCTTCCAGATGCAGCAGACGAAATTATCGAAACAATCAGTCGAATCTGCTATGAGGAGAAGGTGCAAAGTGGGCTGGTCTTCGTGCACACGTCCGTTTCCATGTCTGCTCTGGTTAGGAAATTGAATGCCATTGGGTTGAAAGCCGATAGAATACTGAACACAATTGATTATGAGAAATCCACTCTGGGAGGGCCCGGAACCGCAGTCAGGAATGTTGCTAGCAATGTTTCATCAGCAGCTTTCAACCGTGTCTCTGAGCCTTCTCGGGCGGACCCTACCACTCAACCAGAGTCACTGCTATCGTCCTCAGCAGAATCATCGTCTAGAGAGTCATACCATCGGCCTTTCGCGTCTTTTCTTTCTGGGCGTACAAAGCTTCTGACATTGACAGAGTGGGAAGCCCGTGGTTTGGACCTTCCCAATGTCACTCACGTGTTCATACTTGGACCTCCGTCTAGCCCTGCGAGTTACCTGCACATGGCTGGTCGGACTGGGCGATATGGGAGACCTGGGCATGTAATTACATTACTGGGCGGGCGTAGATATTCAAGTAGGATGCAAGGTTTATTCCAACTGCTGCGGCTCCCATTAGAGAAGGCTACTCAAGCATAACCCGACCATCGACCATGTATTATAAGATTCTATTTCGCTCTTGTATGCGCCGCTATCGCTTAGCAGATGTTTTACCCTTCTTCCCCGGTGACACGCTTCGTTGACCTGAGGGATTTCCAATGCTTGGTTAGGGGCAAGATGTAAGTCCGTGGTATAGATCTAAGTTAGTGTCACCTTTAGGCGCTGTCTGCTGCTGCTGAGCGTATTGCACGAGACTCGCAATCATTTTGTTATGCATCTCGGCGTCCATAATGAGCTGTTCCTTTGAATCTAGCCAGTAATTTGCCTGGTCTTGCATTTTCTGGTGATACACTGTTAACTGTTGGACTAAGTCAGCCAGCTCTTCCACGCTCTTCTTGCGGATTTCATCTAAATAGCAACGGAAACATACAAGAACGGGCGATTCTGATCAGTATCAAAACAACAAGATAGAGCGAATTCTTGTCGCCACCTTCCGGTATATCGCATAGCTTCCGTGCTTCCGCCAGCTCGGATTCTCTAGCGTCCTTCGGCAGTTTGCTCCTTTCTCTGTCTCCAGGCGACGCGTTATGGGACTGCTGTCTTACTATCGAGGTAGCTTGGCCTGGTCCTGATGACGTACCATGGCCCAAAATATCTCGCCCGGGAGCGGATATCAATGGGCCCCCGGATGGCTACCGTAGGCACACCTGAGTATTGGTGGCACAACACGAGAAATGTAGTAACACACCTCTTCCACGTTGATGTTGATATCCCATGTAGCCAAAAACGCCTTGCGGATGTGGGACCTTCTCCAGCGAAACTTTATGCCCACCGTCTCAGTGAAGACAGTGTCCGATGAAAGCTTCTTCCATACCGCGTACCTAGAAAGAATCAAGTCCACGATATAGTATGAGATCTGTGAGAAATCATAATCTCCTCTCCACCAACTCTAACTGGCATACCAAGCTTCATTCTGAAAGGCAGAATGTGGTGCTATCGTCTTTCCATTATTTGTACTGTCTCCACCTTCTGGCTTCCGTTCGTCTTCTTCAAAAAATGATTCAACGGGCAAATTGAACGTGGCAATTTCAGGACTTGGTGGAATCGGATATACCAAAGCCAATTGCTCGTTCAGCTCGTTTGAGCCAGACTTTAAAGACATTCCGCTGAGTGCACCCGTCTAAGAGTTTGGAAAGCATCGTTTGATGAGTTCACGAAGACAGGTAAATATAGCCGCGCAGATTCTATAGTATTCTAGTTCTGCCGAATTAACTCACCAGTATCCTACTAACACGGTGTTCCTCCTGGGCATCACCAGGAAGGTCTACTTCTGCTTCTACTGGACCAGAACCGTGTACGGTTTCTGGTGTCGCCATAAATTCTGCAGGGTGTGCAAAGTCTTCAAAATCACCAAAGTCGTCCACATCTGGTGTCACGGCGTCCGCTGTAACAAACTGGCTGTGGACGCCATGCCCCACGGTAGAAGGAAATTCGCCAAACTCCCCGAAATCGTCTTCTTCATCTGGCAGACCTGGTGCAATTGTGCCAGAGGGCGGCGGTGGGGGAAAAAATAAGGAGGGGTGTATGGTGTTGTTCTCATGTGCACTCTCATTTTCCGAGGCAATGTTCTCCTCAGCGTCACCAGACGCGACAACCGGGGTTAACCCGATTTCCGTCTTAATTGTAGAGGCATCGGTCTCTGAAGCTGCCTCGGACCCGTCAACAGAAACAGTAGAGTTGGCTACGTCGTCATTCGCTTGGTTCATCCTCACCAATCAAAAGCTGAGATCTTCTGCATGCTCGATGCGCCTTTCCATGTCGCGCACAGAATGGCTTACTAAGATCTCATATAACCAGATATGGCGTTATAGGGTTGCCCCATCCAAGATGGCCGAACTGCCTTGCTCATCTTTCCCACGCGGTCTCCCTTCATCTTTCCACCCCATTTCTCATCGCCAACGTTCTTGCTCGCCGGATTGGGACGTCCGTTACAAGTAGGCTAGCTGTCGGCAAAGTTTAACACTAATACTTTGCTCGCCTCGGTGCTTAGCTGTCCAGCACCATCGCCTCGGCACCTGCCCATATGTAGGAGCTGTTGCCGGCTACTGAATCCTTAGCTGGAAGCTTACAGATACTAGTATCTTTGCGATACTTGTCATGAAACGTGTCGGCCCAATGATGACACCTACTGGCTCCCCAGTCAAGCCCCTAGCGAATCCTGGAAAGGAGAACGCGACGAAGGACGGACCGGTGGGCGAAAACGCCACACTTAACCCTGCATCTTGGGACGGAGGACTTTCAAAATGGGTAAACACGGGAAGTTTGGTACGTCTTTAATTTAAGCCAGGTCATGCAAATCAAACCAACTGCTGATCGCTATGACGCGCAAATAGAAAGAGCAACTTCCCATTGGGTACACCTTGACAAGTAATGACTGCTCAACAGCGGCTACAGTTGGCTCATTTTGTTTGAAAGTGAGTATGCGGCTCAGGTAGCTAGATGCAGGCAGTGGTGTCGAACGAGTAGTAAGGAATCTGGCTTTTTACAAACAGGAGAATTGGAGCACACCGGCAGCAAGTCGATCGTTTGCCCCTCCAACTCCATCACGATCTCCGTACGCAAAGTCTCAGAGTATTTTGAGCACTATAAACGCTGAAAGCGGTTCAGAGTCCGATAATATTGAATATCATAGATGCCCTGGAAGTCCGATGATAAAGCAGCATGGTAATTTTGTCGGTGATCCCATCGATGAAAACATTAAGCTTTTGTTGACCCCATCATTATTCAGTGAGTACTCCTCCTGCATCGCCGCTCTTACATGAATACATGATGCCTCCAGCGTCGTCTGGCCAGTGGTCTGGTTCTCTCGAGGTGATCCCGTCCGTAGCGGAAGGGTCCAAGGAGGCATCTGGCCGCAGCACTTCAGCTGCAGATCTGGCAATGTTGACTCACGAGGGGCGCGGAGAGGCTGTGTTTTGGACGGCTAAGAAGACTCGTACCTTGGCATTGGACAACCTTCCGGTACATATGAGCTTGACAGAAGTGCACACCTTGCTACAGGTCAGAAAGCATATCGCGTAATGTACTTTGAATGTTTGGTTTTGATTTAGCTTCTCTGTATCTCCAGAGTTTTGGAGATCTACGAGATGTTTTTCGACCACAGCGCGGCCTTTATAGCGGCGCAGTAGCCATGTTTTTCGATTTGAGGAGTGCTTGCAATGCGTACACTGTCCTTCGGAACTCGTTCATTGGTGGTAGACGAAGTCTTTTGTATTTTGTGGATACAGATGCCCTGAGCACGCTCATGGATTGTGAGTCGTACCCGGACGCTTGCCTTCGAAATCAGGGGGCACTACTTTTGACAGGTTTTTCGTACCGAGATGACGATACCCTGCTGGTAGGTATGATGTTGTTCTTCGGCCTTACCTCTGCAATGATAACGCGGTTACATAGCGCGTCTTGGAATCGCATGGGAATGTTCGGTCGATTGCGTTCTCAAATGTGGGCAGTCAAATTTCATACGTTGTAGAGTACTTTGATACCCGTTCAGCAGATCAAGCCCTCCATGCTTTGAGCAATATCCAGTTTCAGGTGACACGACCCATTACAAAACAATAATGAAATCCACACTGAACGGGGCTTTTTTTGTCATCAGGGAGGTGTACTTCAGGTTCGATTTCATCACTCTAGTGCAGTCAACCGTACGTCTCATTCTTTCGCTCGGGACTATGGGCTTGCCCTTCCAACGTCCATGTGGAAAGTGGGCTCTGTTCACGGGAGAATTCCGGGTCACTCGTCAATTGATTCCATCGACCTGCAACAAGAGAGTAAACCGGAGGGAAAGGTAATTGCTCATACAGTCCATGTTTTCGGAGACGCCACCTCTGACCTTGTTGTAGCTTCCTCAACCAGGAAGGTCGCGCGTCCGTTCTCATTTCCGGCCAAGAAGTTTAAAGATTGACACTTCGCCTTCCGCGATTCGACCGTCTCCCCTCCGACGAGCGGCATCCGCAAGTTCTGTGTCTGTATCAGCTATTCTGGAATCCGATGTGGACCAGGCTATATTGCAATCTGCGGTTGCAGGGCCTCAGTGTAAAGCTAGCAGATTAAAAAATGTTGCCCATTCTTCCCCGCGCATGTCACCTATGGCATCTCCCAAATATCTCATGGACACTACCGCCGTGCATTCCCCAGCCTCTGAACCTACCTCGCCATCAACCCCAGTGCCACCCCCGACCCAGCATGCCATCCCCACGGGCAACGAATTGAATCTCTATAACATAGGTACGATTGACCGTCTCTATCACCATGACACTTCACTAACTGCCATAGCCATGGGATATGACGCGAGAACCACATTTATGATTCGCAATGTAAGTGACCACGCGCCTGTAAATTAATCCGAGTAAAAGCCTTTAGCTCACCTGGTAATGCTGATGGTAGATTCCCAACAAGTATACACAGGTTTGAACTTGAATGCATCAAGTAATCAATCTGGAACTGTGCTGATTAACGAGCCATCGTGTCTGTCCGCCAGCAAATGTTAGTCTACTTCCTGAACAAGACCCACAAGGTACATGCGATTTATCAGTTGATGGTCTTTTTACCGCCTATCTTCTAAACAATTCTTGCGTTCAGGGACAGTACAACTTTTTGTACCTTCGGATGGATTTCAAAAATCGATGCAACGTTGGTTATGCGTTCATCAACTTTACAGGCCCCCCGGCTGTTCTTTCTTTTGCGGAAAGAGTGGTGGGCAAGAAATGGTGAGATCGAAGCCGCTTTTCGTGACAGAGGCGGGCACTCACCTGTTTTTCAGGTCTAAGTTCAATAGCGACAAGGTGTGTACACTCAGCTACGCAAATATTCAAGGACAAGACGCCCTCATCCAGAAATTCCGAAACTCGAGGTAGGCTTCAAGGATTGGGGGGATTCTCTGTTTTTCTGCTACTAAGACTTGCAGATTAGCGTCATGTTAGAGGATCCCAGCTATCGTCCAAAGATCTTTTATACTGCGGGACCCTTATGTGGGGAAGAAGAACCTTTTCCCGAACCTACAACCGCTATTAGACCAAGATCTGATGTTTTATTTAGTCGTGATAATGCTGGAACACCTCATAAGCACCTCCGTCCGGATTCACCTGTGCCAGTTAGTGGAGCTACTCGTGGCAGCGTTACGTTTCCGCGCACGACGTCCTCGCCGACAGTAGCGCCCTCTCCATTTTCCGCTGCGTCGTCGAAATTTGTTCCGTCAAATGAGTTGGACTCACGGATTGACCCCAGAGATAACGCATTCTCGTGCTCGACCGCACTAGGCAACAAACTCTCCGCGGGCATTTATGACGATTTGGATCTTTCTCGGCTGAGCCTCGCTGGTTATACGGAAAGTGAAGAAGACGCCCGGGGGTTGAGACTCACAGGGCACTCGACGAGTTATCGCGGTTTCCGTGACCAAGGTAACTTTGAAAAATCGGACTTTCAAATTACCACGGATGGCTATGCTCCGTGGTCCTTGCCGTGAAATGCTCAATACGTTGTGGTTCTGGTTATGTAAATGGGTGGACATTCTTCTATACCCCTACTACGGATATATGTGCAGTTTTGAGGGATATACACGCAGTCTATTTGTGTGAGGACCTTGCGTGCATTGACTTTCCCAAATTGTTTTTGTAGTTAAGCGTTAGATAGAGGGACGAGCGTATATATGTTTGATAGCTTTCATCTGTATTTGACATGTGGTGATATTTGACGTCATTCGGGTTAACAAAGTTGACTTTGTTGAGCAATTATGCGAGTATGCATTGATCACAATGGATGACAATTATCGCAGAACTTTCCAAAAGTCCTCTGACACGAGGGTACCCCAGCATCTGGCTTTGAACACCTCGGATGTGCGCTCTCGTAATATTTCTTCCACTGTAAATTCAGCGTTGATTGCGCGTGCCTGTCAACGGGTGGTCGCACCGATCAGAACCGTGAGCAAATGTAGCAAAACATCGAGCTACCTTTGCTTCATCTGCCTGTATTGACAATTTCAAATCTATATCGTTTGGCTGTTCTTCAAGCTGTTTCCTCTTTGTCGCTATTCTTTCATCTGTCAGATGCTTGCACTTTGATATCAGCCTTATCGAAGGCAGGATGAGGATCTGATGGAAAGCAGATGCTATCAAAAAGATGATAAACCCACCTTTCTCTATGTCTATATGACTCATCAAGCTGCTCATAAAACGCCCGACATGACTAATGGGCGCTCTTTTGTTTATGTTGCTAGCCAGCGTTTTGTCACGGAAGGAAGCCACTCAAACCTTATTTAGATCTACAGAGCGTGTTGTCAAAGCGTTGAGACGTGGCACAACATTGTCGTCCAAAGTACGCAGATCCTAGGCAACAGCCAATCTTCAGCAACATTTAAAATCTTGGACGGAGAAGTGAGTAAACTACCTTTAACACTCCTGAAAAAGAGGGAAGAGAACATCAATGTTGGTCTTATTCTTTCTTGCGTAAACCAACGTGCCCTCAAGAAGGGTGACACTTACGCTTAAACAAAGAGAAATCTTCGCACACAGCAGGGTTTACGGTTGGGTCCATCATGCATAACGCTGGTATGTGCGGGAGAAGGATCTACAATTGGCCATCATGGCTGTGCAGCATGTAAATCACGCGACTTTTGGAGTCAAAGCAAGTTCGAACTCAACCAACTGTAAGAATAAATGCGAAGTACATCGTCCTCAGTATCAAACTCACACTTTTTGGTGCGACGTGTAAAGCAGACAGTCACATACGTTTTCCAGAGTCGTGGAATGTCTACCCATCAGGGAGATGAAGTTATTTGGCAAAAAGCGCACGAAGAGGCGGTGGAGGTGCGTGGAAAGAGTACGAAGGTCTCCTCGACGCAGGGCCTCATGATTGCATTAGTGTGGAAAACAGACATATATAGACCCGAAGACCGGGTACTCCGTGTTTACGGAACTTGCTCACAAGAAGAGAGGCTATTGTTGCGGCAACACCTGCAGGTGTGAGCACAATTGAGTTTCAAGTTTGTCAAGCTGGCAACCTTTGATACATGAGTACGCCCGCAGGCATTGTCCCTTTTTGCATGAAAACGTTGGCAAACCTGAGAAAATTAAGGAACAGGCAGTGGCCGCTCGTCGACAACATTAGCACTGTCGTGGGTATCAGTCTCACGAGACACATAACCTGGCAGGCTGTGAGAGATACGAACGCGGTTGGTTTGGCAGGCAGGAGTGCGTGCTACCGTTAAAGGGGCACCTGATCTGCATGGACCCTATGGTTAGCTTTGATGCTTGTAGATGTCGTTGAGGACTTCCTGAGGTCCACACGACGTACAGTAGAATTAGATCGGACATCACCACATGCTGTATTGTCATATACTTGATGCGCTAGTGTGAAGAATCAGCGAGGTGGTATCGTGGGAGTCGGATAATGCAGTATATTAAAAATGAAACTAGTGATTCCAATAGATACTTGCGCACCGTTTATCGGTCATTTCTTCAACGACATTAACGTTTTCGGCATTGAAGGAAGTATTACTTTTTCGCGGGACCGCATCGTGGTCAATAAAAGCCACTTCAACAAAGACGGAGTTCACGCGAACTCGCGACCGTAATCATTGTTTCCTGTATCGGTAGCCGCGATGTTTAGAGCTCCCGGGTTTCGTTGGCGCATGTAAATAGCGTACTGGAGTTGTCAGTATCTTGCCTACATGTATCGAGTAGGATAAGAATAGCATATGCTCCAGATTTCAATTCCTATTATACAAAGTAATAAGCAGACCTATGCTATATAATGGAAACCACTACGTCCAACTCGTCCATCAAGCAAATCCAAACCCTAAGGAGAAAACGTGCACAGATGTCCGCTGTTAGCATATGCTATATTACAAATATCTTTCTCAACCAACATCGTACCTGTTCCACCTTCAGATATTGCTAACAGCAAATTCGACCTTAACTGCTCGTACGATTCATATTGAGGCAAATCCAGTTGATTGAAGCTACGAAGCACCGGTATGAGGTTAGAGGCTCGGCGATGCTGCTCGTCTAAAATCACAGTAGCCTACCATGTATGTGCGCTCGGCAGTCTGTCTGCCGAAGAAAAGTCCTTGTGGATTTGGAACTTTTGCACCCCATTGGCTCCTTGTAGTTGGGCAAAACCTTCTAGTGGAACCTTACTGGTACCAGTTGCGAACTGTACCAACTTTGCCCGTTCTTCTTGACTAAAGCTGCGAACCGCCCGCCAAAACCATTGCACTTGGGGGCTTGAGGACGTGTAATTCTGATATTCGGTGTTGTTTTTCCAGTCGTCGATATCAATATCAGGCATACCGGAAATGAGCAATTCCAATTCTTGCTCGTTGAAAATCTTAACAAGGTCTTTTGGAATGATATCATGGAACCCACTTAGGAACGCATCGATCTGCGCCCGAATGGCAGTCATAAGACGCTGTTCCACAACCAATTTGACGTATTCGTGTTTGTTTTCTTCGGTTACTTGTATATCGCGCCCGTTCGGCTTCAGATCGATCGTCTGCTTCTTACCGAACTCATCAATTTCCGTACTGAAAGTGAGGTCGAGAACCTCTACATTATCATTCTGTAATATCCATTCCAAACTCTTATGATATTCCGGATCCACCGCTTCCATGTCTTTGTAGTCCACTGGAACCTCAATCATCGACTTATAGAATGATCGCGTAAAGTATGCATCGAGGAGGCGTCCATCGTAAATGGCTTTCCCGATAATCCGTCCAACGAACTTGAAATACAGAAGGTGATCAGGGTTGATATACGACAAGCGATTGGGCTGATATGTAACTTTATCAACCGCTGAAGGTCGGAACAGGGCATAGTCTGGATTAAACATTTGACGGGCTAAGACCGAGAACCACTCTCTTGTTACACCCCCGGCGTCAACGCCTTCCTCGTCGTAAAATCGAACATTCAACTTGCTGAATTTGATTTCATCGCCAGAACGACCTTGCAGTTGGTGGTACGAATCTTCAAAGACGTACTGCCTTCGAACGTTGATCTGTAGCGATCCGTAATGATCCCGACTGGTTCGTTTGTGCAGTTGCTGATTGAAATACGTCCGCTTGTTGTCGAATTCCAAAATCTTTGGGTTCTGAACCAATAGCGAAAATGATCCACTCATGAGAGATGGGCTGTTGCGGACCATTGTGTTCAAAATCTTTCGGTGTTCATCCGTGAACGCGACAAAAAGTTCTTCGTTATTTTTCGCATCATACTCAGCGCTATGTCTGGCCGCAACTCTTGGCAATGTTGGAATTGCGGGGATCTGTCCAGAAGTAGATGTGCGCCGACGCAGCACGTAAGGTTTTGAAACTACCAAAAACGATTCGATGGCAGGTAGCAAGACTGTGGCGACGTGTATCAAAGCATCCTTTTCGTTGATGATGGTGAGGCACATTCCAAGCCGTTGCCACAATTTCGACATTTGAAGCTTGTCATATATAGTGGATAGCTTGGCTTCTGGTCCATCATCATTTCCTGTCCTGCTAGCAGCAGAAGATGTTTGGTGTTCTAGTGCTGAAAGTGCATCATCCCGCGCACTTGGGGATGCATCGGTTCGCTTGTCATTGGAAACACTTGCTTTGGAATGGATGAAATCTATCGTCTTCAATACCCTGAGCAACTTCGCCTGCTGTGCAGTCGACGGAGAAAACTTGCCCAACGTCACGCTTTGAACGTCCACTGGATCCTTCGCTGACTCCAGGACACCTATGAGTTCGTCCAGATCGGGGATCATGGAATTGCCGAGTCGCTGAGCGGAATCTGCCAATTCACGAGTAATTGTTTCGCGATTGTTTGCTAGTGTCGAGAGATGTTGAATGACAGACAGCGTGTATTGAAATGTTTTTCCTGAACAAACACCGGCCGTGAGAACATTCACAACAGCCGACACGTATTGATCCGGTATAACAGGAGCCTTGTCTGCATTGCCAGTATTGGCCGCTTTTTTCGGTGTTTGAGGGATTTGAGCGGTTTGAGGTTGCTCAGCGCGCATTTCCCCAGACGCTCCTACATTCGACGATACATGTTCAGTGATATTGTCCGTTGTCGAATCCATTCGGCCCTCAGACGACGGTTCTATCGTTCCCTTCTGGTTCCCATCTTTGGACCTAGTCCCTACCATCGATAACCGCCGCAGCACACTCGACAGAATGTGCATCAATTGCTCCATGAGAACGGAACAATCCAGAAATGCCGGTCGTTGTAGTAAACTCAGGAGAATCACCACTGGGTATTTCATATCGCCTGCTTTGTCTTTGCCTTTCGGCCTTTTTGGGGTTTTGAACAAGTTGACTCCGATCTGATCGTTCTCAACCAGAAACAGACGCGCTACTTGTTCGTTGTAGGTGACCAGTTGAAATATTGTCTCTAGACACCTTTGAGCTACAAGGTTAGGTACGTTGTTGGGCTGCTGGTGCAACCCGACGGCTGTCCCTTTCCGAGGTGTTACACTGTGTTTGCTCTTCCCTTTTAACGAAAGCTGGGCGAAGCTCTTATCCACATTTGCTAAATCCGCACTCCCGTCTGCCAAAATAGAAAGCAGTAGAGAGACAAGTTCCCCGCGCGTCTTCGTGTTTTCACAGAGGTTTACGAGTGCTCTGTGGAGCAGGGGTTTCCCGACAGGCTCTGGAAGGAACAATAAGCGAATCAACGTCATCAAAGCTGGTTTATCCAGTAGATGTACTGCTTCGCGAGATACAGAGCGTTTCGTAGCAGAGCTTGCTGGTGGTTGAGATTCCGATAGCAGATTTGACCCAGGAGCACGGCCATAAAGCGAGGTGGCGTAGCGTCCACGAGTCCGTTGAGACCTGAACGCATTTGCTTCCGCCACAAGGGCTGGAGGAAGGGTTGCTAAAAATCCATCATCCTGCTCTAATAGTACCGTTTGTCTCAATTGAGGATCTAAAGTAGCCAAGAAGCTAGCTGGATCCAGCTCCACAGGTCCGGTTTCTGCAACGCCAGCAACTGCAGGCCGGGTAGCTCTCGTCCTGCGTTCCTGTTCGCGGCGTTCCTGTTGAAGCACCTCCTCACGGATGTCTGCCGGCAAAGCATCAAGAAATTCCGTGCTTATCGCCGGAGGTGGAACGGTCGCCTGCTGGCCTCGCTGTTGTTCACGCAAGTGCTGATTGATTACCTCTTGACGCAAATCATCAGGTAAAGCTTCCAGAAAAGTGACATCAATACCGGAACCTGAAGGGCGATTTGTAAGCCTGCGCAGCATCCAAACCACGGACTTCAAATATACCTGTAATATCAACCGGACTACCATTGACCGTTACTATTATTCTGTCCGTTGAAGCGGTATCCCCTTCTGGTATTGATTCCGATTCCATAGGTTGTGCAGACGATGTGTTTGTACTGTCCTCTTCTGCCGGGATAATGGGCGCTCCAGAGATTTCTCCTGCCTCTTGTTCATGTAACGTATTTCTGCCCTCCTCCAGACTTCTCTGCTGTTCTTTCCCCCGCCGTTCTTCTTCCTCGCGTTTTCTTTCCTCTTCTTCTTCTCTCAGTTTCCTTTCGGTGTCCTCTCGCTCTTTCCGTAGTTTGGCTTCCTCTATCGCTGCAGGTATCATCGCGTTTAAGACGGCATTTACCACCCGTGCGGCCTTTTCTTGCACTGAATTGCCATACATCAAGCGAGCTTCTTGGAACCATCTTTCCGCTGTACCCAGCGGTGCGAATGCATGGATCACTGCAAGTTGTTCGTCCAACTCGGTACGATGTGATACATTCTGACTTGTTGATCCAGTTTCGGCCGTACCACCCGTCCCAGAGGTCGATTCCCTTCGACTAGAGGCGGGAACACCAGCAAGACCTCCAGGCGCAACGCCTACTCCGGAATCTGGCATGCCCAATTCAACGCGATAATGGGCGGCACCACGGCCACCAGACCTGGAAAACAAGTGTTCTAAAATCTGCAAAGCATTACCCCCAATTAGGTCATCAAATGCCTGCCAATCTAGAATATCGCCCGTGCGGACTCCAGGCTGGCCCCGTGCACGATGGTGCAAATCTCCTCCTCGAGAGTCTCCTCGATTGGAAGGAGGGCCTTGATTGACCAGTAATGGATGTGACAGAATATCTTCGTTCATAGTCTGCGGTCGCATTCCCAGTGGTCTTCCTAGTACCGGGAAGTCACCGACATTACTGTATCCAGGTCCACCGTCATCAGCCACCCATGTGATATCGAGTCCACCGGCAGGATTCATATCTACTTCCATGACTTGTCGCCGGGCAATTCTTCTCGTTCTTGCCCCTCGAGGTCCACCGAAGAACCCAAATCGCGGGAAGGGTAGACGCCCCGGTGCTCCGACGGGTAAGAATGCCTCGTCGTCTTCGCCGTCAATCAAGTCTTCTTCATACATATCAACTATGTCTCCACGCCCATCTTCTTCAGAATCGTCCTCATCATCTTCAATGGCATCTTCAATGTCCCCATCGGATTCTGGTTGTTCACCTTCACCAACATCGGAGCCATCAGGGCCCTCATCCATCACCACAACCTCCATATCCTCCGTATTGTTACCGATTTCCACTGCTGCACTTGGATCCTCATTGATGTCATGATAGTCGGTGTGCCCATCCTCCCAGGACATATCCGCATCAGAGTTCCCATCACCGTCATCATCATCGTCATGTTCCGGCGTTTCATCACCAATCAAATCTTCGTCGTCGTCCTCTTCATCATCATCATCGCTTGACGGGTCCGGATTGCCTTGATACGGCTGCGGGACTACAATTTCCATATCATCGTCGACATCCGAATCCTGCCCGACATAATCGCAGAGGTTGTGAGCAGTCCATACATGCGAAATCAAAGCATTGATACACACCTCCTCATCCTCATCCTCTTCTGCATCACTCATTTCTTCATCGGAAAACTCGTCATAGGCGTCATCGTCTTCAGACTCCTCGGTAGTGCTTTCCCCTGCCTCCTCATCACTGCTAGGGGCATGATACATTCCCAGTGCTGAATTACGGTATAAATCCGATAGCTCCGTATTTCCTTCATCTATCGCACTAATGCCGTTATGAGCAGGAGTAACGGTCGAATCAATCTTAGTTCCTGTGGCCCGTACTTCGTTTGCCTTCCCCAATCGAATCGCAACCTTTGTCAGAAACTCCAGTGGTTTAAGGATTGCGCTGATGAGTGTTGTGCTTTCCGGATGGTGTACATCGACCTCGGCTAAAGCTTGGGTCAGTAAGTTCACAAATCCCTTTTCTAGCATCATCCGTGAGTAGTTGGTTGGGATATCGTCGATTCCAGTGGAGGCAGCGCTGGGAACTGAGCTTGTTGGACCTCTCGCGGTTAATATCTTGAAGCACAGGTCCGCAATAGCTAAAAACCTGGCATAGCGTATCTCTGTTCCGTCCTCTACATGCGTGACCGCATCGCGCAAGCTCCGCCATATAACATCCAATACACATCGTCGTACATTCGCAAGGTCAGGGTAAAGCTTCTTCTCCGTTGAAAAGTCGGCAGTTACACCAAGACATAGACCTGATATGAGACTAGTTGTCCAATTACTCTCGACTAACTTCCTCTGCAGCTCTGAATCTGCGGTCTGTGCGCTCAGGGGTGGAGCCTGGAGGGAACCATGAGGAAGTAAATCATATACTAAATGATTCAAAAAAGGATTGCGACCAATTGTGCCTTTAAGGGGTGTCCCTTTCGCACGCTTCTGCGAGACAGTTATCACATCCACTTTGCAAGTCGGGTACGCGACCACTAGCTCCGCCAGACACTGTAGCAAGAAACATCTCCGCATGTGCGTGAGCTGTTGTTGTTGCATCGAGAGAACGTTCTGAGCTCCGTTCTTTGAATCCTCCTGGTTCTGCTCCGCGACAGATCGTACTTTGTCTTGCTCATGAGCAACCGTACTGTCGCTTGACATCAGAATCGGGGCATTTTTGATCGCCAGCAGTTCCGTAACAAGGAACTGAACTACACCTTCTGACACGTCGGACAAATAAGAACTATCCACGGGTTCAGCATTATTCGATGGCCCAGAAGTAGAGCCACTGGTGAGTTCCGCGTTAAACGGGCTATCGATGTCCATTGCTTGCTCTGGTGCTAGTTTGCTACCGTCCGAATGGGCCTCGTCTTTATGACCCTCTTTTGCAACACCTTCCTTTGACTTCAGCGTGATTTGTTGGTGTCGTGCCGAGGCATCATATCTGGTCAACTGGCAATTTGCAGTCACTGCATCAATAAATGTTTCCGGACTCCGGCTGACTATATGGCTACAGTTCTTCACAAAGGTGCCAACGTCCACCACCCTCTGACGGGGATAGCTGAGCCAATGAGTGATTTCCCTCTCCATCGTAGACTTAAGCACTATGGCATCTTCAATGATGTGCCGAAGAATCATGACTGTCATAGCAGGCTGCGCATGGTAGAGACCAATTCTAGCAGGATTGAACAATAGTGGCACGCCACCTAAGCGGGCAAATTCAATCGCCACAGCATGCGAGCGAGTGAGGCGAACACTGAGGCGTAAAATAGCATGAAGCATCTCCTTGTCTACGGTCTCCAACTTCAGTAGGGACACCAACGTCTCCATAAGCCGAATCCGCTCTTGCTGAGTCAAAGGATTTAGCGTTCCACTAGCTTCCGCATCTAGCGCATCACCGTCGTTCTGCAACTTCGTCTGCACCGGCTCATCCGTGAGTGATACATAGGCCTCCAGAATCAGTAACACGGAGGGCAGCCACGGTGAATGAGTACCGTCAGACTCGGTCATTGTCAAGAGGTTGCCGATCAATTCCTTTGATGCTTCAATGGCAGTCCGCTGCCAGCTCATATCACTCACAATGAGGGCAAACAGACGGAGACGAACGGCGAGGCCCTTTGCGGCAGTTTCCAGGTTGGCAGTGACCTTTACGCGGTACACTTCGATGTCAGACACTAGACTGCGCACTAGCGCTGGCATGTCATCCTTCCCTACGAAGCACAACAGGTCTTTTACGTAGAAAATCACCTCTTCCACATAATCCAGTAGTTCGACACCCCGGCGCGGAATCTCAGCTTTCAGTTCATTTCGGATGACTTCCAAAGACGGCTGACTGTTCAGAGCTTTGCCTTTTTGTTTTGAGCCTTTCTCCTCAGTGGGGAAATCAGCGGGGGGATCCACATCCATATCGGCAGATTCGTTATCATTTCGCTGGTCGACCACTGCTGCCGGGAGGTTCGCGGAATTACTGGTGGTGCCCATGGACAAAGCCAATGCTGCGGCTAGCTCAGGGTCTTCCTCAGACACGACGGCTGTATTATTGTTTGCATGATTTTCCGTTACCGATGGGTTTCCTTGAGGGATGCTGATGCCACCTTCAGCATCGGTGGGTGTATCCGCCGAATGATTCGGCTGCCTTGCGGCGTCGGTAGAGGTCTCCTGCGACGCGCCAGAGGCCCCTTCTCCAGACGCATCGGCTGCTGCAGAGTAAGAGGCGGCCGCCACAACGTTTGGGTGATTGAGGAGATACTCCGCCGCTCTGGCCACGTGATTTCCACAACGGACCAATGCAGTTTCAGCTGCGGCTCTAGGAAATCCCATATCCACCAATTGTTGTACTTTGTCCTCATCCGCGACGACTGTTGGCGAGCGATTGAAGATGGACGCCGCAATATTTCCCAGGGTAGGAGCGTTAATGTCTCCTTTATTGGTCATCTCTCCTTCCGCCTTCACCAGATGCGTTATAACCCCAAGGACCGATTTTACTACATTCCCTGGAGCGCGCGTCAGATATGGACTCCGCCACAATCTCAGCATAATTGGCGCGATGTAGCTTCGCATTTCGACAACAAACTCGTGTGGATCGAAATAGTCGGTGGACGTCTTGTCTTTCTCACGACCGACCAAACTAGCAGTGAGCGGTGAATCGTGCAATAACTTACTGTTACATAAGGTCTGCAGAACGTTTATGGATAATTCCAAAGCGCCATGAATCCTTCCGAGTAGCTGTTTGGCTTCAGCATTTTGCTCCAGGTCGTCGCGGAGACTCACGCGTTCTGCATCGTCCCAAAGAGCCTGCAAAACCTCTAAGACGCGTGCGCTGCCGTTACGCTTGTGAAAGGACAGAACAAGATGCGTCTGCAAAGCGAGGCCACTTCTCTCTGCGTAGCCGAAGAGTCAGCGTAACGACGAAATACTTCGACAATGGAAAGGAAAGACTGACCTTCAACAAACATGACCGACAACAGAGCAAGTACCACAGCAAGATAGCTGTACTTGTTGACGGTACTATTCTGAGCTGTGTTGCATGCCTATTAGTATACATTGTAGATTACCTCTTGTTTGAACCCCCCCATACATACCAGGTCTCTCCCACGTCAAGTTGTCCCGGAGGAGTACCGCAATATCATCAACTATCTTCTGGCTAGCCTTCCGATTATTTGGTTCCGAAATTCGGCGCGCTGTAAGCAGTTTCAGGATACCTATAGCAACGGATGAATGGACCTTTCAATGGTGACCAAACTTCTAAGTTTCTACCTTGCAAGGTTGGGGTCAAAACAGTCGGTATTTGACTGAGAAGATGACGGAAATAGCGCGTATTCTTGACCCTTGGATCTTTCTCATTCACGCTTTCCTCTGAGTTCGCGGCGGTGGATCCAGGACTATTCTCGAGTACAGAATCCAAAACGTCCACATCCAATAGCGATGATTCTCGAATCGCACCAGCGCTTCGACTATCCGGAGACTTCTTATCTGCGGATTGGTACCATTGTATTGGTACCGTGCTCTTCAGCACAATATTCTCCCATACACAAGTGCTACAAACATGAGTGCTTAGCAGCGTTGTAAAATATCGGTAACGGCCTGTACTTACCGGTAGATCGCCCCAAATTGTGCAATCAGCGTTTCCCCAACGTCTCCTGTAAAGGTTTGGATAACCGCTCCCACGCTTTTACTGTGTGAGAGCGTGTGGGTACAATACACGTCCGAGAGCAATCGTATAAATCCCTGTAAAGCGACCAAGGATCTGAACGTTCGCTGTCCTTCGAGGAAGCGGTTGGTATCCTCCTCTGTGAAGGGTGAATATCTGTTACTATGCCATCATGGAAATATTGGCAGGGTGACTCGTCGCTACCTTGAATCTCAATAAATTGGGGAATATAACCACCATCACCTTCATGATTTAGAAACTGCTGCGCTCCCGTAATGGCCCCATCAATTTCCTTCAACATTTGAGCCACAACTTGAGAAGCATTGACTTCAATCATCAGGCGAAAGAGATATGACAAGGAATAGGACGACGCAGACGACGCGAAATCGTATGGAAGAGTCGGCAAAGTATAGTACTTCAGTAAAATCTGCACGCCCTCCATTTTAATGAAGTCTTTACAGTGCGCAACATTTTGGAAAAGACCCTCGAGGAACTGCAGACAAAGATTTTACTTCCACTCATAGAAGGACACAATCACCAAAAATAGCTTACCCGAGCAACCACATCGATGAACTGCGAAATTCGGGAATCTCGTTTATCCTCGCTAAGTTCCGCAGAAGATTGCATTCCAGAATCACTGACTACTTTCATTGTTTGAAGTTGAGATGCATCTGTATCTTCGGGAGCGCTCAATTGACCAATATCAACAACTCTCTGCAGCATCTTAATGATGGCCGACAAGACATCATCCTTAAGAGAAGGGTGATGGCGGATCAATTCGTCCATAGAATTCCCCACAAGGTGAGGTACGTCATTATCTTGCAAAGTTCGCAGATGCTCTTCGGACGTTAGAACTTCAAGGTATTTATCAATTGGTTTAGCTTCGTTGAATTCATCCAGTCCGGCTTGATTTAGGCAGATTGCTCCGAAAGCATTAGGTAAGGCGGATATGACCTTTGTGGATGAATATTTAACTTTAATCACCGGATGGAGCGCCGTAGGGCGTGAGCGTACATACCTCTGCTGATATTGGGATACTCTGTGATATTGCGTGCAGGAGTGTCTGCGGAAGTGTAGCTTCCTGCAAGATCGTTAAGCAAGTTGGTTCGTTGTGTATGAACGTCGACATGATATTGACGGCTACAAAGACGTTAGTCAAGAATTATGTAGGTGCTCGTTTGCCTTATGCACCGACCTAATCCGAAGATGCTTGCACCAAAGTACTGCGAGTGTTTGAAAATTGCAAGCAGTGATACAGGTAACGTGGTGTCGATGAGATTTCGCATTCTATCTGCTGTCCCCGAGGTTTGCATCATGTGCAGGACAAACTTCAAGAGAGCACGGAGTAAAGCTGTCCTTTCGTGCGGTAAATCTGTACAACGACCTGATCAGAGGCGTCGCTAAGAGCACATATCGGGAGCGGATGATTTGGCGGTTGACTACCTAGCGTTATGGAAGCATCAGCTGAGCCAATGCTTTCCATCTGTTCGCCGCGAAGCGCAGGATTCAAACTAATGCAGAAGTCGACCTCGTCCTGTGACATGGTGTGTTAGCTCTAATGATTGGTAAGGCTGCGGGAGTCTGTTCTACCTTAATCCGGGCAACCAAGACGTCAAGTCCGCTCGCCGCCGTGAACGCGGCAAACGAGGCGCTGAACCCAAAAACAAGGCTGTCTAGCAAAACAATACATCTTGTAATGGACTGATGATACAAATGTAACTTCTTTGGTCGGATCATAAGGCGGCTAGGCCAAAAGCTCTGGTCGACTTTACCTTAAGCTGCGTTGACCGCATGTTGCCCATCAGCTGAATCAATACAGGGAGCACACCGGCAGATATTATCATGTTTCCGCCAGATTGCGTTGACGCTATGTACGTAACGAAGCCGAACAATGCTTCAACGAATTCTTGTGGATAGTTGGGCACTTGAGGATTTTGAGGATAAGACAACAAAGCCACTACTTCAAGAGGCGATCAATGGTACCTACAATCAAGATCGAGCGAAGATACAACTTTCCGTAGGATATACATAAGTACCCCATGGTTGGCCGAAGCATTGATAGCTGTCAGCACTTCGCCGAGCCTAGCGCGGTGATGAGCCATGCTATCCAGAGCATAAATTGAGCACGTCTGTATCTCTCGATAATCGATATTCTGCAGAGTTCAAAGCACAAGATTACTATTAGCGGCGAATACAAACAGATGTCCGGCTCATGGATACTTACGATGGCATCGGGACCATCTGTTTGGAGAATATCGGCGAGCTTTTGGATAAGGTCCGGCTCGTACGTAAACAACTTGCTCTGAATCACATCTTCTGTTCCTAGTATCACTACGCAGGTCCAAGCGTAAGTAAGTGTACATACGGATGTTTTTCTATACAGACACTCTGGTACCTAGTACTGAAATTGCCATGAATCGGATAGCGAGCAACTTCCGCCTTGTAGATACGTCGCTAAGTCCCAATGCGAGGCGAATCTTATGCATCAGGGGAAACCTCTGTTCCTGTGGCACATTGTACTGCTCGGCGAGTTCCAGGAATATATCTCTCTCACTCTCACCACTACTTGCTATGTCAGGTATGGAGATGACGGTTAAACCACTGGGTTTGCCCTCCGAGGCTTGACCAATGCCCCCCCCTGAACTTTTAAATGTATTGGAAGGAGTGGAAGCATTTTCTTGTGTCGTATTTTCGGTGGGCGGTGGATTTGAACGGCTGGTGGTGCGGTAAAATTGAAAGTAAAGCGACTTGCATTCCGCTGGTATGCTGAGCTCATGTGCCATCAGCTGATCCAGGTCTAATCCAGATTGGTTCGTTCCCCAATGTTGCGAGAGAACAGTTATGCGCTCCTGTGCAGTTCCCAGTGTATTTTTAAGGGAGCGCTGGCTCCCCAGCCGCTGCGCCGGTCGCAGAATCAGACGGACTGTTGCGGCGAGAACGTCCAGATCGCGTGAAAGAAGCAGCTCATTTAAATGCTACAGATAGTAAGATAAGTTCGGCATACGTGTTGCATAGTATTAGGCACACGTACCTCATATGAGTTATAGAGGCTGCGATTAGTGCAGTTCTCCCACAGATGCGTACTAAAGCGCAAAATTGCCAGCAGAACTTCTTTATGCTCCAGACTGAATGGCCGGTTTTGCAGGTTTTTGAGATCATATTCCTCCACCAAAGACTCCAGAATTGCATCAAAACGGTTCAATACTGGGATCCAATGAAAGAAGTCCGTCTTGGGAAATGGCCAGTGTCCAACTTCTTCTACAATAGTCGGAATCTCAGCTTCCGGACATTCCACCAACCTCACCGCAAGTGCTTTTACATTGGGTGCCTGCAACCAAATAATTATGGTTACTTTATAGAATCACCGAAAGGCCATGCGAGACAGGCATTACCACTGGTGAGAGCCGCTTAGGTGGCGCCTTCTTGATCTTGGTCATTAGGCAGTGCTTGAACTACTTGACGTGGCCGTCAGTGCCACACTTTGCCGGTAGTTGTAGCTCTGGAATCAAGCTGCTATACAGGAAGTAGGTAGTGTGGTCAATGACGTACAATCTCTAGGATCACAGGCAACAACACAGAAAATAGGTTGAGTAAAACAGTTAGCCAGATTTTCAAAATAAAGTTGGTCAAATTGTTCAAGTTCCTTACACCCTTGGAAATGGAGATGGTAGTGGTGGATTATACGATCTTTCTTCGCCTGGACGTCGACAGTCACAGACTTCTTGGAATGACAGCACGCTCTTTACATGACTCATCCACAGAGTCACTGTGCAACAGGTCTCTAGATAGGTTCAAGCCGGCATTTGATCCGAATTACAGTTGAACTGGGGAAGCTTTGGACGACGGTCCATCATTGAAGGACTTCCCGCATCAACATGACTATTTTCGTGGTGCTTTAACATATTCAGGCTTTGTCAGAGCTTTTGCAACCAATGGGCTGCCTATTCCAATTTGACCCAAACCATCACCCCATTTGTTACAATTAGCATACATGAAAGGCTCTCCCGTGCATTGGAGTTGTGTCCAAAACACAGAGACAAGTCTGTCTCTCGTTGCCGCAGAGATCTCCAGATATACTTGACATAAGGCATTGTGACACATGTTTTGTGGCTTTGTCGATCACATATTTCCATACCGCATTGAACAAGTTTTTGCGCGGATAAACTTGTGATCTCTATCATCTCCAGTAATCCGA